ATATTTCAGGGGCTCCTGGATGGCACACTCATTGAGCGTGGGACTCTTGGTTTCAGCTCAGGTTGTGATCTTAGGGTCGTGGGATGGAGCCTCATGTCAGGCTTTCTGCTCAGCTCAGCGTCTGCTTGGAATTCTCTCTCCCTCTCCCTCTGCCCATCCCACTCATGCTTTCTCTCTCAAATAAATGAGTCTTTTTAAAAATTTTCATATTTTTCTGCTGAAATTCCCTGGTAATTCATACATTTTGTTCACCTTTTTCCATAGATCCTTTAACATAATAATTATAGTTATGATAGTTCCAGTATCTGAGCCAGTATCTCAGTCTGGTACTGTTGACTGCTTTATCTCTTCACAATGAGTTCTTTCTCTTGCTCTTTTTTGTGTATCTTGAAATTTTTTATCAAAGGCTGGACATTGTGAATAAAGAGCTGTGGTTATTAAGGTAATAGTATTTGTAACTAGAAAGAGGCCTGTCTCTTCTGTCACGCCATTATTGGGTTAGGTTTTTGCATGCGTCACAGAAGCTCTCTCTTCATATTCATGGCATTCCTCCACCCACTACTCCCCCCTAAGCTGTAGACTGCTGTTTCTTGTTACTCAGTGCTGGATTTGTGGTGAGGGCAGAGGGGCGTTCAGTAACTTAACCCAGCCTCAGTCTTAGGCAGGTCCTGTGAGCCTGGGCCTTGGGAGTATGTTTGTGTTGTTTTCAACATTTTTGCCCCTTCTGTTAAAGCAAAACTCTGCTGTGTACATGTGGATAGTCTTGGGTGAGGGTGAGTTTCCTGCTCTTTTTCCAGTGGTAGCAGAACATCTGCTTTGTGTTGATGCAGAATTCTGTGTCCCTCCTTTAGTGACTCTCCTAGTGGTTGCTTTAGCATGCGTAATATGAATTTTTTACTTACCACAAATATGTTTATCTTAAAATAATATACTTCTATTTTCTTCTGTCCTGTGTGCTATTATTGTCATACATTTCACTTTTACATGTTTTAAACTCCACAATACAGTGCACCTGTGTTTGCTTTATACCAGAGATCAGCAAACTTTCTCTAAACAGCAGATGTTGAATATTTTACGCTTAGAGGGCCATAAGGTGTCTGTCACAACTTCTCTAGTCTACTGTTATAGCATAGAAGCAACCATAGACAGTATATAAACAGATGAGTGTAACTGTGTTCCAGGAAAACTTTATTCACAAAAATAGATGGTGATCCGGGCCATGGCTTGCTGATCCCTGCTTTAGATAGTTATCATTAAAAAAAAACAAAAACAAAAAAAAACAGCTTTATTGAGATAATTCATATACCATACAATTCACCCATTTAAGGTATATAATTGAATGACTTTTAGGATATTCACAGAGTTGTAAAACCATCACAACAATCAATTTTAGAACAGTTTTATTACCCTGAAAGAAGCCTTGCACTTGTACCCATTGCCCTCTAATTCCCTTATCCCCTGACTTTTCCTAATTCTAGGCAACCACTAATCTACTTTGTTTATGTATTTGCCTACTCTGGGCTTTTCATCTAAATGGAATCATATAGTGTATGATCCTTTGTGACTGGTTTGTTACACTTAGCATAGTGTTTTCAAGGGTCATCCATATTCTGCGTGTGTTAGCATTCATTTATTTTTATTGCCAAATAATATTCCAGCAGTGTGTGAGAATTTTGCTTTATTTACATCCTCACCAACACTTGTTATTGATTTTTTTGATTTAGTTGTCATAGTGTGGGTATGAAGTTGTTTCTCATTGTTTTGATTTGCATTTCCCTGAAAGGTAGTTAATGATGTTGAGTATCTTTTATGTGCTTATTGGCCATTTGTATGTCTTTTTTGGAGAAATGTTTATTCGGGTTCTTTGTTCATTTAAAAAATTGGATTATTTATCTTGGGGCGTCTGGATGGCATAGTAGGTTAAGCAACGACTTGGTTTCAGCTCAGGTCATGATCTCAGGGTCATGAGATCCGGTACTGCGTTGGGCTCCACGCTCAGTGTGGAGTCAGCTTGAGATTCTCTCTCCCTCTGCCCCTCCCTCCAGTGCTCACTCGCTCTCTCTTTCAAATGAATAAATGAATCTTTAAAAAAAAATGGATTATTTATCTTTTTGAAGTGTTTTAAGAGTTTTTCATATAGGGGCACCTGGCTGGCTCAGATGGTGGAACATGCAACTCTTGATCTCGGGGTTGTGTTTGAGCCCCATGTTGCGTGTAGAGATTACTTAAAAATAAAATCTTTAAAAAACAGAAGAAGAGTTCTTCATATATTCTGGATACAAGCCCCTTTTCAAATATATGATTGGCAAATATTTTCTACCATGTGTGCATTGGCTTTTAACTTCCTTAATAGTGTCCTTTGAAGAACATAAGTTTTAAAATTCCAGTGATGTCCAGTCTGTTTTCTGTTTTTGCTTTTGTTACTTGTGCTTTTGATGTCTTATTTATAAAAGAAACTATTGCCTAATCCAAGGTAGTGAATATTTTAGCTTTTATGTTTAGGTCTTTGATCTATTTTGGGTTAATTTTTGTATATGGTGTGAAATAAGGGCAAAAATCATTTTTTGCATGTGGGTATCCAGTTGTATCAATACATTTGTTGAAAACACTGTTCATTCCATCTTGGCATCCTTGTCAAAAGTCAGTTGACCATAAATGTGAGGATTTATTTCTAGATTCTAAATTCTATTCCATTGCTCTATAGGTTCACTTTTGTTCCAGCACCATACTGTTTTGATTACTGTAACTCTATAGTAAACTTTGAAATTGGGAAGTGTGAGTCCTCCAACTTTGCTTTTCCATATGAATTTTAAGATCAGCTTGTCAGTTTCTTCAAAGAAGTCAGCTGGGATTTTGATAGGAGTGAGTTGAATCTGTAGATCAATTGTGGGAGTATTGGCATCTTAACAGTATTGTCTTCTGATCCATAAGCATGGGTGTCTTTCCATTTATTTAGGTCTTTTTAATTTTTTCAATAATATTTTATAGTTTTAGAGTATAAATTTTACATTTTTTTGTTAAATGTGTTTGTATTTTTTTTTTGATGCTATTGCAAATGGAAATGTTTTTTATTTTTTTATATCACTACTGTATAGGACTACAGTTCATTTTTGTATGTTGATATTGTATCCTGCAACCTTGGCAAACTCATTTATTCTAATAGGTCCTTAAGATTTTATGTATATAAGATCCTGTCGAGGTGCCTGGGTGGCTCATTCGTTAAGCTTCTGCCTTCAGCTCAGGTCATGATCCCAGGGTCCCGGGATCGAGCCCTGCATTGGACTCCCTGATCTGCGGGAAGTCTGCTTCTCCCTCTCCCACTCCCACTGCTTGTGTTCCCTCTCTTGCTGTGTCTCTCTGTCAAATAAATAAATAAACAAAATCTTTAAAAAAAGAAAAAAAGATCCTGTCATCTGCAAATAGTGATAGTTTTACTCCTTCACTTCCAGTCTGGGTGTCTTTTATTTTATGTCCCGCCTAACTTCCATTGTTAGATCCTCCAGTATAATGTTAAATAGAAGTAGCGAGAGGGGACATCCTTACCTTTTACCTGATCTTCGGGGAAAACATTCAGTCATTGGCCATTAATGGCGCTGTGGGTTTTTTGTAGATGCCATTTAAGAATTGAGGAAGTTCTTTTTATTCCAAGTGTGTTGAGTGTTTTTGTTATAAAGGGGCATGCTAAATTTTGTCAAACTCTTTTGGCACTTATTGAGATGATCATGTGGTTTTTGTCTTTTATCCTATCGATATGATGTCTTAGATTGATTGATTTTCATATATTGAACCAACCTTGCATTGTTGGGATTAATCCCACTTGGTCATGGTGTGTACTTTTTAAAATATATATCCTTAGATTCCATTTGCTAGTATTTGTTGATGATTTTTGTATGTATATTTGTGAAAGATTAGTCTCTTTCATCTCTTGTGATGTCTTTTGTCTCATTTTGGTATGAGAGTAATAACTGCTCTTATACAGTGAATTGGGTAGCATTTCTTTATCATCTGTTCTTTGGAAGAGTTTGTAAGGGATTGATATTTATTGTTCTTTAAATGTTTGGTAGAATTTATGTTTAAAAAAATAATAGGGACCAAGGTTAATAGTACTGATGCCTAGAAATGTGCACACCTGTTATTTTGTCAGGCCATTAGTGTGGGAATTTTGAGTCTCTGATCAATAGTTGACTAGCTGGGTTTTGTGTTTTATTGTTGCTAGTTAATTTCAACAAGGCACTGACTTCAAATTTTTTTAGTGGCTTTTACCACCTTCTATTTAGTGTAGGGTTTGGGGCCCTGGAGGTTTTTTTCAGTGATCTTGCTCTCCTCTCAGCTTTCAGCAAGCCCTGCACACCTCGCCACAGGGGAGTCCCTGTGCTCTTGCTCAGCTCTCAGAGATAGATTGCTATTGTTTTGTACTCTAGTCAAGGCTTTGGTTGTGGGGGAGAGAGAATTTGGTTCTCCTGCTGGAGCCTTATTTTTAGGCAGTCCCTTCACACCTGAGAGCCAGGGTGGATATTGTTAATGTTCCTGCCCCTTCTCCTACCTCTCCCCACAGCCTTTTATCAAGAGAAGGAACAATTGTCTTACTCCTCTTCCAACAGCAGCAGACCTTTGCTTTGTATCAATGTAAGATCTTGGGCCCAACCTGGCTTCAGACTTGCCCCCAGCGGTAGATGGTTGTTTTTTCTCTCTTTCAGTGGCAGCTGACCTTTGCCAGTACCAGAGGGTGGGCAGATTCCTGCCCTTTATCTAGTAGCAGCTAGCTTTATTTCTACCCCTCTTTCAGTAGAAGCTGGGTTTTTTTCTTGGGCAAGGGGTGTTAGGGTTTCCTTCTCAGGTGTTTAAAACTTATCCTTAATATTTTTCTATATATCATATTTCAAGGTTGTCTTTTTAGAAGATTAGTTCCTGATAAGCAGAAGGACATTGAGAGAATTTAGAGAAGGATGTTTACTATTTGGTTACTATTATAATATACCAATATGTCTGTTCTTTTACAGCTTAGGCTTGATTTCCGACTCTTTTCACATGTTTTTCGATAGCACTGCCATTTTGGCTGGATTGGCAGCGTCTGTTATTTCAAAATGGAGAGATAATGATGCTTTCTCTTATGGGTAAGACTTTTTAAAAACCTTTTTATTAAAGTATAAGAAATACAGAAAATATACAAATCTTAAGCACATGAATTTTCACAAATTGAACACATTTGTGTAACTTGAACCCTAAACCCCCCCCACCATGCCTCCTCCTGGTTCCTTCCTGTGCTTCCAAGAGTAATAACCACCTCCCTAACTCGGATTTGTTTTACCTGTTTTTGAATAGTATTTAATTGGAATCTACAACATGTACTTTTTTTTGGTATCTAAGTTCTTTTGCTTAGAGGTAGGACATCCTGGTTTTACCAAAAAATTTTAAGTGAAATTTTTTGCTAGATAGGGGACTTTCTGAACTTTTAACTTTTTTTTTTTGGAAGAAGAAGAAAGTTTCAGTATACAAAAATGGTCGTGTTTCTTTTTTAGAGGGATATTTTGCTATTAATTTATTTAAAATCACTATTTCCTAATACGATTTTATATTACTTTATATTACTTACCCTCTTCAAGCTCTGCTTTTATGAAAAATTTCATACTCTTGCTCATATTGGAGAGTGTTTTTATGCTGGAGAGACTATATTGGACCATTTGGTCTCACTTCTGAGCCTAGTACTATTTAGAGGCAGTTTGCCTTTTGCCATCTCTGATTGGGAGAAGCAGTGGAGTGTCCAGTGTTTGACTGGCTCTGCCTGAATGTTTTCCTTTTTGAGTTCATAGAGTATTTTGCAGTGTAATTATATTTATGTATAAGCAGCACTTGGGTAATATCCTCTTTCTCTGTCTTCTCCACCTTCTTTCTCTTTCCTGTTCCCCTCTCTCGCCTCTTACGTGTTGACTTTCCTGTCTTTCCTGTCTGTCCCCCTCCCTTGTGAGTGCTTTCTCACATTCTCTCCTTTCTTCACTCTTACCTGTTCTCTTTCTCACTCTCATCTCCATCCTCATCCTCTCTGCCATCTCTCCTGAACTCCCTTCTCCCCTCTCTTGTTTTTCTTTTCAGCTCCTTGTGCCTGTGCTCATGGTCTCTCCCTATTCCTCAGCCTTCCACTCCCCTCTTCCTCTTTCTCTCTCCCACACATCTTTTATCTTTCTTTTCTCCTGCTCTCTCTCTCTACCCTCCACTGCTGTATCTCTCAGGCTCTTTCTTATTCCCCCTCCTTCTCTCTGAACCTCTTAGTCCTAGTTCTTTCTTCTCTCCCTTTCCCAGTCTCTTTCCTTCTCTCACTGATCCTCCTCCCGGAAGGTTCCCTTTCCTTTATAGTGTCTCTCCTTATGTCCTGCCTGCTCACATCCGCTGTCTTATGCACACTGCCTCCTGTTCTCTCTTTTACTCTTGTTCCCTCACTGCTTCTTCTTTCTCTCCACCTTCGCCTTTGTTCTCGAGCCAACACGCATGCACTTTCTCTTGTACGTGCTCTTGTTCTCTTCAGATATTTATCGAGGGCCCACTATGAGTCTAATTCTTTGCTACTTATAAGGATGAATAAGATATGGCTTCTGCGTTGGAGGAACTTGTGCTCTGATGAGGAAACACTGCTATAAAAGTACCATAAAACTATACATTGTGACAAGTGTCAAAAGAAAGATAGATGAAATTCTGTGACAGAACTTGCTGATTTGGGGTATAACTGAAGTGATGTGGTTATTTGTAAGATTATAAAAAGTGAGACAAAAAACACTAATTATACTGTTTTTATTGACTACAGCGAGGGATCTCTTTATCTATAAACCCAAACAGCTCAGAAGAGAACATTTTCCATGGCATTATGCAGACAAAAGATTCTTAAGTGTATTTTGAATCATTAAAGAAAGATTGCATGTAAAGTTCTAATCTTGTGTTGGAAAATTAGTAATTCATATATACTGTACATCAGAAATCTGATTAGGATATTTTACTCTACAATTTTTCAGAAAAAAATTTTTTAAAAGCCAATTTTTCAGGATAAACAGTAGGTGACTATAAAAATTCTCAGTTTGTTAAATCTTAGGGTATCTGTTGTTTCCTATTTAGAATGCACAGTTTCCCACCATACGGTTTTTAGGAACAGCTTTGAATACCTCAGTACCATATTAGGTTTTAACTATTCAACTTTAACTAGTTTATATAAGGGAGTGATACTCTTGCCACCTTTATGTTTCCTGTTTTGTTTTCTCCTTGTTTGCTTTTTTCTTTTGAGAAGGGAAAAATTAGGGAGTAAAATCTGATGCAGCATTTGAAACTATTAATAGTTGCCATAGTAATAAGTAGCAGCAGTAGTAAAATGTAGATACCAGTACATCAAAGTGACACCGAATAGGCTAAGCCAGGGGATGAATCCCTAACCCCTCAGTTCAGTATGATCGCAACAGCAGACTGACCGCAGCAGAAAAATAAGGAGGAATCTGAGAAGCAGAAGACTTTTCAGTATTTCTTTATAGAAAAGTCATCTTTGTGTCTGGTCACACTCCTCTTTTTGAAATAGCAATGCCAGCATAAAAGTAATATATGTCTGATAGGTAGATACATGCATATGTACACACCTTTATATGTATGTATATACCCTTGTATCTTTTTTTTTTTTTTTGCCTTGGCTAAAGAATTCAGATACCATCTGAATTAGGCAATAGCACATTCATGAATGTGCTGTATATTAATTCCAAGACTCACTGTGTTCAAGTAAACGTAGTCATTTGTAAAGGCAAGTATATCTAGTTTTCACAAGTTTTTCACTTGAATTCTGCAACCAAGTTTAGCAAATATATTAACCTAATTAAATCACTTTAGTCCAGCAGTTTATCAGAATTTATGGAGCACCTACTAAGCTAGGCATTAGAGACAAAAAGACGCCTGAAAAACATTCCTACCTTTGATCTTGAAATCTAATGGAACTCAAGGACAAAGGACTTTCAATCAAGCATTAGCTATGGGAGTAGAAGAGTGGGCTAAAAGAAAATGCTTTTCGTTTTGAGGTTAGTAACCCTGCTGATATATTAGATAAATTCCTAAGTGTTTACTATGGAAAGCCAGCTGAATTCAATGAATGTTCTCTCGTGAAAAATAAAAAGGCATATGCTTTGACAAATATTATGTAAATTTAATTCATTTGTATGTGTTAGAAGGTAGAAGTATGCATTATTTCTGAGTGCAGAAATATGTACTATGTTGGAATGTACTGACAGAGCAAACTCCAACATGACGGAAGAGAGTGCATTTTCAAGAGTTTGTTCTCTTTACTTTAAACACAGTTCTTATAGTAAAAATTGTATTATCTAGAAGTTGACATAGAAAGCTAGAAAAAGCAGTGTTTTTGATGCTCCTATTATATTGTTTAAGGACCAGAGTGATTAACTGCTGTCAGCACCCTTTGAATAATGTTAGGACATGTAAAACTGCCAAGTTAAAGTTGTTTCTAATAACTTTAACTAAGCCAAATAGTACCTTATGGAAAAAATAAAATCTTTCCCCATGCTTCACACAGGTAGGAAACAGAAAGCTTCAGAAGTCCATGGAGAAAAAGACAGGTATTTTAAAAAATAGTTTAATTAGTATTATGTGAAGCTAGAATTGATTCTAAAAATAGGTAATTGAAAAGTTTTGTTAAATTTCTTAATCTTAGAAAAGAGTGATAGAAATATAAATTTCAAGTTGTCTCTGAGGTACTTCAGAAATAATTTTATTTTCCTTCAAAGCTCCATTTTCCAAATATTTGAAAGCAGAAAGGTACAAAACAAAAAAATGTAAGGAATTCTTAGAAAAGAAGCAATTAATAAGTTAGAAAAACCCCTCTTTCAAGTCCTTTTCTTCTACTTTTTATCTTTAGATCCTTCCTTCTTTGCCTACTTGTCTAGTCCAGTTATTCCTTCTCCAGGGGCAACTTGAGATTTACATTTCTGTGAAAGGTCTTTCTAAATCTACTTACTCTAAGAAGGTCTTTATTGGCTTGTAGAAATGGATGTATTTCGCAGTATTGTGCTATTACATATAATTCATTATGATTAAATTCATTTCCTCGTTTCTACAATATATGTAGAATAAAACACATTAATTATACTATAAATACTAGGACTTTGCTGGCTGCTTATAACCATACAATATGGTTTAGAATCTCTGAATGTGTATAAATTAATGATTTGATTTTTAAGAAATAATAATTCAGTTTTTTACTTTGCTCTTCTTTAGGTATGTTAGAGCGGAAGTTCTGGCTGGCTTTGTCAATGGCCTATTTTTGATCTTCACTGCTTTTTTTATTTTCTCAGAAGGAGTTGAGGTATTGTAAATAATGATTAGACTCAGTAAATTACATTTCTGTAATGAAAATGTTTATGAACTAAAGATACATGTACAGAGCTGCTTTCACGCTATTAAGTATTGAGGACAATCTTGGGTCAGATAAAATCTTATGTAAGAGGACTTTACAAAACAGTTGAAAAAAATTAAATATACGTGAAACTACTTGAAATTGAAAACAATTAAATGAAAGTGCTTTATAAGGTTATGAATGAAGTGTTGACTCTGTGAAAAGTAAAAGCACGATCTGGGAGTGAGGTCTGTCGGGAAGGGTTCTTAAAATAGAATCTGAGAGTTTTGCCATTGAACTTTAATATTTGGTATAATAAAAAAAATAAAGAGAAGATTGAAAGATCAATGAACCTTAAATGAATGGCAATATTATTTAAGATATCAAAGAGGGATAGGTTTTAGACCAAACAGTCATGCTATTAAATATTTGTGTTTCTTTAAAAATAGTAATTTTATCTTGTCTGCAGTAAGTGAGCACTATTTTTTTTTATTTTTTCCTATAAACTGTTTTGGCATATATTTTTAGAATGCTTTTAATTTTGAAAATAATCAAAAAATTTTAAAGATTGCTTTTTGTTTTTACCAGTTGATCAATCAGAAATTATATCAATGCTCTTTGTTTGTATTATGTGTTTTCTAGAGAGCATTAGCCCCTCCTGATGTACACCATGAGAGACTGCTTCTTGTTTCAATTCTTGGGTTTGTGGTAAACCTAGTAGGAATATTTGTTTTCAAGCATGGAGGTCATGGACATTCTCATGGCTCTGGTATGATGGTTAGAACCCTTTGTTTCTTCATTTTTCTCTTTTCCATCATAATTATCACTTCTAACAACTAATAAATTTTAAAATTAAAGCCTGGGTTGATTTTTAATAACAGAAATAATATGTTAATAGACTCTTACTAATGTCTTTCTGAGCTATCACTCCCACTTCTCCATGTTCCTCCATCCAAGTGCCATCTCAAGATTATACATGTTCTCAGTTTGGTGTGGATCCTTCCAGACCTCTGTAGCTTATCTGTTTAGTATGACACCATTTATATAAAACCAACAAATAAACATTAAAAACCACAAAACAAATCTAGTTACTAAAAACTATAGTGTATGTGGGTATGAAATTTATTCTACCATCTGTTTTTGAGATCCTTCTGTTTGGTATACGTCAGTCCGCCTTCTCTTGTTAACATAAAACTCCACGGTGTGAGATACTATGCTTATTTAAACTGGTCTTCTGTGTATAGACTTTAAGTCCTTTCCACATGAAGCATATCCTTGTGAATATATGCAAGTGTTTTTCCTAAGCTGTGCCATCCCATTTGGTAGCCATTAGTCACATGTGGCTATTTAAGTTTAAATTATGGTTAATTGAATTTAATAAAATTAAAAATTCACTTCTTCAGTTATATTAGCGATGTTTCCAGTGCTCTGTAGCCACATAGGGCTATCATATTGGACAGCAGATATAGAACATGTCCATCACAGAAAGTGCTTTGAATTTCACTGTGCTGGAATATAAGTAGAGTTGCTGGAACACAGGAAGTACAGTTTTTAGTTTCAATAGACAATGGCAAATTGCCCTCCGAAATGACTCATCCACATTTATCCCAGCAATGAATGCCAGTACTAATTTCATCCCACTTACATCAAAACTTATTATTATGGGTTTAAAACTGTTTTGCTAATACTTTGATAAATATGTTATCTCATTTTATTTATTATTTCTCTGATTAGTAGTGAGGTTGAAAATCTTTCTGTATGTTTTTAGGCCACTCAGGTTTTTCCTCTCCTAGAATTGTCTATTTATTTTTGCTTGTTTTTCTATGGTCTTCCTGTTAATCCATTTATAATAATTTTTATATGTTTTGTATACTAATTGTTTTATGTGTGGCAAACAACTTTTCCCAATCTATGGCTTATCTTTAAACTTTTATATAGGGGTTCTAATTTGGATATAGTCTTACTGTTTCTTACATTTTTTCTGGCGTGTTTTCTACGTTTGAGATGTTTCCTGTACCTGAGTCATAAACGTATACTCCTATATTTTAATGCTGTTAAAATGTCAGGGTTTTTTCCCTCATCCATTTGTTCCTTCATCTATATGTAATTTGTTTTCATAATGGAGTGAGTTACGACTTAATTTTTTTTTTTTCAGTGTGAATAAGCAGTATTCCAAGCACCAATTATTAACCTGCCTTTTACCCCATTGAGGTAAAAGAACACTTTTAGCCTATATTAAATTGCCTTTCAAAGTTGTTTGGGCCTCTCTTGCTCAATTGGTTTTTTCATCAGCTTGTCAAGTTGTATGAAAAATCTTTTGGAGATTTTGACTGGGAATGCATAAAAGAATTTTTATGTCTTTTACTAAATTGTCTTTGCTATTTTGATAAAGATCTTCGTATTTTTTGGTCAGTTCATTTTTAGGTAGTTGGATGTTTTTATTACTATTAAGAATAAAAACTATTATTCCTGCTTGTCTTATTGCATAACCAGGATCTCTAGCACAGTGTTGATTGGAAATACTTAGTTTGTATCCTTGTGTCAACCTGGATGATCACCTGAGTAACTTAACATTTTATCAGAATCCCTGGAGGAAGCCCCAAACATCAGCATGTTTTAAAGCTCTCCAGGTGACATTAATGTGCATTCTTCATTAAGTCAATGAAGAATGTTACTAAAGTTTTACCATTTGGTCTGATGTTTATGGTCTGTTTCTGATGAAACTATTTTATCAAGTTAAGGATATTACTTTTCTTCCTGAATCTATTGAAGTAATCATTTTTTTCCTCCTTAGTTAATTTAAAATTTGTAATTACATTGATAGATTTCTTATAAGGAACCATCCTTAAATTTTATGGTTAAAATGTATCCATTTAGGTCTGCATTTAGGTGTGTGATCCATTTTCAGTCCATTTTTGTATATGGTGTGAGGTATGGGCCCAATATTTTATTGTATATAGATTTTGGTTGTCTCAGCACCATTTGTTAAAAAGATTATTTTCACCCCTCTGAATTGTCTTGGCACTCTTGTCAACAATCAGTTGACCATAAATGTGAGAGTTTAGGGGTGGCTGGGTGGCTCAGTTGGTTAAGCGACTGCCTTTGGCTCAGGTCATGATCCTGGAGTCCTGGGATCGAGTCCCACATTGGGTGCCCTGCTCAGCAGGGAGTCTGCTTCTTCCTCTGACCCTCCCCGCTCTCATGCTCTCTCTCAAATAAGTAAATAAAATCTTTAAAAAAAAAAATGTGATAGTTTATTCTGGACTCTCAACTCTGTTTCATTGATCTCTGTGTTTATCCTTATGCCAGTACCCTACTTGTTTAATGTACCTTTGAGGGGTGCCTGGGTGGCTCAGTCATTAAGTGTCTGCCTTCGGCTCAGGTCATGATCCCAGGGTCCTGGGATTGAGCCCCACGTGGGGCTCCCTGCTCCACAGGAAGCCTGCTTCTCCCTCTCCCGCTCCCCCTGCTTGTTTTCCCTCTCTTGCTGTGTCTCTCTCTGTCAAATAAATAAAATCTTAAAAAAAAAAAAAGTAATGTACCTTTAAGGCAGTTTCAAATTGGAACATGTGAGTTATCCAACTTTCTTCTTTTTTAAGATTATTTTACCTATTACTGACTAATTTAAGATTATTTTACATATTTATATTTCCATATATGGGCTCGTGGGTGGTGCATCTGGCTAAGCATCCGACTCTTGGTTTAGGCTCAGGTCGTGATCTCGGGGTCATGAGATCAAGCCCTGCGCTCTGCTCAGTGCAGTCTGCATTAGTTTCTCTCTCCCTCTCCCTCTGCCCCTCCTTCTGCTCACTCCCATGTGTGCATGCTCTCTCTCTCTCTCAAATAAATCTTTAAAAAATTTTTTTAAGATCCGCTTGTCAATTTCTGCAGAAAAAAGGCAGTTGGGATTTTGATAGAAATTGTGTTGAACCTGTAGATCAATTTGGGAAGTATTGTCATGTTAACAATGTTAAGTCTTCTGATCCATGAACATGGGATGCCTTCCCATTTATTTATAGCTTTTTTAATTCCTTTCAGCATGTTTTATAAGTTATTAGTGTACATGTTTCACACTTCTTAACTTTACAATTAGGCTTTCTTTTTTTTTGTTACTATTGTAAATGTGATTGTTTTCTTAATTTCATTTTTTGATTGTTCTTTACTAATGTTTAGGGATACAGTTCATTTTTGGATACTGATCTTGTGTTTTGCCACATTGCTGAAGTTGTTCAATATTCTAATATATCTTCAGTGGATTCTGTAGAATTTTTTAGTATCATGTCATCTGCAAATAGAGATGATTTTACTTCTTCCCTTCCCATCTGAATGCCCTTTTTTCCCCTTCCTTAATTGCCCTGATCGTATGCTTCAGCACAGTATTAAAGATTTATTTATTTTTCTGTGAGAGAGAGAGAGAGAACGCACACACGTGAGTGGGGGAAAGGGCAGAGGAAGAGGGAGAAAGAGAATCTCCAGCAGACTCCCTGCTGAGCGTGAAGACCAAGGTAGAGCTCCATCCCACGACCCTGAGATCATGACCTGAGCTGAAACCAAGAGTCCTACACTTAACCAAGACACCCAGGCGCCCTGCTTCAGTACAGTGTTAAATAGAAGTGGTGAGAGAGGAGGACATCCTTACTTTTTTTCCCTGATTTTATGATGAAGGCATTCAGTCTTTCTTCATTAAATATGATGTTAGCGGGTACCTGGGTGGCTCAGTTGGTTGGGCGACTGCCTTCGGCTCAGGTCATGATCCTGGAGTCCCGGGATCGAGTCCCGCATCGGGCTCCCTGCTTGGCAGGGAGTCTGCTTCTCCCTCTGACCCTCCTCCCTCTCATGCTCTCTATCTCTCATTCTCTCTCTCTCAAATAAATAAATAAAATCTTAAAAAAAAAAAATATGATGTTAGCTGTGTTAGCCATGTGTTTTTCAGAAATGCCCTTTATCGGATTGAGAGAGTTCATTTCTATTCCTAGCCTACTAGGTGTTTTTATCATGAAAGGGTACTGGGTTTTGTCACAACTTTCTCCTTCATTTTTTGAGATGATCAGTTGGTTTTTATCCTTTATTCTATTAATATGATGTATTACATTGCTTGATTTTTGGATATTAAACCACCTTTTCATTCTTAGGATAAATCCCATTTGGCCATGGTTTATCTTTTTTATATATTGTTTCATTTGGTTTGTTAGTACTTTGTTGAAAACTTTTGTGTCTGTATTCTTAAGGAATTTTGGCCTGTACTTTTCTTTTGATGTCTTTGGTTGACATTGGTATCAAGATAATATTGGCCTTTTGTAATAAGTTGGGAAGTGTTCTCTTTTCTTCTATTTATTTTTTTTAAGGGGGTAGGTGCGGAAGAGTGTGAAGTATTGGTATTTTTAAATGTTTGGCAGAGTTCAGTATGAAGTTATCTGGGCCTGGGCTTTTCTTTTTTGGAAGTTTTTAAATTTTTCTTTCTTTTTTTTTTTTTTGCGTATTATAGGTCTGTTCAGATTCCTGTTTCCTTTGGAGTCAGTTTCAATAGTTTGTGTATTTCTAGGAATGTTTGTTTGTCCATTTGTCCATCCCATCTAAATTACCTTGTTTACTTGTTTATGGTATGTCTTTTTAAAAATTTATTTTATTTCCATAAGGTCAGTAGTGAAGACCTCTCTTTTCCCAGTGTTAGTAATTTGTGCTTTCTGTCATTTTTTTTCTTGGTTAATTTAGTTAAAAGTTTATCAATTTTGTTTATTTTTTTTTAAAGAATGCCCTTTTGGTTTTATTGATTTTTTTTCCCATTGTTTTTCTCTTCTCTATTTAATTTTATTTCTGCTTTAATATTTTTTATGTCCTTTCTTCTCCTTGCTTTGCCTTTAGTTCTTCTTTTTTTAGTTTCTTAAGGTGGAAAATTAGATTATTGATTTGAGATTTTTTTTTACCATAGGGAAATATTTTTCTAAGCCCTGCTGAAATATAATCTGTAAGTTTTGTATGTCATGTTTTTTCATATCATTTTTGTCATCTCAAAGTATTTTTCAGTTTCCTTGTGATTTCTTCTTTGAACCATTAGTTATTTAAGAGTGTGTCCTTCATTTTTCTTCTGTCGTTAATAATCTAATTTAATTCCATTGTGATCAGATGACACACTTTTTAGGATTTCAGGTTCTTTTCAATTTATTGAGTCTTATTTTATGACCTAGCATTTGGTCTGCATGGATAAATGTACACTTGAGAAGAATATGTACTCTTTGTTCTATAGATGTCTGTTAGGTCTAATTTGTTCGTAGTTGTTCAATCTTCTAGTTTTTTGTTGATGTTCTGCCAAGTTATCTATTTGTTATTGAAAGTAGGTATTGAAGTCTCCAACTATTATTGTTGAATTATATATTTTTTCAGTCAATTATTTTAGGTTTTGCTTCATGTATTTTGGAGCTGTGTTGTTCAGTGCAATATGTTTATAATCGTCATATCTTCCAGATAGATTGAATATGTTATTATATGATCTTTTTTTCTTACAGTAATTTTTGGCTTACAGTTTATTTTGTCTGACATTATGATAACCATTCCAGCTTTTTTTTTTTTTTTTAACTACTTGCATGGTGTATTTTTCTTCCTATCTTTTTGCTTTCAACCTGTTTGTGTCTTTGACTCTAAAGTGTGTCTCTTGTAGACAGAATGTAACTGGATCATATTTTTTTTTATCCATTCTGACAATCTCTGTCTTTTGATTGGGATATTTAAACAATTTACATCTCATGTAATTACTACTAAGGTAGGATTTACATCTGCCATTATAATACTTGTTTTCTATATCTTCTGTCCTTTTTGTTACTCTATTCCCTGATTCCTGTTTTTTAAATATAATACTTTCTAGTGTACTTCTACTTCTCTTGTTTCTTTTACAAGTAGCATCTTAATTTAAAACAGTTTAGTTCAGATTAATAGTAATTTAGTAATACACAAAACCTTTGCTCCAATATACCGCCATGTTTACCTCTCTTCTTCATACTATTATTGTCATACAAATTTCATGCTTTTATGATGTCCATCAATACAGTTTTATAATTATTACTTAATACAATTGTCTCTTGAAACATACAGGAAAAGAAACGAGTCATAAATTTAAAATATATTTATCCTCTGTCATAATTGCCTTTACCAGTGCTCTTTATTTCTCTGTGTGGATTTTTGTTACTGTTTGGTGTTCTTTCATTTCATTTGCAGGTAGTGTTTTTGTTTATGTGATAATGTCTTATTTCTCCTTTATTTTTAAGGGAGAGAGTTGAGTTTAGCATTCTTAGTTGAGTCTTTTTCTAACATTTTGATTTTGTCATCCCATTGGCTTTTGGCCTCCATGGTTTTTGTGGAGAAGTCACCAGTTAATCTTACTCAAGTTCTGTTATACATGGTAAGTTATTTTTATCTTGGTGTACAACTTCCAGTGTCTCTGACATTCATCAGTTTGACTATGGTGTTTCTAGATATGGCTCTGTTTGAGTTAATTCTTGGATTTTCCTAAGTTTCTTGAATGTGTAGATTAATATTTTTCATCAAAGTTGGGGTTTCTAGCCATTATTTCTTCAAATATTTTTTCTGTCTCTTCTTTTTTTGGGGACTCCTTAATGCTTAATTTGGTACATTTGATGTTTCCACAGGTCTCTAAGGCTATGTTTATTTTTCTTAATTTTCTTCTTTTCTGCTCCTCAGAGTGGACAGTCTCTAGTGATCCATCTTCCAAGTTTGCATAATTGTAGCTCAGATCTGTTGTTGAGCACTTCTAGTAAATATTTTACTTCAGTTACTATATTTCTTTAATTCCGTAATTTTTTGTTTGGTTCTTTTTTTATAATTTCTCTTTATTGATATTCTCTATTTGGTGAGTTATTGTTGTTATACTTTAATTCTTTAGACATGGATTTCTTTATTTCTTTGAACATATTCTAATGGCTGATTTAAATAAAGTCTTTGTCCAAAATCTGGGTCTCCTTCAGGAACATTTTCTGTGGGTTGCTTTTTTTTTCTATGTATGTAGCATACTTTCATCTTTCTTTGCATGTCTTACAATTTTTGTCGTTGTTGAAAACTGGACATCTTATATTATAATGACTCTGGTATCATTACTTTACCTCTCCCTTCAAAGTTTGTTGCATTATTTTGTTTTTGTTTTTTCTAAGGATTCTACCTGCTATAATGTAATTCTGCTGATCTTTTATCAAATACAGTGCCTTCCCTGCCACTGCCTCAAAGTGACCGTATGCATACATTTTGTTTTACTTTGATAGTATATGTAATAGTACTTTGCAAAGTTTTAGCTAAGATTTTTGTCTGTGGTCTTCACTGCGTTATCCCCAGTGCCTAGAATAGTGCCTCTAACATAGTGTGTTTCAAATAAGTATTTCCTGAATGAATGAATGAATGAATGAATGAATGGCATTGTCTAATCTCTAAATATTTCTGTGTACTTCTCACTTATTTTCATCTCCAGTAAAGTCTACCACTTCCCTCCATATTTCATTTCCTTCCCATACTCCATGGTAGGAACTCAATCAGTTTTAATGAATCTATAATACTTTTTACAAGTAGATCTTTACTTAATTGAATCTCTTTTTAGAGCTAATTCTTTTCACTGATATCAGTATTATTGTAACCATTTATATAATATAGTTTTACATACTTTTTGTTCTAACTACTTTTTAGGCCATGGACACAGTCATTCCCTTTTTAATGGTGTTCTGGATCAGGCACATGGCCATGGAGATCACTGCCACAGTCATGAACTGAAACATGGTGCTGCACATAGTCATGATCATGCTCATGGACATGGACAATTTCACTCTCATGGTAAGTACAGCCAAAATACTTTCAAATGGACAGCCTTCCAAATATACAGAAATTTTGTATAGATTACTCTTTTAGTTGAGATAATTTCTTCAAAAGGTTTTGTAATCAACTTCCTTTCTAATGAATCAGACTAAATGGTTCGCAGGGCTTGTTCATTTTTAGTATATAATGAAATTAACTCAGTATAATGCCAAGGATATAGCTGTTTTTCAGTGAGTATATTATACTATGTGCTACTATTTTAAATGAGCTTCAGTGAATGAGAAACAATTGCATTTTAGCAAATGAAAATTATAATTTTTTAAGTACAGACAAGATTGGGTGCGTTTTTTAAGTACAATAAGGCCTTTTGTCCTACATAGGCTTATAAAAATACAATAGGGGTTTTCAGTTTTGCATATTTTCATTGTAATTTTTGGTGAATATCACCCGATACTTCCTTGTGCCCTTAGAAATCTTTGTATGCTGGAGTACCTGGGTGGCTCAGTTGGTTAAGCATCTGCTGTTGTCTCAGGTCATGATCTCAGGCTTCTGGGATTGAGGCCCTCCTCAGCAGGGGAGTCTACTTCTCCCTCTTTCTCTGCCCCTCCCCACTGCTCAGAGTATAGATTAATAGAAGTTACTTAGATACCACAGTCAGATTATCTTTAAATAAATTATATTCTCAAGTATTGTCTATACCTGCCAAATAGAATCCTCAGACTTTTGATTTGAAAATTGAAAAGGGAATTGAATATTAAGTCCCTAATTTATCAGTCTCTAAAATTTGCTATATTTTTGTAACTATTATACTGGTATGTTTTATTTATTACTTCTTATTTATTTTTAATTCCAGTATACTTAACATACCATATTACATTAGTTTCAGGTGTACAATATAGCGATTCAACAATTATATACATTACTCAGTGCTCATCAAGATAAGTGGACTCTTAATCCTCTTCACCTGTTTCACTCATCCTCCCACCTGCCTCCCCTCTGGTAACCATCAGTTTGTTCTCTAGTTAAGAGTCTGTTTTTTGGTTTGTCTTCTTTTTTTTCCCTTTGTTCGTTTGTTTTGTTTTGTTTTTTTGAGAGAGAGCATGGGTGAGTGGGGGAGAGGGGCATAGACAGAGAGAATGAGAGAGAGAGAGAATCATAAGCAGGCTCCATGCCCAGCACATGGAGCCTGATGTGGGGCTTGGCCTCATGACCCTGAAATCATGACCTGAGCTGAAATCAAGAGTCGGATGCTTTACCAACTGAGCCACCCACGTGCTCCCATTTGTTTTGTTTCTTAAATTCTATGAATGAGTGAAATCCTGTGGTATTTGTCTTTCTCTGACTGACTTATTTCACTTAGCACAATACACTCTAGCTCCATCCACGTCATTGCAAATGGCAAGATTTCAGTCTTTTTGATGGCTGAATAATATTCCAACGTGTGTGTGTGTGTGTGTGTGTGTGTGTTTACACACACCACATCTTTATCCATCTGTCGATGGACACTTGGGCTGCTTCCATAATTTGGCTGTTGTAAATAATGCTGCAGTAAAGAGTGGTGCATATATCCTTTCAAATTAGTGTTTTGTATTTTTTGGGTAAATACCTAGTAGTGTGATTACTGGATTATATGGTAGTTCTATTTTAAACTTTAGGGGAACTGTAAAAAACATACTGTAAAAAACCAAGAGTCAAATTCTTAACCGACTGAACCACCCAGGTACCCCTAGAATGAAAGTTCTATATTACTCTGAAATATATTCATTAGACTCCAAAGAACTTAGTGGTTTGAGACCCACTCTCACCCATTCAAAACTTGTAAATAGTTATAAATTTAACAACATCCTGTTTCTCCTTGAATTTTTATTTTCATTACAGAATTTTATAATAAGGGATTATATTTGGGTTAAGTTATTAATTGATCATGTGTTCTACTTCTTAGCAATAAAATAGGTATATAAATTTAAATTTTTTATCTAGAAACATAAGACTTAGTGTTTAAACATTTCTTTTGGATGGAGTTATTGTAGTTTTTTTTTTTTTTTAAAGATTTTATTTATTTATTTGACAGAGACACAGCGAGAGAGGGAACACAGCAGGGGGAGTGGGAGAGGGAGAAGCAGGCTTCCCGCTGAGCAGGGAGCCCGATGCGGGGGCTCGATCCCAGGACCCTGGGATCATGACCTGAGCTGAAGGTAGACGCTTAATGATTGAGCCACCCAGGCGCCCCTGGAGTTATTGTAGTTATTACTAAAAGTCAAAGTAATTCTATTTTTAAAATGTTGATGCATGTATAATCATAAAAGGCAACGTTTTACTTAAAATACATATATTAATGCAATAATTTGAGCTCTTTTTTTCTCAATTAGTGTATGGAAAAATGACACTGACACTTATCAGCATAAAAAAGGTTTTGGCAATAATTCTGTTCCTATTTTCTAGCTTTATAATGCAAGTGCTAAGAAACCTTAAATAGAAGAAATTCTGTTTATAGCAGTTTCGGTGAATTCTTTGAACACCTTCAGAATTACATTCCAAAAATTACTTAGTGATCTGTTATCAAAAATTATTTTTGATAATCTATAAATTGGCAGCTTCATTAGCTAATCCTTGCATTCTATTAAAAACAGTTGGAAACTGTTGCTTACAAAAGGATTTGCCAGCTAGTCAGTAGAGTCGTTGCTTTTGTAGCATTACCACCAATATTTGCAATTGACCCCTTGTTTGTTGCCCTAGAATTTTTTTTATACCTTGAGCAATGCACTGTAGTAAGATTCTAAATAGGTGAAAGGTAGCTTTTCTTTTTGGCCAAGGGGGAGAAGGATAAGTGGCAAGGAAGAATTTATATGACATCAGGGCACATGGAGATCATAGTAACTAGTAAAAGGAAATGTTAGGCTTCAAACACAAGGAAATCTGACTCCAGGGGTGCCTGGGTGGTTTAGTCGTTGAAGCATCTGCCTCTTAGTTTTTTATGTTGGTTGAGTGTCCCACTCTTGATTTTGGCTCGGGTCATGATCTCTGGGTCATGGGATTGAGCCCTGCATAGGGTTCCTTGCTCAGCGGGGAGTCTGCTGGAGATTCTTCCTCCACTCTCTGCCCCTCCCCCCTGCACTCTATCTAAAATAAATAAAAAAAGGAAATCCGACTCCAGAATCTTCTCTTTACTATTATTTCTGCCTTCAGTATATATTAGCCAGTATGAGGATACAAAAGTAATAGGGCCATGATTCCATTTTGCTCTTAAGAGACATCATAGTCTCACTGGGAAATGCTGTGAGCTCTATATTTATTGAAATGCTACACTGTCAGTAAAGCTAGCTGGTTTTTGTTTGCTTGGTTTAACTGCTCATATCTCAGTGACTCAAGCAGTAAAAGTTTATATCTTGCTCTTGGGTTGATGGGGTAAAGGAGGGTGGGTGCTGTTTTTCATTCAATTTAGGGATCTAGGTTCCTTTCATCCCTGGGATTCTTGACCCTTGGAACCTCCACTGGATTCCCTGCATCTACCCGGAGATAGAGTACATAGAAGATCATATGGGACATTTTTATGAGCCTAGAAGTGGTTTACTTGTCATAATTATTTTTTTTTTTATTTAATTTATTTATTTAACAGAGAGAGAGCACAAGCAGGGGGAGCGACAGGCAGAGAGAGAAGCAGGCTCCCCGCAGAGCAGGGAACCTGTTGTAGGGAGCCTGATACAGGGAGCCTGATGCAGGGTTTGATCCCAGGACCCTGGGATTATGACCCAAGCCAAAGGCAGACGCTTAACCGACTGAGACACCCAGATGCCCTACCTGTCATATTTCTTTGCTTAATACTGTTAAATATATCATATAACTCAAGAGAGCCTGGGAAATGTAGTTTATTTGTTTACCAAAGAAGAAGAAGAAGAAATGGGTGATAAACAACTAGCTAGTGTCTACCACAGATAACAAATTTTATATCCAGAAGGACTTTTCAGATTTTACGTAGGTGGGAATTATATTATTTTACATAACCATTATATTAATATAGCAGAATACACCTTTCCAAATAATTATGTCAAAAATTACCGTCATTATCTGGACCTACTACTTATAGACAAATCTCCTCCCTTGATCAGGAGCTGAATTTTTAGAACAGTTAACACTTTTGACAATTAGCATGATTTTTAAGGTGACTATGTCTTTCTCCCCACCATAGCAGTGCCATATCCAGACAGAAATCACTGTGCAGCCTTAGGCTTTTATGCCTCTTCTGGCATTGTTATGAGCTCTATCAAAGTTGTAGTAAGGATATGTCAGCTCTTCGGTACTATGGGCCAAGAACCATGACCCCAGGCAGGCTTTCTGTTAGACATGTTCAGAAAGCTTGTCAGGCCTCCTGATGATCTCAATATTGCTGATCTTTTACCTTGTTTACCTATGTTTTCTGCCTTTATGTTAAAGCTGATAGTATCTTCAGAGTCAGTATAGAAATTGCAGTATTTTTAAATTTTTTTCATCATAAAGGCAAAATGAAAAGTATTTTTATCTCTTCTGTTTGAAAAGCTTGCCACATCCATCTAGAAGCTATTGGAAAGCTCTTGTTTGCCATAGTCTGTTATCCTGGATGCTGTCCTGGCTTTATTTCTTGGATTTCTTGTAACTTTCAACAGTAGATTTGTTTTGTCTGAGTTTTCCAGTTGTAAAATTAGTGTAGCTAACTGTAGTATAAGGTATGTTATGAATAGTAGAAGACTTTCACAATGTTTTTAATTTACTATTTTTACCAGTATGCTTGATATAATAATTTCCTAAATACTGTATACCATTTTGAAATTGCCCGTGTCTGTCTCCATTAAATTATTGTATTAAATTTAAAAAAGAATTTTGTAAATCTGATGTGGCTGTATAGTCATGCATCCTTCATGATATATTTGAATGAAAAATTCTCTGAATTGCAAAAATTGAATCGGTAATTGAAGATATATTTTAAAATAATTAAACTTAACTCTCTACAGATGGTCCCTCCTTAAAAGAAACAGCAGGACCCAGCAGACAGATTTTACAAGGTATGACAAGTAATTTGTGTATTTCTCAGTTTTATGAAACAGGTTTCATTGTGTTGAGCTAGCTGAAGTTTTCCTTTAAGAAAAATATGTAACAGTATTTGTGTCTAAAATATTATCTTTCTTTGTGACTTTTTAAATATATACTATTAGTTATATTAGCATACATTCTTTTAACTATCACTTGGCTATTTCCTTAGATTTAATAAGATTACGGTAGTTAAAAACTGTACTGCTTAACTATAAATAATAGCCATGCCAATGACTATAGTAACACCATAGTAATATATTTGCCTCCATAGGATTACTAAATAAGAATATATATATATAATTTATTTTTCTTATTTTGCATCTGATAATTTAATATGTGAGTCATTTGGGTTCTAAATCTTTGCTTTGTTGTTATTGATCCTTTCCTCTAGCCAGAGGTCATATTGAAGATGCTGCAAATAACTGAAAAATTCAGTTAACTCAGTTTTCATGTGTGAGTACCCACATGGAAACTTTGAATACCAGACAGATTTCCCTATCCTTGAGCTAACTACTGGGCTGCTGCAGCCACCATAAATTGATGGATACTCAGAAAATATAAAGTAATTTTCATAACGCTCATATAAAAGATAATTAGGAAGGCAGCTCTAACCTCCCTTCCCTCAACTTGTGATGATTTCCAAAACTAAAAATAAACTCCTATTATCAAGGCTAATTTATAGCATTGGATATAGATGCATTACATATGCATGATTATAAGCTATTTCAGCAAATGCTGTTCTAAACCAATTCTATATATTTTGCAAATGGAAAACTAGGAACTGGAGGACACATTTAAGCCTCCTGAAATAAACTCCTCAGTATGGAGGAGCACATTCATAGTGGGGGAAAAAAAAAAAACAAGAGCTATATCAAGAAATAGTGGAGAAAAATAGGCGCAGTAGAGATTGGATCACAAGCTATTGAGAAAGTCAGATTGAAGTCAAAATCTAATAAAAGCAGGAAGGTGGGGAGCTGGGAGTTAGGAAACTTTGATGATGAAGTCTAAATAGAAATTCAGAGCCAGGGGCGCCTGGGTGGCTCAGTTGGTTAAGCGACTGCCTTCGGCTCAGGTCATGATCCTGGAGTCCCGGGATCAAGTCCCGCATCGGGCTCCCTGCTCTGCAGGGAGTCTGCTCCTCCCTCTGACCCTCCCCCCTCTCATGTGCTCTCTGTCTCTCTCATTCTCTCTGTCTCAAATAAATAAATAAAATCTTTAGAAAAAAAAAAAAGAAATTCAGAGCCAAAGATTGGCTCCTACCCCAAAGAAACTATCATAATTCACAGACAAAACTGATTTTCTCTGCTTTGTAAAATTTTATAATGTATCATTTTACATGACATGTAAGCTCCTGTTTAGCCATCATCATTTGATGCCTATGGATATGACAAAGGTCACACTTTGCATTATATATATATCTTTTAATATTAATATAACAGAGTTAACTTTTTAGAGCAATTTTACATTCATAGCAAAACTGAGCAGAAGGTACAGAGATTTCCCATATACCCCTGTCCTGGGGATAGCATTCCAAATTGTCAGAATCCCTTAGCAGAGTAGTACATTTGTTTTATATATATATATAGTCTCTGGCTGGAGTGTTCTTGGGCAGTTAAAATATTCGTATCCTTCCAAGTCTTCTAAGGCTTTCAACTTTTATGTAAGTTAAACATACTAGTTTAACTTCTTTCTTTAGTGATTTTTCTTCTTGAAACAGTTAACTAGAAAGTGAGAAGGGCTTAGGTAATTAATGACATTTGCTAATAAAGCCACTTTTCAGGTTGGCACATAAGATGTAGTCAGGGACTTTTCAGTCAAAGAAAAATCAAGAACAAATGATTCTTTTTCCTTTCGATTATTTAGAGCTGTTTTTATGTCTGATCCTACTAAAACACTGATTAAAGAATATAAGGGCTTAAAATCACATTTCACTTAAGAGTTTTGAAGCGTAGGTCCCTTCAGTCTACTTTGATGGGTATTTTTCTTCAGTTTTGTTTTTTAAACTTAATGTGGCCTTGACACTTACTAGTCTGTTTAATTCTTTGCTATTTGAAATACCCTAGAGGAAGAGTTGTTTCCTCTAAGTATGCTTTGGCATAATATTTTTGTTACAGGAAATAGAGCCATTAGCTTTTTGAAGAATAGTTATAAACGTCAGTAATCTATACGAATGAAAAAGTATATTAAGTACTGCAGGATGAATTATATTTGGTATAATACTTGATATAAAATTATACAGTAGAAGATGAATCGAAGCATATTTTCCTAGAGCACATTAAGATTTGACTGGACTCAGTAATAGTCTGTTTTTAAATTATTAGAAAGTGTTTTCAAGTTTTAGTAAATCTGTGTTTTACACCTAAAAAAATGGTTTGCCTTTAATAGTCCAGTGAATAATAAAGTAGAATAAGTATTTCTAAAGTAGGTATGTGCTTTTTATGTATTATATCTTTTCAGATAGAATAAATGCTATTTTAAAATATTCTATTTTTAGTAACGTGGTTTAAGTTTGTTTCAAAGACAATGTCTGTATACAGTAAATTTTACCTATTAAAGATCTAAATGTTGAATAATTTGTTGTCTTAAGTCTGTTTAAGAAATAATGTATTTTAAACTTCTTGATTTTTTTAATGGTTTTCCAGTCAATTATTAAATGTTAATATTTAACGGGTTCTGGTTCTGATCTCACTTCTGACCACAAATTAAGATTCTGTGCCCAAATCCAATGCGGGGCGTGAAGAATGTACTCTCATAAGCAAGCAGTTCTCTGATACCTGGAGGTCAGAGGGGGCTGGGACTGAAAGTTCCAACCCTCTAATCATATGATTGGTTCTCCTGGTATCCCATCCTTAGGTGGGGTCCAAAAGTATATTAACATTAACCAGAGACACCTTTGTCACTGTCACTTAGGAAGTTCCCAGGGTTTTCCAGAAACCAGGATGAAGACCAAATATGTATTTCTTATTATAAATCACAGTATCACAATATTGTATCTAGGTTTCAAGACAGAATATCAGTATCCTAACAATTTAATATTTATTTATTAGAAGTTTTAAAAATATTTTATATTTGCTTTTAAATATTCAGATCTCTACTTTCTTCCTTATCAGGTTTGAGCTTAGTGTATAATTTAGGTAACAAAACCTTCAGGATAATTAATAAGTATACCAGGATTTATAGAGTTAGAGTCCATAGGAAATTTAGTCTCAAGTAGTAATAATTTTAATTACCAGCAGAGGGCTCTGTGTGTACAAATATTTGTAGTTACAATGTTTCTTGAACAGTTCTTTCAGCCTAATGCCATTTTCTTTCAACAAATTATTAATTAACTTATGGAGCCTTTAACCAGAGATGAATGTGCTTAAAATCAACTTATTTCTGTACTTACTTCCTCATCTTTGTTATACCAAAATATTAAGGATCATTAAGAACAAGTATAATTTATGAATCAGATATTTTGAACCCTGCTGATTTGAAAAAGGAAAGATTATTTCCATTCCCAGAAGTAGTACTCTTACTTCATTACTAAACAATGAATCTATATTCTTCCTGATTTCCAGATTGGTATTTAGTTTTTTATATATAAAGTCAAGAATATAGTTTTAAGAAATATTTGTATTTTTCATTGATCAGAAGATACTATTTTGATTCTGATTATGCTTTGTTTCCAGGTGTATTTTTACACATTCTGGCAGATACACTTGGAAGTATTGGTGTAATTGCCTCTGCCATCATGATGCAAAATTTTGGTCTAATGATAGCAGATCCTATTTGTTCGATCCTGATAGCCATGCTTATAGTTGTAAGGTAAGTGTTATATGTTACTTTCAGGTATTAAAATGAGAAGTGAGAAATGTGCTACTTAAATTACAGATCTATAATACAAATTATGATTGTGTTGGCTTTCCTTTGGCCTTTAACAAATTCCTATGTAGATTATTTCTCTTTTCATCTTCCTATTTTTTTCTGTTTGCCATTTATTTCTCGTCTAGGTTTTGATGTTTCTTTTTGGTATTTAGCAATTAATCTTTTGGGATTGTAATCCAAATTAATAGGATCTTTTTTAATCCAACATTCTATCTGTAGAGTAGAACACTAATAATGTAAAATGTATTAACTATAGTTAGAATCTTATTCTATATCTTACACTATCAAATGCAAAAAAATGTTAAAGTCTCTTCTACAGCTATTTAATTTATAAAGTTACATTATCATTGCAAAAGTCTTATAAAAATGATTATTGAGGTATATAAGTGTCTATCTCCCTATCTAGTTTTATAAAATTCTTGAGGAAGGGTCTGTCTTTTAGTATAGTTTATCTCTATTGTGCGAACATGTATGTAAAGTGTGTGTGTGTGTGTAAATTCTCAATAAATATTTGCTGCATTAGATTATATAGTATCTCATATTTATCACACTCTGAAATACATTTTTTATTGATTTAATTTTTATCAGAATAATGAAATAATATATTGCCTTTCTTTCACAGTCTTAATTATTTAATGTTAAGTATATATACATATGTCTTGATTTGACTGTTTTTGTTTTATTTATCCATAATGATTTTACTGTCAGCAAAACTTGCTTTCTAATGGTAACTAGAGGGCAGATTATGATGATTTTTACAGCTTATGTTTGAATAGAGTATACTTAATTATGAGGAATTATAATCTTATATAAAATAGTCATAAATATAGATTTTGAAGTTCTTACCTTTAAAAATGGTTATACATTTTAAACATGCAGATTATTTTTTAAGTTTCTTCAAATTATTTGTACTAGGAAGCAGCTCTGCTATGTAAAAGTCTTATAAAGTTTGGAAGTTTCTTCATCTTTGGAAATCTTTGTTTTGAGATAGAGCATGTGAGTGGTGGGGAGAGGGAGGGAGAGAATCTTGTTTAAAATTTTATTTATTTGAGAGAGGGAGCATGCCCATGAGCAGGGGGAGGGGCAAAGGAAGAGGGAGAAGCGGAGTGCCCCCCTGATCAGAGAGCCTGCCGTGGTCATTGGTCCCAGGACCCTGGGATCATGACCTGAGCCAAAGGCAGACTCTTAACTGACTGAGCGCACCGAGAGAGAGAATCTTAAGCAGGCTCCAGGCACAGCCTGAAGCCTGATATGGGGCTCGATCTCATGACCCTGAGAACATGACCTGAGCTGAAATCATGAGTCGGATGCTTAACCACCTGAGCCACTCAGGCACCCCCATCTTTGGAAATCTTTTTTTTTTTTTTTTAAGATTTTATTTATTTGACAGAGAGAGACACAGCAAGAGAGGGAAGACAAGCAGGGAGAGTGGGAGGGGGAGAAGCAGGCTTCCCGCAGAGCAGGGAGCCCGATGCGGGGCTTGATTCCAGGACTCTGGGATCGTGACCTGAGCCGAAGGTAGACGCTTAACGACTGAGCCACCCAGGCGCCCCCATCTTTGGAAATCTTAACTATACTTCCTTGAAAGTTCAGCTTACATGTCACAGAATTCTATAAAACTTAACTCCTGAAAGATTTGGTAACTTGTGTATCTCTCTATTTGCATGTTCAGTGTTTATTTTGTTTTGTATTATAAGTTTTAGTTGCTTCTTATACTTAGAGTTGGATCTTAATTATTGCTTTTTTTTTTTTCCTTGGCTCCACTATTACTATCCTAATTATCCTATCAATTGTTGCTTGGAAGAGCTTGGCTTCTCTGTCTCTCTCTAAACTCTTCTCCACCCTGTGGCCACAGTGATCTTTCTTAAAGGAAGATTATGGTACATGGAAATATTATATTGCTTTAAATTCTTCAGTGGCACTTTCTTACCCTCAGGAAAAGAATAAACTGCTCAATGGGGCGTTATGATGTTACTTGTTTACTTCTCAGTCTTTCTCTCATCCCTTCTCAATTTATATTCTCTCCAGCCATATTAAATTACTTTAGGGGCACCTGGGTGACTCAGTCGTTAAGCGTCTGCCTTCGGCTCAGGTCATGATCCCAGGGTCCTGGGATCGAGTCCCGCATCAGGCTCCCTGCTCGGTGGGGAGTCTGCTTCTCCCTCTCCTTCTGCCTCTGCTTGTGTGCTCTCTCGCTCCTTCTCTGTCAAATAAATAAATAAAATCTTTAAAAAATAAAAAATAAATTAAGTTTCCTGAAAATATGTTATGAGCTGTCTGGATTCTGGGCCATATTTCCTTTCCCCAAAGTACTCTTACACTGAGTGCCTGTCTCCTCCTCCTCCGAGTATGTCCATCATAACTGCTCATCCTTCAGATCAGATTTCAGTTTAAACAGCCCTTTCTTCAGGAAGCATTTCTTGATCGTCCACCTCTCAGGCTGGGTTAAATATACTTATAGCACTTTTTACTATTCCTTTCATGGCATTTACTTACCAAATTGAAATAGCCCGTTTCTTCTCTCTTATGCTCCATGAGGGCAAGTTGTTTTTTCATTGTTGTAAGTCAGCACCGGACTCTGCCAGGCAAAAAGTTTGTGTATTTTGGATTTGAATCAAAATAAATTCATGTTTTTTCAACCTTGGAGAATTTCTTTCTCTGTTCCCAAATAGGGAATTTTTACTTAGTTCTATTCCCATTCAGTTAGTCCACAAATATGAATAAATAAATACATACCCACAACTTTTTTACTGAAATATTACACATTTGTTTTTAACAAAATATTTTCAACAAATATTTATTAAATAGACCCTCTCACCAGAGTGGTGATACAATACTGTTTTAACAATCTTACATTATAGTAGGAGAGAGAGAGACATAACAAACAAATTAATAAATAAACTACACAAATATCAAATAGTTATTTGTAGTATGCAGAGAGTTAACATAGGATATAGTGATTGGGTTGCTACTTTAGACTGAGTGATAAGGGAAGTTTTCTGGAGAGGGGGGCATTTAAACTGACCTGAATGTCACAGGAATGTCAGAGGAAGAGCATTCTGTAAGGAACAGCTAGTATCAAAACCCTCTAGAGAAGATAATGTTGGCCAATATGGCTGAAGTGTAGGGAGTAAGAGGAGAGTGGTTTGAGGTAAAGTTGGAGAGATAGGCCTGGGAAAATGAGCCAGAATTAGGAGTATGGGTTTTATTTTTACTGCAGTGAGAAACCATAGGGAAGTGACATTATTTGATTTGTATTTTTAAAAATTACTTATGGCTGATATGTAGGTAATGAATTATAAGGGGGCAAGAGTACAAAAAGGCAGAGTAGCTAGAAAGTTATTAGAGTCGATGAAATGGGAGGCCATGGTGGCTTGGTCTGAGGTACTTACCTAGAGCCTGGAGAGATATAGATAAAGTTAGAAAATGCTTTGGGCTTAGAGCTAATAAGATTTGCTTATGGATATGAATGTTTAGATCAGGGTTGAGTAAAAGAAAGGAATCAAGGATAATTCCTAGAGTTTTTATGTGAGCAACCTAGTGAATGAAGGTGTCCTTATTAAAGAGGAAGGATTAGAGGAAGAATAATGTTTGTTTCTTTTTGAAGAGCACTGCAGATCAAAAGGTCTGTTTTGTTTATGAGTAAGTTTGAGATCTCTCATTAGACATTTTTATAGAGATCTCACATAGGCAGGGAGGTACAAATATGGAAGTCTTGGGAGAACTCAGCTGAGTACAAAGGATTGGAAATAGTACACATGTAGATTTAAAGTCATGGAGTGGCATTTATTTGGCATGAATCACAATTCCCACCCCTTCCATTTTCCTGGAAAACATCCTTCTTTTCTGCAGGACCCAGTTTAGCTTCAGGGTTCCTTTCAGTATAGTGTTTCAAGCAGCCACAACCAATCAACTACAGTTGACTTTCAAGATAAAACCTATATATCATCCTTATTAAGTCTTACCAGTCTATTTATAAAACTTCTTCTCACTAGTTTACATAAATATATAGTCTCAAATTCATATAATTTGATTCTTTCTCATTATTGTTAAATTTTAACATTTTTATGTGTTCTTTTCCATTGTTCTGATAACAAAAGTAATACATTTGATTGTAAAAAAAACTCAAACATTACTGAAATGTACAACTTATCTTGGAAATGTTCTCATAATCTCACCTCTTGAAGATAAACCAGGAAACTTTAACATATCTAAAAATCATTGAATAATGGGGCACCTGGGTGGCTCAGTCGGTTAAGCGTCTGCCTTCGGCTCGGCTCATGAGCCCAGGGTCCTGAGATCGAGCCCCGCATCAGGCTCCTTCCAGGGAGCCCGCTTCTCCCTCTCCCTCTGCCTGCTGCTCTTCCAGCTTGTGTTCCCTCTCTGTCTCTGTCAAATAAATAAATAAAATCTTTTTAAAAAATCATTCAATAAATGTTTTAGTGCATACTCTGTGCTAGACAGTAAACAACATAGGCAAATACCCAGCCCCTGCGGAGCTTATATTCAAATAGGGGTTACAGTCAATAAAGCAGATGAACATACAGATAGATGACATAATGTCTTAGGGTGGTGAATGCTATGAAGCAGGGTAAGGGGGTGCTATTTTAGAAGGGCTTGCAAAGTCCTCTGCATAAGGTGACAGAGCCCTTAATAGTGAAGGAGAGGGGCAGGGGACTGTTCAAAAGAAGATTATTCCTGGTAGAGAGAACATCAGGTAAACACATCAGATGGGAAGCTGCCTGACATGTGTAAGGAGCAGGGAGAAGGACAGAAGTGCAATATACAGGGCAGAGTGTAGAGTATCTAGAGTTTGGGAGGAGGTTGGGGTGGAAGATAAACTGTGGGTGTCATCTGCTTATGTATGGTACTTAAAGCCATGAGATTGGATGAGTTTTCCCGGAGAGGGAGACCTGGTGGAGAGGAGAAGAGGTCTGACGACTGAACCCTGAAAGGCAGGGCACAGGGCGTAGCTCCAGCTGAGGAGGGTGGCCTGTGGGATGGGAGGAGAGACGCAAACACACACTGTCTTAGGAGCTGCGTGAAGAAAGCATTTCAGACAGGAAGGAGTGATCCACTCTGTTAAATGCTGCTATGACTGATAGTTGGTAACTGAGCCAAGACACTCAGAAGGGTAATGAGGAGGAAAGCCTGTTTGGAGGAGCTTCAGGAGAGAATGGGAAGGAAAGAAATGGGAGTAGCAACCATAGTCAACTCTGCTTGAAGGCCTTTTGCTGTAAAGGGGAGCAGTGTGATCGCCTGCCAGTGCCGAGGGCCCCTTTGAAGTCTGCAGTCATTAATTTAAAGTGAAAACCACCAGCACCGCTGTGTGTTTTTTTCTAGTCTTGCTCAGCTACTTGATAAAAGGTAGGGAATAGACAGATTGAGCCGTTTGGGGTGTTGTCAGAGGAATACTGACAGTGAGAAAGGAGCACAGCAGGGTTTTCGCGGTGGGAAATGAAGATTTAAAGGTGGTAATAGAGGCTGAAAAAGAGGAGAAAAGTGAGAAGGTTAGTAGGTCGGAGCTCTGGCAGGAGGGTGAGTGCAGCAAGTAGGGGATACGCAGGCTGTGAGAGGCTTGAACTTGGCATCTGCAGGTCTCAAGTGTGGCTGTAGGGGTGGATCCAAGATAAACTTGTCAGATAGAGGCCCGTGTGCTGGATGGACTGCCCACATGGGTGTTGAAACTAAGAGTCATGAAAAAGGTAGAGGTGAAAAGAGAAGCCCAGGGCTATGCTCTTTAGTGACTGAGGGGAGCTATCCAGAGTCATAGCACTGGGAGTCAAGATGGGTAGAGGGTGGAATAATCTGATGGCCGGGAACTTAAAGGAACTTTTTTTGTGGGGGGGAGGGAGTAGGTGGAGCTAAGATCTGGAAATAGTAGTGAGGACGTTTACCTCATCACAAACTCCACTAGTACGTGGAGTGTGGGAGAGAAAAGAGTGCTGTAGGGACAACAGTGTCCTCAGGCAATAGCCAGTTTTCAGGTAGAGCATGAGTAAGTCTTTCATGCAATGATAATAAATAAAACAAGGTACAGGGCAACACATAGAATGATTCATTATTATAAAGAGTCTATATCTAAAATACATATTTCACTTTACATGTATCGGGAAAATATCAGATTGCATATATATACATATATGTTATTTAGGTCTCTCTGGGTGGTGCCATTGTATTTTATATTTATTTTGGGTGGGGTGATGCATTTTTAAAATTGTGCTTCTTTCCTAACGTCTCTAAGGCAAATCAACATTTCTGACTTTACCTCATAAACATAATTTTTTTAATAGAGGGCAATAAAAAAAGTAATAGCTCCAGAGGACAAAAATAAAGACATTCCAGTTGTCTATTTTTATGTTAAGAGAGCAAACTTAATTTACTAAATGTTCATATGATAATGAAATATTTGTAAGCAGATCACTCGAGATGTTTTTCAAATTGTGTAAGAGTTTGCCTGGTTAGCCAAAACTGATTTTAGGAAATACATGGAAACTCTTACCAACTCAATAAAATAGAGTATAAAGAAGTAATTTTCCTTACCCTTAATTTTATATGTATTTGCAGTTCACCAAGAGCAAAAGAAATAATAGGACTGTATATGTTTTCTGGACCTAAATGTTCCACGATTGGGAACATGCCATGAAAATAGACGTCTCTCCCTTGTAGGCTGCCCAGTGTCCCATTTTCACTTTCACAGTGAAAGTGATTTCTTAGAAAAAGTTTTTCTCTCAACATTTTCTAACACAGGCAAAGAATGCTTTAAATTGCTCAGTAAAACTGAGTTGTGCTGTGATGAATTTTGTTTCCAAATGAAAAGCAGGAGATCCAGTACAACAGTGAGAGTGTCATTTTTTTATCTTCTGAAAATACACTTCTTTTAAGAGATTTCAGAGTTATTTTGCTCCTTTTTTCCTTAGTAGTTGAGTTGGAATGGAAAGTGGATTCATAACTTAGCATACAGAAATCTGAACAGTTAGTTGTAGCTTTGAATCACATTGTGATTTATTTAAAAGGGATGCCCTTTATATAGATCTGTAGCTTGATTTTTGATTCACTGAAATAAAAGAGGTACCTATGCATGATGGGAAAAAATACATAAACAGGATGCAGAAATAAGCTTTGTTTCTGGTGTGGTATTTTTGAAGCTGTGCTGCAATTTTTTTTAAAATCGGTCTTCTACAACTCACCAGTTACCACCTTGTGGTGCTTTGTACCGTTTTACCGTAATCATTTGTAAATACAAAGAAAAACTTTTAAACAAAAGAAATCGTCTTTTTGTTAGGTGTAAAAGTTTTTCAAGAAATATATTTATTTCTTATCGTTTTGAAGAACAAAATAGCCCAACTTGCAGAGGCAAACTAAAGTACAGACTTTAGAAATGAGAGTAATGGTCATAAATAGAGATATGAAATGGAAAGAATATGCACTAATGAAAACAAAATTATATACTTGAAATTCTAAATCATAGGTGATCATCATTGTTAATGAATACAGGATTTGAACCAGATACTGATTTTGATAAACCTTGTTGATTCTTTGGTTAAATAATTATTTGTGATAATAGATAATTATTAACTAAATAGATAAATAATTATTAATTAAAAAGTAGCATTTTTTTAAACATGTAAGAAGCTGCCATATCTTCAAATAGTCATATATGTAAGAAATAACGGGTTTTTTTTTTCAAATATGGTTTTGCCTAATAATTTCCTTTGTGACTCATCTTTCAAGTGGTTATAATTTATGAACTATACTTCTGGGGTAAGGCAAGCAGTTTCTTAAGATTTTACCTTGTTTGTATGTGTCTATATTGTAAAACTGAATAAATGGGAACATCATCATATAATAACTATTTTTAAATATATATAAAACCATCATAGTGAGAGCATTTATAAATACTGATTAGTCTAACAGACTTTCTCAGTGAGCATTCTGGGAGAGAATCCCTAAGGCATTCATTTGTTTTTAAGTATTAACCTCTCACCTATGCATCTAGAAAAGTACTGGTTATGTTACTGTCCTTGGGGAAATTCAGAAATAGTCACTCAAATTATTTTGTGTGTTTGGTAGTTCAGAGCATGAATCCTAGTTAAGAAAGGGTGGCAGACAGTCTTAGAAGTATTGGAAAGGGGGCTTCTGGGTGGCTCAGTACGTTAAGCATCTACCTTTGGCTCAGGTCATGATCCCGCCGTCAGGCTCCCTGCTCAACGGAGAGTCTGCTTCTCCCTCTCCCTCTGCCCTCCCCCTCACCCCCAGCCCCGCTCATGCGCACTCTCTCTCTCTCTCAAATAAATAAAATCTTAAAAAAATATATTGAAAGAGCAGAGCAAGCATGGTAATGTATTAGTGATCATTAGCTTATTGGACAAGAGAGTGTTTGAGACTACTTTAGACAAGAGAGTGTTTGAGACTTAAAAATTTGAAAGAAGAGGTTATTTTATGTAAAACCTACTAATTTATTTCTGTAAAACTCATGAAAATAATGGAAAAACTGACAAGCATAATTTAGTACAGTTACAGATACAAAATTGATGTACAAAATTAATACCCTTTATATATAAGCAAAATCCAGCCTGTAGATAAAATGTGCAAAACTTGTGTGAGGAAAAGTTTTTAAATGCTTCTAAAAAACACAAATGGACTTGAACAGAGCCTCTATGAAGAATCAACATCATAAACATGTCAATTCTTAGATTTATTTAAAAAATTAAAACTATTCTAATAAAAATACCAACAGATTTTTTTTTTCTGGAGGGTGGTAGTAAAAGTTGATTTTAAAGCTTATAAAGAGGAAAAACAAGCAGGAGGAATGCCCAAGAAAACCCTGGAAAATAAAATATAAAATGTAAAGAAAGCCTTTATAGTTAAAATAGTGAGGTGCCTGAAGAATCAAATCTATGGAGCAGATTAGAAAGTCCAGAAATAGGGGCGCCTGGGTGGCTCAGTCATTAAGCGTCTACCTTCGGCTCAGGTCATGGTTCCAGGGTCCTGGGATTGAGCCCCACATCAGGCTCCCTGCTCCATGGGAAGCCTGCTTCTCCCTCTCCCACTCCCCCTGCTTGTGTTCCCTCTCTTGCTGTGTCTCTCTCTGTCAAATAAATAAATAAAATCCTTAAAAAAAAAAAAAAGTCCAGAAATAGATTAAAGATTTTCTTTAAATTAAAGATGATCAGGGAGCCTGGTGCGGGGCTTGATCCCAGGACCCTGAGATCATGACCTGAGTTGAAGGCAGACACTGAACGGACTGAAACACCCAGGCACCCCCAGAAATAGATTTTTGTGCAAATACAAATTTAGTAAGGATAAAGGTAGCATTTCAAATCAGTGGGGGAAAGATGAGCTTTCTAATAACTGGACAGCTATTTGGAGAAAGATAAATTTGGAACTGAAGCTAATACTATGTATACCTGGATGAATTCCAAATTGATGAGAGCTCTCAAAGTAAAACATGAGACCATGCTAATACTAGGAGAAAGCATGTCTGAATTATTTTGTAATATGAGAATATTAGGGGAATAACTATGGCTCAAAACCTAGAATCAATAAGAAAAAAGATTGATGAATTAAGGTACATGAAAAAACTTTGGCATAGAAAAGAAAACATCAAAAGGGAAGTCAAGCTCTTTTCCTCAGCAGGACCGCAGCAGGAGCAGCTGTGGTGCTAGTCTCTTTGAGCTGTCCAACTCCATTCTTGTCGCCGCAGCGACACCTGCACTCGCCGCCACCATAACTGAGCAGATACTTGGTCGTATCCTCAAGGGCCACAACAGCTGGGTAACCCAGATCACCACCACTCCCCAGTTCCCGGACATGATACTGTCTTTCTCTTGAGAGAAGACCATCATCATGTGGAAGCTGCCCAGGGATGAGACTGATGATGGCATCCCTCAGTGTGCCCTTTAGGGTCATTCCCACTTTGTTGGTGATGTGGTCATCTCCTCAGATGGCCAGTTCACCCTCTCAGTCTCCTGGGATGGAGCCCTTCATCTCGGGGATCTCACAACAGGTACCACGGTACCACCACACGCAGATTTGTAGGCCATACCAAGGATGTGCTGAGTATGGCCTTCTCTGACAACTGACAAGTTGTCAGTAGCTCCTGAGATAAAAACATCAAGCTATGAATAATACTTGGAGTGTATGCAAATACACTGTCCAAGATGAGAGCCATTCGGAGTGGGTGTCTTGTGTCTGCTTTCCACCCGGTAGCAGCAATCCCATCATTGTCTCCTGTGGCTGGAACAAGCTGGTCAAGGTATGGAAGCTGGCAAACTGCAAGCTGAAGACCAGTCACATCGGCCACACGGGCTACCTGAACACTGTGACTGTCTCTCCAGATGGATCCCTCTGTGCTTCTGGAGACAAGGATGGCCAAGCCGTGCTGTGGGGCCTCAATGAAGGCAAGCACCTTTATCTGCTAGATGGTGGGAACATCATCAATGCCCTGCACTTCAGTCTTAACTGATACTGTCTCTGTGCTGCCCCAGGCACCAGCATCAAGATCTGGGACTTGGGAGGCAGGATCATTATAGAGGAACTGAAGTAGGACGTTATCGGTACCAGCAGCAAGGCAGAGCCCTGCTAGTATACCTCTCTGGCCTGGTCTGCTGATGGCCAGACTCTGTTTGCCAGCTACACAGAAAACCTGGTGGGAAGGTGGCAGGTGACCATGGGCACCCCCTAGAAATATATGGCAGAGTTTTAGAAATAAAACATTGGTTTTCTGACTTTAAAAAACAAGCAAAATTAAAAGGGAAGTCACAGACATAATAAACTGATAAATATTTGTCACTTAGAACATGAAAGGCTAACCTCCCTAACATAGAGCTCCCCAAAAGAAAAAAGACTAACAGCCTGATAAACAAATGGGCAAAAGTATAAGTTCATTTAGTTTACAGGAGAAGAAATACAAGTTACATTTAAACATATAAAAGTAGTTCAGCCTCACTCATAAAAAAAGAAATGCAAATTAAAACTACATTGAGACACCACCTCTCATCTATCAGGTGGATAAATATCCAAAAGTTTGCATAATTTTTTTGTCAAGGCTACAGGTAAAATAGGCAGAACATTGCTGACAGAAATGAGAATGGTACCAGCTCTGCAGAAAGAATGTTGACAGTATCTAGCATAATTAATTGTGTATTTATCTTTGATTAAGGAGTCCTACTTCTAGAAATATTTGTATCCTAAAGATGAACTGGCAAAAATACAAAAGAATACATTTATTCTTTGTGGCTTTATTTGCTATAGCCCAAAATTGGAAAGAACACAAATGTCCATCAGAAAGGGAATTCTGTGCAGCCCTAAAAAAAAGAATTCAGTTGGGGGAGGAGAGGTGACATCAGCAAGATGGCAGACTAGGAAGCCCTAGATTTCTTTCCTTCATGGAGTATAGAAATTTAACACAACAAACTTACAAAATAGATCTGTAGAAATCCTGAAACCAGTTCAAAGGTTCCTGCACCCCAGGCTAGCGGGAAGCCAACCATGTGGAGGCTTGATAGGAAATGTGTGACACTTTTTACTCTCTCATTAGAGCCACTCCCACCCCCACCCCTGCCCAGGGTGGAATGTTTGGGAGGAAAACCCCAACTCCCACATTATCCCTAGAGAGGGAAAGGAGTTGAATATACCTCCAACTGACTTTTGGGGGCTGCTGCCTGAGAGATAGTGTCTTTTTTGCTTGTATCCAAGTACTGATAGAAACAGAATGCCAGGTTGGGCATCCCTGAGAAGAATGGCCTGCATTAGAGTCTGCAGTACCACAGACTGACACTAGATGGAACCCCAGGACTGGATTTACTATAGCCTAGCTGGCTGCAATATTATAGACACAAACTCCTGAGTAGAAGCTCAGGAGCTCCTGAGTAGAAGCCAGCAACCCTCTTCAAACAGGGCAGATTACCTACAAAAAGCACATAGAGGACACATACCCAGAAAAGACTTTTGAGGTCCCCAGAATCTCTAGCCAGGCCTAGTAGAGAAAGTCATCCTTGTATGAAACTAGACCACAAAGTTTGGAGAGTTGGTTGATTGCTTCAGATGCCAAATCCCAACAACAAAAAATAAGACATATGAAGAAACAGCCAACTGTGATACATTTAAACTAATAAATTAGATCTATAGAAATCAAATCCTAAAAAAAAGGAGATATGAATTGCCAGATAAAGAATTCAAAATTACCATCATAAGGATACTTAATTAACTAAAAAGAAAGCATAGATAGACAAACAAAATTAGGAATATGATGCATGAACAAAATGAGAATATGAACAAAGAGATAGAAACTAGGAAGAATGGCCAAACAGAAATTCTGGAACTGAAGAATAACAGTACTAAATTGAAAATTTATTGGCAGGACTCAGTGAATTTGACCAGATAGAAGATAGAGTCAGTGAACCTGAACACAGACTTACAAAAATTACTGAAGCAGAGAAGGCAAAAATGAAAAATGAAGAGAGCCCAGGGTTATGTATGGACAAGAACAACAACATACAAATATGAGAGTCTCAGAAAGTGAAGAAAGAAAGGAGCAGAGAACCTGTTGAAGAAATAATGGCCAAAACTTACTCAAATTTGAGAAAAGAAATGGACATACAAATTCAAGAAACTTAAAGAAGTAGGATAAATCTAAAGAGGCGTACACTGAGACACATCATAAACTGTAAAATGTCACATGTAAAGTGAGAATCTTGAAAGCAGCATGATTAACTTGTCACATGCTATGAAGACCACAAAGAAAATGTCTATAGAATATACACAAAGGGAAATGGGAAGTGAATCAAAACATGTCACTACAGAAAAATCAATGAAACACAAAGCAAGAGAGGAAAAGAGGAACAAAAAGCTATTAGAAAACAATGAATAGGAATAGTAAGTCTTTTCATACCAGTAATTACTTTAAATGTAAACAGATTAAACATACCTATTAAAAGACATCGACTGGCTGAGTGGATTAAAAAAAAAAAAAGCATGGGGTGGCTGGGTGACTCAGTTGGTCAAATGTCTGACTCTTGATTTTGGCTCAGGTCATGATCTCAGAGTTGTGAGACTGAGGCCCATGTCCAACTCTGTGCTGGGTGTGGAGCCTGCTTACGACTCTCTCTCTCCCTCTGCCCCTTGCCCCTAAAAAAACAAACAAAACATGATCCAGTTTTGTTCTGCCTATAAGAGATGGACATTAGATCCAGATATAAACAGACTAAAAGTGAAAAGGTGAAAAAAGATATTCTATACAAACAGGAATCTAAAGAGATCGAAGTGGCCATACTTATATCAGACAAAATAGATATATTAAACAAAAGAGACTTTAAGACAAAAACTGCCACAAGAGACAAAGAAGGACATTGTACCTTGTTTTCACTTATGGATAGAACAACCAAGTAGAGGATCCATAAGAAAAGAGTAGTCTTCAACAATACTGTAGACCAACTGGGCTTAACAGAAATATGTATACCACTCCACCCAATAACAGCAGAATACACATTCTTCTCAAGCAAACATAAAACAATATCCCAAATAGACTACATGTTAGGTAACAACAGAATTTGTAACAAATTTTAGAAGATTTAAATTATATATCTTCTATGATCAAAATGGAATGAAACTGGAAATAACTAGCAGAAGGAAAACATGAAAATCCAAAATCATGTGGAAATTAAATAACCTATTCTTTAACAACCAGTGGGTCAAAGAAGAAATTACAAAGGAATTTAGGGAATATCCAGAGACAAATGAAAACAAAAACACAACATACCAAAACTTACGGGGTACAGTGAAAGCAGTACTAAGAGGGAAGTTCATAGTGACAAGTACCTAGACTTTAAAAAAATCTCAGCATATTCACATGACTTTATTTTATCTCATTTTAGTTTTGTGAAGAAAAAAAAAAAAATCAATGACCTAACTTTATACCTTAAGGAACTAGAAAAAGGAAACTAAAAAACTAAAAAGTTAGCAGAAAGAAGAAATAATAAAGATTGGAGCAGAGATAAATGACAGAATAGAAAAACAATAGAAAACAACAAAACCTAGAGTTGGTTTTCTTGAAAAGATTAACAAAACTGACAAACCCTTAGCTAGATAAACGAAGAAAACAGAAGATTCAAATATCTAAAGTTAACAGTGAAAGAGGAGACATTACAACTGATGTCGCAGAAATAAGAAATAAAAGGAACTACAATGAACGATTATATGCCAACAAATTAGAAAACTTAGAAGAGATGGATGTATTTCTAGAAACATCCAACCTACCAAGACTGAATCATGAAGAAATAAAAAAATCTGAACAAACCTATAACAAGTGAGGAGCCAGTAATTAAAGAATTGAAGCACTAATCAAATACTTTTCAACAACAAAAAAGCACAGAACCAGATGAATTTATTGGTGAGTTCTACCAAGCATTTAGAGAAGAATTAACATCAATTCTTTTTCAAACTCTTCCAAAGAATTAAGGAGGAGAAGAGACTTCCAATCATTCTGTGAGGCAAGAATGACCCAGGTATACTGAAACCAGACAAAAACATGACAGGAAAAGAAAACTATAGACCAAGGGACATCTAGGTGGCTCAGTCAGTTAAGCAGCTGCCTTTGGCTCAAGCCATGATCCCAGCGTCCTGGAATCAAGTCCCGCAGTGGGCTTCTTGCTCAGTGGGGAGCCTGCTTCTCTCTCTCTGCCTGTTGCTCCCCCTGCTTGTGCTCTCTCTCTCTCTGACAAGTAAATAAATAAAATCTTAAAAACACACACACACACACACACACACACTATAGACCAATATTCCTCATGAATATTGACATAAAAGTCCTAAACAAAATATGAGGCAAAATGAATTCAACAGCACATTAAAAGGATCTTGCATCATGACTAGGTGGAATTTACACTTAGAATGTAAGGATGGTTCGTCATATGAAAATCAATTGATGTTATATACCAAATGGAAAGTGAAGGAAAAAAGACATGATTATCTCAATCAGCTCAGAAAAATCATGTGACAAAATTCAACAGCCATGAAATGGTAAAACACTTAACAAATTAAGAAAAGAAGGAAACTACCTCAACATAATAAAAGCCATGTATGAAAAACCCAGAGTTAACATCATACTCAGTGGGGAAAGACTCAAAACTTCTCCTCTAAGATCAAGAACAACGCAGGCATGCCCAATTCCACCACTACTGTTCACCATAGTACTGAAAATTCTAGCCAGAGCAATCAGACAAGAAAAAGAAAGGCATACAAAGAGGAATTAAAATTTCCTGTTCACACATGACATGTTCTTAAATGTAGAAAACCCTAAAGATGCCATTAAAAAGCTATTAGGACTAATAAAAGAATTTAGCAAAGTTGCAGAATACAAAATCTACACTCAAAACTCAGTTGTGTTTCTATATACTAACAATGACCAATCTAAAAATGAAATTTAAAAAATAATTCCATTTACTATAGCATCAAAAAGGATAAAATACTTAGGAATAAACTTCACCAAGGAAGTGAAAGACTTGTACACTGAAAACTACAAAACACTGCTAAAGGAAATCAAAGAAGATATGAATAAAGGGATGGATCAGAACTTAATATTGTTTAAATGTGTATACTATCCAAAGTCATCTGCAGGTTCAGTGCAATCTCTATCAAAATCCCAATGACATTTTTTGGTTAAAAAAATATCCTAAGATTTGTATGGAATCTCAAAGGACGATGAATAGCCAATACAATCTTGAGAAAGAAGGAGGCCTCACTTCCTGATTTCAAAACATACTACAAAGCAACAGTAATAAAGATGGTGTGGTCCTGGCATAAAGATAGGCATATAGACCAACGGAACAAATGGCCCAGGAATAAACCCTTGCATATATAGCCAAATGATTTTTGACAAGAGTGCCAAGACTATATACAGTGGGGAAAGTACAGTCTCTCTTCAGCAAATGGTTTTAGGAAAACTGGATACCTACATGCAAAAGAATAAAGTTAGACCCTTACCTTATAACTGCATGCAAAAATTAACTCAAAATGGATTAAAGACCTAAATATATGATCTAAAACTCTTAAACTTCTAGATGAAAACATAGGGGGCAAGCTTCAGGACATTGGATTTAGCAGTGATTTCTTGGCTATGACCCCAAAGGATAGGCAACAAAATAAAAAATAGATAAATGGGACTTTACCGAACTTAAAAGGTATTGGTGCGTCATATGAAACAATCAGCAGAGTAAAAAGGCAGCCTCTGGAATGGGAGCAAATAATTGTAAGTTATATATCTGATATGGGGTTAATATGCAGAATGTATAAGGAAAATCTACAACTCAAGCAACAATAACAACAAATAATCTCATTAAAAAACAGGCAAAAGATTTGAACAGACATTTCTCCCAAGAATATATACAACTGGCCAATAAACATATGAAGAGATGTTCAAACAGCACTAATCATTAGGGAAATGCAAATTCCTACAATGAGATATGACTCCATTAGGATGGCCATTATCAAAAGAATAGATAATACGTGTTCATGAGGATATGGAGAATTTGGAACTTTTGTGCAGTGTTGGTAGGCATGGCATGGTACAGCCATTATGGAAAATATGGATGTTCTTAAGAAAGTTAAAAATAGACTTGTGTGCACACTCTCTCACTCTGACAAATAAATAAAAATCTTTTAAAAAATACAATAAAAAGTAATGTAAATTTTTAAAGGTGGAAACCATATTAAGTTTTTTCAACTTTGACTCACTTTTTTTTTTCACTTTTTTTCACTTGTTTGCACAAGAAAAAAAATTAGTCCCTCTTGGTTCTTCAGTTTTAATATTCATTGTTGTGTGTAATTAATTTCAAACTCTTCCACTAGCTATAGCCTGCTCTTAAGTTACTCTGTTCTCTTGCTTGATTAATCCTTGAAAAACATAATTTCTACCCGTATCTCAGCAACTAAGCATTTTCATATAGTCAGCATCCAATGTAACGTAGCAATTAGAAACCTACCTTCAGATACTCAGTAAAAAGTCTGTTCTCACAGTGGTATTTTAAAAGTTTGATTTGGGTAAACAATTTAATAAGGGTCCTTTTGCCTTTGCTTTGTATTTCCCATGTTTGGTTTACTTCTCACATAACATGTGACTTTCTTTCTTTTTTTATTATTTTTTTTATTTTTATTTTTTTTATTCATTTGAGAGAGAAAGAATGAGACAGAGAGAGCATGAGAGGGGGGAGGGTCAGAGGGAGAAGCAGACTCCCCGCCAAGCAGGGAGCCCGATGTGGGACTTGATCCTAGGACTCCAGGATCATGACCTGAGCCGAAGGCAGTCGCTTAACCAACTAAGCCACCCAGGCACCCAACATGTGACTTTCTTTGGAAGTTATCATTGAGGATGGGCCCACAATGGTAACTAGGTGTCAGGGATTTGCTTCTATTCAAGTCTTGACAATACCAGTCAGCTCTCAGATGATGGAAAACATTTATATCGTTACTGAGCTTTTAAATTGCTTTTTGTGGTTCAGGCTTCCTATACACTTTGAAGATCAGCTTTTCCTAAAAGTCAGACCTCTCTTGTAGGCAAAGGTGCTTTGTGAGCACTAGCAAAGCCATGTTGATTACTTCATTGGAAGAAATATTGCAGTGTGGTTAAGAGCATTTGCTAGGGAGCCAAAGTGCCTGGGTTCAAATCCCAGTTTCACCATTTAGCTGTGTGACCTTGGGCAAGTCACTTAGCCTCTCTATGCCTCACTTTTACAACTTTAGAGTGGGGCTAACAGTAATGCCTACCTCATAATTTGTTATGTATGGATTAAATGGATTAAGATACATAAAGTCTAGCACAAATTGGCAAAAGATTGGGAAGCATTGTGTAAGCGTTAATTGCTTGCCTACCTTCCTTCCCAAAAGGAATGCTTTTGGCAGGCAGGCACCATTCGCTTAAATGATTTCTCACATGCCCCTCCCCCCCCATTAACTGACCCTCATTCATTCATTACCAAGTGGGGAGAAAGAGGGCGAGAGAAAGGAGGGAAAGAATAAAAGAAATACAGTCAGTTGGTGACTGCCTCCACCATTTCGGAGGGCAGAGGAGCTGCTGCATGTTAACAGTGCCCCTTTGCTACTTGTCTCTGCTCTCCTTCCTGGATCCTGGATTTCTTCACAGGAACACACGCAGCCATCTAGAGGCAAAGCTCTGTTACTATATGGTGGGGAAATGTTATGGTTTAAATACCACATAGATTGAATCAGTTACACGTATACCATTTTTTTTTAAAGATTTTTATTTATTTATTTATTTATTTATTTGAGAGAGAGAGAGAATGAGAGACAGAGAGCATCAGAGGGAGGAGGGTCAGAGAGAGAAGCAGACTCCCTGCTGAGCAGGGAGCCTGATGTGGGACTTGATCCCGGGACTCCAGGATCATGACCTGAGCTGAAAGCAGCCGCTTAACCAACTGAGCCACCCAGGTGCCCCACGTATACCATTTTTTAACTTTCACCAGACAGACACAGTTTAGCCCAGATTCCTAATAACCTTGTTCAACCTAGAGATTAGTCAGTACTTTGGTTCCATTCCTTTTGGATTTTTCTTGCTGACCTCAAGGCCTTTTTGTTCTGAGTTAAAACCTGTGATCGCTGAAGCTATCTGAATAATAATTGATTTGATTTTGATAGTCATGACAAATATTTCTTGCCATCTTATCTGGTTTTTCTAAACAAGATCCCGTGTCTTCACTTCTATACTGTTTTCAAAATGCAGATCTCCTTAAAGAACTTTATCTCCTGCTTTTGTCTATCTTACTTCTAGCTACTGCTTTCAAATGGGTTACAGAACTAGTGGGGAGGTTCTTCCAGGTCTCGTTATCTTTTCAATACAAATGTTACCATATTTAATACAAATGTGAATTTGTTCCTGCCCCGTCTTCTCAAAACTATATATTTTATGGAGCTTTTTGCCCTCTTCCTTCATTGATTCCATTGTCTCTTCCCAATTCCCTACCTCTTGACAGGATATCAGTGTGAATTTGCACTAATTTTTCTTCTTTATCTACACCTTTGTTCTTTATGGCTACATAATAGATCATTTAATAATTTTTTCCTATATTGCTGGTGTGATTTTAGTTTCTTATTCATGAGAATGAAGAAAAGAGCTTTCATTAAGATAATAAATTTCAAATCAAGAATTGGGAGTGATGATTGCTCCTGCCTGAGTTTAATTCTTTCTCACCTGTACTTGAATAGAGGATAAGATACTTTTGCTTCTATTTATTAGAAATTCTTTTGGGAGAGGCACCTGAGTGGCTCAGTAGGTTAAGCATCTGCCTTCGGCTCAGGTCATGATCCCAGGGTCCTGGAATTGAGCCCCGTATCTGGCTCCTTGCTTGGTGGGGAGCCTTCTTCTCCTTCTCTGCCTGCTGCTCCCCCTGCTTGTGCGCGCTCTCTCTCTCTCTCTCGCTATCTCCCTCTCTGTCAAATAAATAAATCTTCAAAAAAAATTCTTTTGGGGAGTGACTAAATTGAGGGGACCTTTATTGTTTTGCTATTTAGCTATTACTTTGAAGGGTTGAAAGTCACCCTTTCAAACACCCTTTCAAACGCACCAGAGTGTTTGAAATTTTAAAATAGATTATACATTCAGCAGACATATGCCAAGTGCTTATTGTATTCCAAGTACTGTGCTAGGCACTGGGAATAAAAAGAATATGACATGACCTCTGACTCTAGAGGACTTAATCATGATGAGACACTGTAGTGTGATGCAGAGAGTCTTAGCTTTGGAATCAGCACATCCAACTCTGCCTCTTACTAGAATATAACAAAGAGCAAGTTGTCTTAATCTCTCTGAGATGGTTTTCTCTTTTGTAAAATGAGGGAGTTGGCCTAAATATCTCTTAAAATCTTGCCTACATCTGACTTTCTGTCATTGCAGAATGGAATGTTTTAAGGTTACTTAAGGCTGGTGTGAGGATCAAATAAGAAAAAAAATTATGAAAGCACTTTAAAAACTATTAAGTGTTGTCTAAACAAAGACATTACTAATTACTTACTAATTTGACATTATTTACTAATGCTTTTGGCCCAAAGACCAGATGTATTAGGTGTTATAAATAAGTTCCAGATGTTTAAGGAAAAGGGTGACCTTTTCATGATTTTGGCTCTGAGTTCTAGGGTTATTTAAGGGTATGTAATTATCACCATTATTGACTAAAGTAGGTACTCTGTAAATGTGCATTGATTTAAACCATAGGTTTTGAAACTCAGTGTAATTATAAGGTAAATCACAATTCCTGTGGTTTGGAGTTATCTCTTCCATATTAGCCCCACACAGGGCTTGATCTCAGGACCCTGAGATTATGACCTGAGCTGAAATCAAGAGTCGGAGGCTTAACCGACTGAGCCATCCAGGTGCCCCTGCATTATGATTCTTGAAATTCTGGGTTAATAGGTAATTGTTCATCACTATGAAATAATTGTATTTATGCAAATATGACTGCATATTTACAGCTTGCCCTAGGACTGCTGTGTTTAAACGTAGAGTATATGTCAACTTTGGGTCAGTTTTCTTTGGCTTTTTGTCCACTATACTTTCAAGTATATGACATATACTGGACCTTCAAATTTTATGGGTTCTTTAAAAAGTATACCTATCTTTTTCTAGGTTCGTAGATTGTAAGAACCCCTGATAATAGGCAGAAGGACTGAGCCCATAAGCCAATTCAAAAAGTTGAATCAGTAATTATGTTTTAATTATTATTATAGATGTTTATTCTCAGATCTAAGTAATAGTTTCAGCTCGCTGAAATTTTTTATTGCTAAGCATTACGATTATCACTTGTCTGTTCTTCAGAAGTTTTCATAATGTATACCCTTATCTTTTGTTTGGCTTGTTTATAATTACTGCTAGATAATTTAGTGTTGAAATGGTGAGACTTTCACTAAAAGCTGTTTCTCAAGTAAAATTCTGAATATATTTTCATTTGCAAAGTTACTGGCAATAAAGAGTAATAACTATTGCTTATTTAATCTGTTAGCATTTAAGCCTACATTAAGTTTATGTTTATGACTGTATGATTATAAATTTGATTTACCTTCAGCTTTTGAAGAATAAAACCATAACCCTGTTTTACTGGTAAATTCATATACCTAATGACGCATGCCTTTTATATATGCTAGGAAAATGGTGTTCATTGTTAAAGTTAGAATTGAGTTAGTCAACCAGAAGCGGGAACCTCTAATTGTTTCCAGATGCATACTTTTTGGGTTTGGATGCAACTCTAAGTGTTAGCTCAGTCAGGAATTTGCTAAGCTTGTCTTTTTCCCCATATCCTTTCATTATGGGTAGATAGATCCATGCTAAAATCTCTTTTATGATTTCCCATTACGATAGTTAATCAGAAAAATATGGACACAAACTCCTAAGCTAAACACAATTTTAAAAGGCAAAAATAAAGTTTCTGCAGGTTTCTTTTACATTTTATGATCTTTGAAATTGTTATAGAAATTGACCTTGGTTCTAAATTGCTGTATCACCATGCGACTTAGCAAGCACCTTTCTCCTTCCACCACAGTTTCATAACCCTCTTACAGATATAGCTGAAATCCTTACATAATTTCAGAGTTACTGTTAGACAAAATTAGTGTGACACATCAGTGTGCTTTGGTGAAATGTTTGCTGCTGTTGAATGTAAGCATTTTATTAAAATTCCACTGAAGCAGGCAACCATTTTGAATTTTATAATCTAGCAAAATCAGTAAATACGTCATTGACCCTTACCAAAAAAATACACTGTTCTAATTATTTCCTTATATCAATTATGATACCTTTTAAGTTATTTTATTTTATTTTATTTTATTTTATTTTATTTTTTTAAAGATTTTATTTATTTATTTGACAGAGACAGAGATAGCGAGAGCAGGAACACAAGCAGCGGGAGCGGGAGAGGGAGAAGCAGGCTTCCCCCCGAGGAGGGAGCCCGATATGGGACTCAATCCCAGGACCCTGGGATCATGACCTGAGCCGAAGGCAGACGCTTAATGACTGATCCACCCAGGCGCCCTATTTAAGTTATTTTAAAATTAATTTTATTAAAATGTTTATTTGCATTATGATTCTTTTTTGTTTTTGAGAGAGAGCACACATGCACATGCTTGCACAAAGGGGAGGGACAAAGGGAGAGAATCTTAAGCAGACTCCCTGCACTTGCTGAGCACGACGCCCCAGCTAGACTTGATCTCACCACCCTGAAATCATGACCTGAGCTGAAATCAAGAGTCGGAGGCTTAACCAGCTGAGCCCATCACGATTATGCATTATAGTTCTTGAATTGAGTGTTAAAATGAGTGATCTCTAAATTCCCTGTTACTTTTAATAGTTTGTTATCTGTGATCATGGAAATTCTTCACCAATTCTACAGTCTTCAAACTAAGGGCCACATGTGAAAATAAATGTTACGGGATAAAGGGAAAATACTGGGTGTTTTTTTTTTCTTTCTTTCTTTTTTTTTAACAAATGTGGCAAGGAGTAGCTGGCTTTGGGAGGCAACATACATGGACTATAGACACAAAAATTTGAACAAAGGTTTGGATAAATTTGTAGACGATTCTGGGTAGCTTATTAAGAGACTGTATTAGGGAATGCCCTTCAGGTTTGAAGACTGATCTCTTCAAGGATTATTATAGCTTGGACTCAGTCATCTCTTCATTGTGTTTTAACTCACACACAAATTAGAAAAATTAGACTATGCCTAGGGTATTCTAAAACATTAAGTATTTTAAAGTTGTTTGCAAAAAGCTGTCTCACACCTGTTGCTTAATAGTATCATTGTTCAAGGGCGCCTGGGTGGCTCAGTCGGTTAAGCGACTGCCTTCAGCTCAGGTCATGATCTCAGGGTCCTGGGATCAAGCCCTGCATCGGGCTCCCTGCTCTGCGGGAGGCCTGCTTCTCCCTCTCCCACTCCCCCTGCTTGTGTTCCCTCTCTCTCCGTGAAATAAATAAATAAAATCTTTAAAAAAAAAAAATAGTATCATTGTTCATATTGTATGCCTTCTGTTACAGTAGAGTCAGGTTCTTTTCCAGTTTTCCACTTTATTTTAAAGGTAGATTTAAAAGTAAGTTATCAACATAATAATAAAGGAAACTGTCACCAGAAGTTCATGGGAAATGAAAATGGGTACAGGTGTCATCTCTAGTTGTTTTGCATTCATATGTGCCTTCTTCCAAATGGTAGGCCCTGAACAAGTGCTTGTTGCCTGATTTCTAGTCACCTTTCTATAGGCTTTTTCAAAAGTTGTGAATCCCTTTAAAGTAGCTATTTTATATTATTTATCTTTTTATTTTCAGTGCCTAGTACATGCTTGGCAAATAGTAGGCATATAATAAATGTTTGTTGACTTGAACTTTCCAAAATTGAAGTTAGAGTCCAAAGACTTGGTCTTATTGTTCTGGCGCTCCTACTCACTAGCTGTGTCCTTAGGCAAGTTACTTTGGTGTTCTAGACCTTCATTTCCGACTCTAGAGTTAGATTCCATCTGGTTCTAGAAAATCTGATGCCAAGCAGAGTATACAGTAGTGCTTAATAATTGCTTATTCATAGCAATTGCTTAATAAAATTCATTTGTGGGATTACCTAATTAGTGATGGAGTAAATCAGTTTGCCAAGTATATCTCATCTCATTTGGTGACGCTTTTTTTTTTTTTTGGATGTATACAAATAACATTTTCTTTCATTTCCAAATAATTCTTGCACTAGTATTCTTTGTAATTTGACCATTTTTTTCTTATTGAATGAAAAGCGAAGATGGAAGAAATTGCCTATTTAATCCACGTCCTCATTTTACAGATGAGAAAACTGATGCTCTGGAAGGCTATACAATTTGTCCAAAGTTATTTAATGGCAGAATTAGAAACCAGGTATCATGGTTTCTAGTTGAGTGCATTTTCAACCTCAGATATCTTTAGGCATTATTAGAGTTCCTAGGATAAAGATTGAAGAAGAAATGATGAAAAGAGCTAAATTTTTCTATGTGCCTCCTAGAGGAGGCATAAAAAAAAAACCTCTTTTTTTATTCTCAGAGTTTTTTCATATTCTAGGAGGACCTTTTGGTGCCTCACTTTCTGAATAGTAGTAAGGAAAGTAGGAAAATTGTAAAGTTAGGTATATAAAAATATTCCTTCCTGATCCTTCCCTTTTCCCTAAAAATGATGGAGAGAGGAAAGAAAAGTGTCATAATGGTTGAATTGTACCTTATGAGTCTACCATCTTGTTTCTCTTTGCCTTTTTTATAACCCAGGGAATCCTCACCTTATAGTACCAGCACAGTAGATAGAAACAGACACTGCTCTTCAGGTTAGATGAAGGGATAACCAATATTCTTTTACTGTCAGAATCCTTAACCCCACTTCCAGTTGCTTTTTCCCCCTTTAACCTTACCACAGGTATCAGTTTTTTTGTTTTTTTTTTTTAATAGGAGCCCAGAGAGGACATTTCATACAGGTTGGAAAACAATTTGGGATCAGGAAATATACCCTAGAAGGGGTGACACTTGAGATTTTATTTTTTATTTATTTATTTTTAAAGATTTTATTTATTTATTTGACAGAGAGAGACACAGCAAGAGAGGCAACACAAGCAGGGGGAGTGGAAGAGGGAGAAGCAGGCTTCCCGCTGAGCAGGGAGCCCGACGTGGGGCTCCATCCCAGGACCCTGGGATCATGACCTGAGCTGAAGGCAGTTGCTTAACCAACTGAGACACCCAGGTGCCCCGACACTTGAGATTTTAGAGAAGAACTAGAAGCCAGACTACAGGGCAGTTTAGGGACACTCTAGGCAGAGGTAACAGCATGAGCAAAGCATGAAAAGAAGGAACAGCCAAAAGTAAAGTGCAGGGGCGCCTGGGTGGCTCAGTCAGTTAAGCAACTGCCTTCGGCTCAGGTCATGATCCTAGACTCCTGGGATCGAGCCCCGCATCAGGCTCCTTGCAGGGAGTCTGCTTCTCCCTCTCCCTATACCTGCTACTCTGCCTGCTTGTGTGCTCTCTCTGTCTCTCATAAATAAATAAATAAATAAATAAATAAATAAATAAATAAATATCTTTAAAAAAACAAAAGTAAAGTGCAAGTATGTTTATTTAGAGGGCTGAAAATGTGAAGCAAGGATAGAAGGCGAAGCTAGGTGGGGCAGATCTAAAAATATACCATGTTAAAGAGCTTACATTTAATCCCCAAGATATTGGGGAGCTTTTAAGGGATTTTTTTAATGGGGAAGGGATAGGATCAGATACTGATTTTAGATAAATTAGTCTAATAGTTTTATGAAGAATGGTTGTATTAGTTATCTAAGGATACATAACAAATTATACAGAAACCTAGTAGCTAAAATAACAGGCATTATCTTATAGTTTACTTTGGTTCAGGCTCTCTGGCTCAGGCTCATTCACAAGATGCCAGTCAAGGTGTCAGCCAGGGCTACAGTTATTCCCAGGTTCATTTGGGGGAGAATCCACTTCTAAGCTCACTGAAGTGGTTATTGAAAGTAGTCAGTTCCTTCCGTACTCTTGGACTGAGGGTCTCAGTTCCTCTCCAGAGGTATCCCTCAGTGCTTTGTCACTTGAGCCTCTCCATAGAACAGCTCACAGCCTGACAGCCATGAGCAAAGAAGTGAGAGAGCAAGAGAGCAGGGTGAACAAGATGGAAGGCGGAGTCTTCTAATCTAATTTTAGAAATTTAGAAGTACCATCTTGTCATTTTTGCTGTACTTTATTCATTAGCAGCAAGTCACTAGATCCAGCCCACACTCAAGAGAAGAGTTAGGGGATTACACAAGTCGCTGCACTGTTTCTTCACTATATCCAATTAGACACGGGTTATTTCTCTCAGTTATCTGTTTAATTTTCCTAGTTGTCTCTGTTCCTGTCTTATTCTCATTATCCAAGTACTTATCACTGTGCACATAAAGTGTGGGAGTGGACTTGTCATTGCTTCCCTGTGGCCATTTCCTATGTCTTTGTTATTTTAATGTCTTTTCTTCCTTTCCACCTGTCAGAAATACCACTAATTTTGGGAGTGCCTGGCTGGCTCAGTTAGAGGAGCATGTACTCTTGATCTTGGGGTCCTGAGTTCAAGCCCCATGTTGGGTGTAGTGATTACTTAAGTAACAATAAAACTTGAAAAAGAAATATCACTAATTTTTGAGGTACATTTCAACTTCTACCTTTCTTGAAATGTATATATGTTCCTTTTATCTCTGTCTCCGACAGCTATAATTAGGAGGGGTCTTTGGAAATTTTGAGATTCTCCAAGTTTAAAAGAGAGCACTGGCTTAAGCTATTAAGTGTAATGAAGCTCTCTCTCCGTCTGCCTGTGGAGCAGTGCCTTGCCACCCTGATTCACTGGAATGGTGTGGAGAGCTTTTTAAAAAGAGATGCCTTAAAAAAAAAAAAAAACAACAAAAAAAAACATGGCCTTGACCTTCCCTCAAAGATTCTGATTTAATATGTCAGAAATGAAAATAAGACTGTAAGGTGAATTTGATGTCTAAATAAGAGAACTATTGCATTAGAGTCACCCTTATCATTATACTGTTGTTTCTGTACATTTAATCATCCAAATAGCTTAAAGCAGTAATTTCCAAATACTGGTGGAGAGCTAGCTACATCAACACACACAGACATTTGGGCCCTATCACTAACAGTGTTGATACACTAGATCTGTGGTTATATCCAGGCTTCTGTATTTTTTAAATAATGAAAGAAGACCGATATATAATTGGGTTATAAAAATATTGGATGAATGGACTAATTTACCATATTAATTTTTTTGTATATTCCTTTACAGTACTATTCAGATACATACATGTAAATATTTGATAAACATTAAGGACCAATTGACCATGATATGTCTTAGAGATTACTTTGGAAGATTCTGGCCAGTTGAAATCATATTTTAAATAGTAGTTGAATGACTGCTATGTTTAGATTTTTAGATGCTCCAGTACTATTCAGTAGTATAGTTTAGTGTTTCATACATTGGTACATTTTATCTAGCTCTTTTATTTTAGATAATAACTTACTGATCACATGAAAAATTTAAGAACGACTAGATTCTTTTTCCTCATATTATTCTGATAAATCTTGATACATTCTAGTATAGAGAGTTATATTATTACTTTCTTACAGAATGGGATTGTCAGAATGTGGCTTTAATAAATTTTTTCTTCCTTTTCTTTAGTGTTATTCCTCTTTTAAGAGAGTCTGTTGGAATATTAATGCAGAGAACTCCTCCGGTGTTAGAAAATGCTCTGCCTCAGTGCTACCAGAGGGTAAGTTTCAAAGCTTCCAAACCATTAGATTTTATATTGTTTCCAAGCTGTTAGGGTTTTTAACTTTTACAAATATGGGTAGCATATGTGTAATTTAGTATTTCTTCCAAGATTGAATGCTAACCATGAATGCCATTTATACAAACCAGAATAAAATCATTGGAAAATATTGAACTATACTAAAGAAAATGTGGTAGAAATTGTCCTCATGTAGAATTTGAGCAGTTCTTTTAAAATATAGATACAAATAGCAGATGATATAAACATTTATTCAGTATATTTTTTGAGTTCCTACTTTGTGCCAGAAATTCTAATAAGGTACTAAGGATATAAGGGTAAGCAAGACAGACAGTGTCTGTGCTCAAAGAGATTGTGGTTTAGTGGGGAAAAACAGGTACTAAATAATAAATTGATAAATAAGAAAATATCCATAATAGTTACTATAACAGAAATTTTAAAAAGTGATGTAGTAGACATGGATGATTACCTTAGATTCACGAAGGAGGTCATATTCAAGGAAATTGAAACCTTGATGACAAGAAGGAGCCAGCCTTATGAAAATCCTGGAGAAGAGTGTTTTAGGCAAAGGAACACTTTATGCTAATGCAGAAGTTCTACGGCTGGAACTAATTTAGAGTTGTGAAGACCAGAAGAAAAGGTCCCTGTGGCTAAAGCATAGTCAATAAAGGGATTGGCTGGAAAGGGGAGAGAATAGTAGGGGCCAGATCATACAGAGATTTTTGGTCTTACTAAGAGGTTTTGATTTAATTTTAATCCAGTGGGAAGTATTAGAAAGTTTTTAGGGAGGAAGAGTGTCATAAAACTTGTGTTTTTAAAAGATTATTCTGCTTGCTATTGGAGAACAAATTCTAGAGAGAATGAAAGCAAAGAAAACCAGTTATGAGGTTCTTGTCATTTAAGTGGGGCAAAATGGTGGTTAGGACTACCGAGGGAGCAGTGAAGATGGAGGTAAGGACACATTTGGGATAAATTTTTGGAGATGGATTATATTAGTGGAGGGGAGAAAAAATGTTCACTCTCAACTAGGTAGATGCTGGTACCATTTGTTAAGATTAAGGCTGTGTTGATGCAGGTTTGAGGATGGAAAATCCACACCCCCCCCCCCAAATCAAGAGTTCTAATCTGGGTATGTTAAAATTGAGATGCCTTCTATACTCTTAGGGGAAATGTCAGTGAAGTAGTTGGACATGAAAATCTGGTGTTTTAAGGAAAGATTAGGACTAGGAAAAGTTCTGAGTCATTGATATATGAATAATAAAATATTGAGGGGGGGGTGCCTGGGTGGCTCAGTTGTTAAGCGTCTGCCTTCGGCTCAGGTCCTGATCCCAGGGTGCTGGGCTCGAGCCCCACATCGGGCTCCCTGCTCAGTGGGAAGCCTGCTTCTCCCTCTCCCACTCCCCCTGCTCATGTTCCCTTTCTCGCTTGCTCTCTCTTTCTCTGTCAAATAAATAAAATCTTTAAAAAAATAAAATAAATAAAATAAAATAAACATTGGGATTATGTGAGATTCCCTTGGGAGAATTAAGCTCTATTCTTTTTAGCTTTACTTTCAGCTCCAGGTTTACAGCACAGGTGGTGGGAAGCCAGAAAAGGGAGTGGTTAGGAAGGGAGCTGGAAAACCAAAAGAGCATAGTCTCTCAGAGCTGAAGAAGGAAGCAGTGATCCACTTTCTGTGGGGCAAGCAAGGTAGGAACAGAGAAGTGATCATTGGTTGGCATCGTGAACAGCGCTAATAACCTGGATGAGACCAGTTTCAGAGGAGTTTGGGGAGGAGAGCATGATTTGAGTAGATTAAGGAGAAAATGAATTACGGAAGTAAAGACAGTAGCTACAGACAACTCTTTTAAGAAGTGTGGCTGTTAAAGGGAGCAAAGAAATGAGTTGACAGCCTGAGTATGGATATAGTATCAGGGCAGGGCTGTTTGTTTGTTTTTAAAATAGGATATTCTGGAATAGTGCTGTCCCATAGAACTTTCTCCTATAATGGAAATACTATATAATCTGCAATGCTCAGTATGGAAATCACAAGCAAAATGAGCACCTGATGTATGGCTAGAACAATTGATTTTTTAGTGTAGTTTAATTCTCCTTATTTAAATAGCCACATGTGTCTGGTGATTTCTGTATTACACAGTGCAGTTCTAGAGCATGTTTGTTATTGATAGGAACAGGCCATCCTAGAGGAAGAAATCAATGATATGGTAATAAAGGTGGTCATTACAAGAAGGAAGTTCTTGAGAAGATGAAGAAGGATTGAACCATGGATGCCTGGGTGGCTCAGTTGGTTAAGAGTCAGACTCTTGATTTCAGCTCAGGTCATGATCTCAGGGTGGTGGGTTCGAGCCCTGTGTTGGCACAGAGCCTTTAAGATTCCCCCTCTACCCCTCCCTCCTACCTTCCCTCCCTGCTTGTGCTCTCTCTCTCTCTCTCTCAAGAAAAAAAAGAAAGGGATAGAACCAGTAGCAGTATGGAGGAATTCAGTGTAGAGGGGAGCCAGGGGTACTGTATTCCTGGAGGGGAGGCAGAAAGTGCTGACATAGATGAGGGTCAACTGGTGGATTTGGTGGTACAGGATAAGGGATTTTTATGTGCTTCTATTTTATCATTTATAAGGCAGTATAATCAAACACTCCTTTGGCGCAGAACGCCAGAGGAGGGGCACCTGGGTGGCTCAGTTGGTTAAGCGTCCGCCTTCAGTCCGGGTCGTGATCCCCAGGTCCTGGGATCAAGCCTTGTGTCCTCCCAGCTCAGCGGGAAGCCTACTTCTTCCTCCCACTCTGTCTCCCTCTCTGCTTGTGCTCTCTAAATCTTTTAAAAGGGGAGGAGGGGGGGCGCCTGGGTGGCTCAGTCAGTTAAGCGTCTGCCTTCAGCTCAGGTCATAATCCCAGGGTCCTGGGATCGGGCCCCACATTGGTTGTCCCTCTGCCTCTCCCTCTGCCTGCTTGTGCTCTGTCAAATAAATAAAACCTTGAAGGAAGGAAGGAAGGGAGGAAGGGAGGGAGGGAGGGAGGGAGGGAGGGAGGGAGGGAGGGAGGGGGGAGGAGAAGCTGTAAAAAGGTTTTTTTAGATAGGAAAGTGAAGTGTTGCCCATTTATCATTTGTGGTTATCATTTTAAGGTAGGGTAGTCATCATAACTGTGAAGGGAAAGGGCAATTTATTGAATGCTTACTATAAGCTGGTCCCTGTACTAATTGTTTTACATATACAGTTTCTGGTCTTCACCATATCCATACAGGGTAAGTTTTGTCTTCCTTTCCATAGGTAAAATTGAGGCTCAGAGAATTTAAGTAATTCATCCAAGGTCACAAATGCTAGTGGCTGAACCAGAATTCTAATCCATATCTTTCTGATTCCAGAGCTCATTCCCTTTCTATTATACCACACTGTTAGAGTAGGAAAAGCATCTGTGACTACGCTTTCCCCAAATTGTTTAACTTGAGGAGAGTTAAAGCCAGTTTGTATAGGAACATTCCTTAGTCTTAGCTACAAGAGTACTTGTAGGTAGAAGAGATCTATTCATTCGGTTGTTTCATTCACAGTAGACCATCCCGTGAGGATGCCATTCAGAAACATGTAGAGTGATACCAGGTTCAAGCCACTATGTCATCAGAATCCCGAAAGAGGAAGAGTCCACCTTGACCTCTTTTCCCAGTAAAAGCAGTTTTTAAAAAGGCCACAGTTGGTATTGTCTCAAATTTCCTACCAACTGTTTTGGAGTTTATAGAAAATAATGCCTACATTGATCAAATTCTGATAAAAAATGAAAATTTTTGATAGTTCTCGGTTCAACTTTTTCTTAATTAATATCCCAAATAGGTTACTTAAAAATCAGAGGATCTCAGAATTGAAAAGGATGTTGACTTTTTGATAATAGGCATTCTAACAGGTGTGAGGTGGTATTTCATTTGGTTTTGGTCTGCATTTCCCTGATGATTAGTGAGTTGAGCATGTTTCACTGTTGGCCATCTGTATGTCTTCTCTGGAAAAATGTCTATTCCCATCCTCTGTCCATTTTTTAATCAGTTTGGTTTTTTGCTATTGAGTTGTATGAGTTCTTTTTATATTTTGGACATTAACCTCTACCTTCTCAATTTTTAATTGTCCTTTCACATTTTCTATTTTTTTCTCTTATGGCATTTTCTTTTTTTTTTTAATTATGGCATTTTCTATATTTCCAGAAACTTATCCCTTTTGTCTGTTTCAAAGTTGTGTTTTTATTTTGTGTGCGTTTATGTATATTTATCATACACACACATACACACACAATTTACTAAGCACTTACTTGGGCCAGGCACTGTTTTAGATGCTAAGGATACAAAACATGAAAAGAAAAGAAAAAAATTCCCTGCCCTTTTGAGCTTAAGTTCTGCTGGAGAGACAGGCAATAAAAAATATAAATAATATGAATGAATAATGCAGTGTATGATATTATGCTCCAAAAAGTAAAACATAGCAGAGAAACATAAAAGTGAAAACATTATTATTTTACATAGAGTGACAGGAGACCAAGAGTACAGGAGTTATAGTAGCTTACTGAGAAGATGACATCTGAGTAAAAACCCAAACAAAGTGGACCAAGTAGAAATCTGGAAGGAAGGTACACTTCAGACAGAGGGAATAGCAAGTACCCTGCGGCAGGAATGTGCCAGACTTTTCAGCCAATGGTGAGGAGGCTGGTTTAGCTGAGGAAGAGAGAGCAAGGGGACGCCTAGTAGGAGAGGAGGTGATTAGGTAACAAGTGGGCCATGTGACATGGGCCCATATAAGTTATTGTGAAAGCTTTGATTTTTATTCAGAGTAAGGTGGGAAGCCATTGGAGGATTTTAAACAGCCAAGTGGCAGCATCTGACCTAAAGTAACAGGATCGCAGTTGGAATACTATGATGAGAATAGATGGAAAAGATGCAAGGCCAGAAATGGACCAGTTACTATAATATTATATTATTACACTTATACTATTATAATAATCCAGACTAGAGATAATGCTGTCTTCAGCTAGGCTGATAGTAGTAGATGGTGAGAATGTTTGGATTCCACTCAGTGGTAATACTTTGTGTATTCACAAGCTACACATTCATATAGTATTCCCTTTTATGGTTTTTAAAATCTGTTATTTGTAGTTGTTCTTTTTCATGGAAAAAGGCATGGAAACAGTTCCTGTTTGTTTTTTTTTCTTTTCCAAACCTCCTTCAGAGTTTGTCTTGCCAGTGGTTGTCAGCCTTAGGCTATGGAAACCTTAAGGAGCCATTGTAAAAACTGAGAGACGTCCTTCTCTTTTTTGTTGTCACATGATTTAGAGAAGAGTATATGTTGGCATTTAGCTCCTTGGGGGAGCTTGGGGATGCAAAGGGTCCTATAGTTTCTGACACAGGGAAAAACCGTCATGTCCAAAATATGCCCCCTTTGGGAAACACTGACTTCTCTACTTAAGTAATCTTTTAAAGAACTAGTTTTTTGATACTGTGAATTCTAGTAGTTTCTAAGTCTCTGGACCATTGATTTCTGTCCTTTATTTCCTTCCTTCCTATTTCTTTGAGTTTACTTTGTTGTTCTTCTAGTTTCTAAACGCAAATGAGTTTATACTTGTTTTCTGATCAAAGTACTTGAAAGTGTAAATTTCCATCTAGGTGCTCTCTCAGCTGTGCCCTACAAATTTTGGCATGTGATCGTTCACATTTCCCAAACACCTGCCATGGCACATAATGAACTAGAGAACAGAATCCATGTTTACTGAATATGTTGCATAATAATAGTATTACAGTTAATAATCTAAATAGCAGTTTAGTGAACTGCAGCATAATAATAATAATAAAACAGCATACATAATAAAATAAGGGAGCCCTATGATGTTAATATTTGCCCTTTCTGTTTCAGGTGCAGCAGTTGCAAGGAGTTTACAGTTTACAAGAGCAGCACTTCTGGACCTTATGTTCTGATGTTTATGTTGGGACCTTGAAATTAGTAGTAGCCCCTGATGCTGATGCCAGGTGGATTTTAAGCCAAACACATAATATTTTTACTCAGGTATGACTTTTTCATTAACTTCTTAAAGATCTTTGAATTTATCTTATCTACTAGTTTAAAAAATATTTACTACTTAACATGTTAAATATGTACGTAAATAAATATATATATGCACACACACACACATGCAATACTATGAGGAAAGCATAAAAGTACTTTTTTTCAACCATAAAGGCAAAATTGGGAGATCTTATTTTAGTTAATACTCTTAAGGAAGATAGTCCTGTTCTCTCATTATACTGATTTGAATTCTTAAGAAAAAGTAGATTCTCCTTTACCATATACTCCTTATATAAGACATGTTAAATGCTGTTTAAAGCCAAGAACTAAAATAGCATTTGGAATAAGAATAATGCCTTGTCAGTGGCTTTAACTAAAAGTAGACTATGTTAATGTTTTTGTGTGATAGCAAAGCCATAGTTCTGTGTGGTTTAAAGCTTAATATTCTGTTGTATTTGGAATCATAAATTAGTCACTGCATGCCTGCAGCCAAATCATTTGACTTGATGCTTATTCTGTCTTGAGTTGACATAGTCATGTGACTGATAATGTAAGAGTGATATATATGATTCTGTATCTGCTGGGAGAATAAGAACATCATGTCAAGAACATCTAAGGAAAGAGTGAGAGAATACAAATTTTTTTTCATTCTAGTTTGCTGGAAATATTTGGCGAAAAATCTAGATGTCGACACTGCTGCTAAAATTACCTAACACATAGATCTAATGAGGAACTGTTTCCATGCCTTAAAAACTGGCCTCTTAAAAACTGGCCTGTGCCTCCTGGTGTGATACAGTGAGAGTGTGGGGTACTTTTGCCCGAAATGGTTAATGTGAATCTAGTCACTAGCAGAACAAACCCAGCTTGTAGAAACTTCTATAAGACTGTTAGCCTGGGGGCGCCTGGGTGGCTCAGTCGTTAAGCATCTGCCTTCAGCTCAGGTCATGATCCTGGGATCAAGCCCCGCATTGGGCTTCCTGCTCAGCGGAGAGCCTGCTTCTCCTTCTCCCACTCCCCCTGCTTGTGTTCCCTCTCTCTCTGTGTCTCTCTCTCTCAAATAAATAAATAAAATCTTAAAAAAAAAAAAAAAGACTGTTAGCCTAGATTCTTACCAAGTGTTAGTGTCATGAAAAGGGGGGAAAAACAGTGTGGAGTTAACTTCACAGTTGAATGCAGTGTCTTACCTTGATTGAATCTTAGATTGGGGGGAAAAAAAAAAAACAGGCATAGAGGAAACTATTGGGTAACTGGGAAATTTGAATATGGACTGCATAATAGTTCATAATAATTGTGTAGGTGTTAGATTTCTTGGGTGCAATAATGGATTGTGGTTACCGAAGAATGCTCCATTCTTAGCAGATCCATGCTGAAGGATTCAGTGGCGAAGGATCAGGATATCTAATTTTCAGATGTTTCAACAGAAGTAAAAAGATTATAAATAAATATACTTAGAAATAAAGCAAATGTGGCAAAATATTAGAAATTGGTGAATATAGGTGATTTTATTTTTTAAAAAAAGTTAAAAAACAAAAACTTTGGAGGCTCCTCATTGCCACCAGGATAAAACCCAAACTTTCTAGCATGACCCCATTAACTTTTCAAGCCTCTGCTATTCATTCCCATATACTTCATACCCCTCTAGACTGTTTACTTTTCTGTGTGGGACAAAGATCCTACTCTAATGTAAAGGTCCAATTCAGTTGTTACTTTCTCTCTGAAGCAGAAAGACCCCTCTAAGCTGCATAACTTTATCTTTTGATATACATATTTATCTGCAGGTTTCTTCCAAATATGATTTTGCATTCTCAATGCTTAGAAAAATGTACGTGTATAATAAATTTGTTGAACAAACAAATTCTTAAATCTGTATTTGACCAACACCATCTTTATGTGTGCTAAGTATGGAAAAATATGGTTGGGTTCCCATTGGTCTTTTTAACCACAACACAAAAAGATGGTAATGGTATAAAGAATTAGAGATATAGACAGAGATACACACACACAGGGAAAGAAGGAGAGAAAAAGGAGAAGAGGAAGAGAAACAGATACATCATATCTTCAGACACGGACAACAGAATATAATATGCAGTTTAAATTCAGGATCTTAGCATAAATTAAATGTCTCTCTTCTCTAATAATGAGAAATGTATGGTTATGTTCCTTTGGGAATAAGTAATGAAATAATTTTATGTGTAGTCAACAGCAAGACTTACTCTACTATGAAGCACTGTGCTGGTACCACTTACTCCAGAATTTTAATAACTAGGTCCCTTCTTTAACAGACACTCTTAAGTCTGTATGACTTTCTTGTAATGAGGCATGCAAGACCTTCACAGTATGTCTGAATCCTTCTCACATCTCTCAACAGGGGGTGTTTTATTTTTGTTTTCCATTGGTGATTATTCTTTTTTTTTTTAATGTTATGTTAGTCACCATACAATACATCATTGCTTTTTGATGTAGTGATCCACGAGTTACTGTTTTCATATAACACCCAGTGCTCCATGCAGTATGTGCCCTCCTTAAATACCCATTGCCGGGCTAACCCATCCCCCCACCCCCCTCCCCTCTAAAACCTTCTGTTTGTTTCTCAGAGTCCATAGTCTCTCATGGTTCGTCTCTCCCTCCTATTCCCCCCCTTCATTTTTCCCTTCCTTCTCTTAATGTCCTTCATGCTATTCCTTATGTTCCACAAATAAGTGAAACCATATGATAATTGACTTTCTCTACTTATTTCACTTAGCATAATCTCCTCCAGTCCCATCCATGTTGATGTAAAAGTTGGGTATTCATCCTTTCTGATGGCTGAGTAATAATAGTCCATTGTATATATGGACCACATCGTCTTTATCCACTCATCTGTTGAAGGGCATCTCGGCTCTTTCCACAGTTTGCTTATTGCGGACATTGCTGCTATGAACATTGGGGTGCATATGGCCCTTCTTTTCACTACATTTGTGTCTTTGGGGTAAATACCCAGTAGTGCAATTGCTGGGTCATAGGGTAGCTCTATTTTTAATTTTTTGAGGCACCTCCACACTGTTTTCGAAAATGGCTGTACCAACTTGCATTCCCACCAACAGTGTAAGAGGGTTCCCCTTTCTCCAACTTTGCCAACATTTGTTGTTTCTTGCCTTGTCAATTTTTGCCATTCTAACTGGTGTAAGGGGGTATCTCAGTGTGGTTTTGATTTGAATTTCCCTGATGGCTAATGATGATGAACATTTTTCATGTGTCTGTTAGCCATTTGTATGTCCTCTTTGGAGAAGTGTCTGTTCATGTCTACTGCCCATTTTTGACTTGATTATTTGTTTTTTTGGGTGTTGATTTTGAGAAATTCTTTATAGATTTTGGATACCAGCCCTTTATCTGTAGTGTCATTTGCAAATATCTTCTCCCATTCTAAACAGGGGGTGTTTTAGAGGCAAAAGTGGCTCTTATGTGGCTGCAATAACCTTGCTTTTTCACTGTCATTTCTAGATCATCGTTCTTTCCTTTACCCTCTCTCCTAGTTATACTGCGTCCTTCACCCTCCTAATGTGAGCTTCTGTTGACCTCCAGGACATGCCGCAGTACTCTCCTAAGACTTGGGCACTTAGTCACGGTTTTCCCTCTGAAGGAATGCAGTTTCTAGGTTTAGAAATGCACAAGCAGCTGTGTCCATTCTTAGGAACTGCTGAAGTTGTAACTGAAGTAGGTGGAGATGGCTTCTTCTGGTAACCTTAGACATCTTGGCTTTTAAAATGGCTGAAGCTGAAAGTTTATTCAGCTGCTTCTTTGGTTTTGGAAACTGTATTTGGGTTTTGAAATTTTTTTTGAAAATTTTTAAGCTCTGAAAAATATTTTCAGCCTTTTCATCAGCCAAGGTCAATCAAGCCCACTCTATTTCATTCCTTGCAGAGCAGGACCTTGCAGTGAAGATGGTTCAATACATTTTTTTCCAGAGGGGAGGGGGAACCACCCTACTAATGACTTCTATTCCATACCTTTAATGATTTTAAAGTTTCTTAGTGATCATTGTTTTAGTTCTGACATATGCAGAATTGAAGTTCCAGAAGACTAAAAGAAGGATTTCCTCAGTAATAAGTTATACTTTTTGGTTTTAGGACATTTTCAGGTGTCTTTCTTATAACTGATCTTTTTTTTTTTTTTAAGATTTTATTTATTTATTTGACACAGAGAGAGCACAAGTGGGCAGAGCAGTAGGCAGAGGGTGAGGGAGAAGCAGGCTCCCCACTGAGCAGGGAGCCCGATGTGGGGCTCAATCCCAGGACCCTGGGATCATGACCTGAACCAAAGGCAGCCGCTTACCTGACTGAGCCACCCAGGCGTCCGTTATAACTGACCTTAAATCAGAATTTAAGTGATAGCTTTTGGTTAAAAAAGTTCTTGTCAAAATATCTATGAAGACAACTTTAAACTGAAAACGTCAGCTTGAGAATTACAACTTTCTATTCTATTGATAAAACTGTAAGCTTCATGACTACTTTAGAACTGTATATTAGGCATGTCCGTTTTATTTGCATTTTCCATGGTATCAGTCTTTAACAGCCAGCTAAAGCTGTGCCTGAATAGAGAGTAAAATAAGTGAATTGGTGAACTTAGATTCTATAGGAATTATTAGGTAAGGGCTAATCCAATTTTTAAACTACAAGGTTTTCTGTTGGCATAGAAAAAGTTTTCTCTCCCATTCTCCCCTGCACTACCTTTAAAAAATGAGTTATCATTTGAGAACTGATGAAATAGACAACTTATTTTTTATATTTAGTGTATGAACAAGAAGATTAAGATGGCAATTTAACATTTTATGTGTCTTTTAAACTTGCTGATATCATGTTAATTTTTTTAATATACTGTTTTGTTAGAAATAATGTTTGAAGAAAAATCTAGAATATGCTTGTTTCGTTGTGCTCTTCGGTTCCACAAAGCACAGAAGGCAATCACCTAAAACATGCTATCTACTCCCTGATAGAACTTTTTTTTTTTTTTTAAGATTTTATTTATTTGACAGAGAGTGTGAGAGAGCACAAGCAGAGGGAGCAGTAGAAGGAGAGGGAGAAACAGGCTCCCCGTGGAGCAGGGAGCCCAATGTGGGGCTCGATCCCAGGACCCTGGGATCATGACCTGAGCTGAAGGCAGGCGCTTAACCATCTGAGCCACCCAGGCACCCCCCTGATAGAACTTCTATCTTGATTTCTTTCATCTTTTCTCCTCTCCTGCCTATTTCTGTTATGCATGTTAAGTCCAGAACCCCCAGCTTCCTGCTTCACCTCTTTGTGCTCTAGCCTCTAGCCTCAAAATAGCAGTTCACTCTGATACCCAGGAAGGAACCAGAAAGCCTCCTCACATGCGCAAATGGGAGTTCCCCAAGTTTCAGGAACCTCCCCAGCCTCCATGCTCCTGATACCTTCCTGCCTGACCGCTGACGCCACCCACCCTCCTGTCTGCTGAAGGGTAGGGGGAGCCAGTGGGAGAAGCTACTTACCCCTCTCCAGGGGACTAGCTAGTTTCTACCCTCTTTGTTTGTTTTCCTGTCTGTAGAAGGTTTTCATCTGTCACAAGCGTCAGTTCTGCTTGCCAACTCTGCAACTCTCCTTAGCCAGCTTTCCATTTTCTTCATCTATGTGCTTGATGCGTACCAGAACCTAACCTCCTCAGAGGTTGGAGTAAACAGCCATGGGATGGGAGGCCAACAGGCCCCTGGGTTCATTGTTTGTAATTAACCCACAAGGGTTAAGCCCTCACTGGTTGGCTGGTAGAGGGCAGAAACTGCAGCAGCAACAGCAGCTGGGCCTTCAGTGAGAGCCCACTGCGCACAAGGCGCTGTAACAGCTGCTTAACGCATCACTCCAGCCTCCTTATAAACAAGGGCTGTTCTTCGCAATTTATGGAAAAAGGAACCCAGGCCCAAGTTACTGCTCATGACTTATAATGTCATATTCACTCACTGTTCACTAATTCTGAGAGGATTTAGGTTTCACATGGAAGACTAAGGCAGTTTTCAAGACTTCATTTTTTTTTTTTTTAAAGATTTTATTTATTTATTTGAGACAGAGAGAATGAGAGAGAGAGAGCACATGAGAGGGGGGAGGGTCAGAGGGAGAAGCAGGCTCCCCGCTGAGCACGGAGCCCGATGCGGGACTCGATCCCGGGACTCCAGGATCATGACCTGAGCTGAAGGCAGTCGCTTAACCAACTGAGCCACCCAGGCGCCCTCAAGACTTCATTTTAAAAGGATAAAGATTAATGTTCTATGTTCAGTCAAAAACTAAAGTAGAAAGTTTCTGTGGAATTGGTAGAGAACACAAACCAATAATTTTCTATAGCCATATTCCTGTGTATTTTTCTCTCTCTCTTTTTTTTTCACCCCTGATTTGTTTTCCTTTCCACAAAATGAATATTGATAATGAGGATATTCTAAGTCTATGGCACCAGGTTAACATTTATTTTCTTAGGAGCGCATGTGTTAAAAACAAGTCTTAACGATTTAAAAAAGTGTTGACTGAATTATGGTTTACATGACTCATGATATAAGACACAATGAATATTATATGGTTTTCCCTTGCTTAAGACAAGGCTTTTAAAGGCTAGGCTCCGACTCCCGGTGCCATCCCAGTGGTAGAATGTCTGATGCAACTGAGCCCTGTTTTGATCTGCTAGAGTATTTGTCTTGTCTTTATGGTGTGGATAAACTGTAGAGAAAACCTGGTTTGTATTCAGGGAGAACCTGACTCCCTAGGAGTCTTTGGAAATTCTTCTTTTCTCTCTGCTTTGAAGGAAATTGAGAAAGGAACATGGGAAGTTGGAAAACGAAGCTGTCCCCGTCAGGACAGCGGGATGAAGCAAAATGACTTTTTCCGTTAGACAGCTTTTATGTAAAGCTGTAGCCCCTCAGGGGAAAGATATAAGCTTGAGTAATTAACTCATGATTATGCAAAGATCCATTTACCTAGCCTTTTTGTTTTTCCTCTTTTTTTATTGCCTTGGGCTAACCTCATTTCTTATTACCATCCTCACTGTATTAGGGCTGGGGCTGAGGGAAGTGGTAGGGGTAGTAATAGGAGCCCAACTTACTTTGACCATTTTACTTTCATTAACAATTTTGTTAGAAAAGGAATTAAGCCAGTTTACTTGGGCAGTAGTTGTTTTTTTCTTAAGGTTAGATATACAAGAATTTTGCAGAAGAGTTCCTTAGTTATTTCAGAGACCATCTGGGTTGAGTAAATCAGATATATTTACAACAAATCATAATAATTTATTTTAATAGCCTTTAGCCTTTTATAGCATATGAAATCCTTTCTCATATATTCACATATAATCCTTACAGTGGTACCTCAGATGTAACAAGGGCTTATTAAATACTTTCAAATATTGGATGAACATATAACAATTTTGTGAGATAAGTAGACTTGGTATTTATCAGTGCTTTTAAAATGAGAAAAACTGAGGTTTGGTTTTAAATCTTAGCTCAAAATCATGCAGATATTAAGTTCTGTCTTTTTTCTGCCATAAGCCTCTTTAAGGAAAGGCTGCTATTAAATGTAGTTTCCATAAATTGGAATAACAATTTTGAATTATAGAGCTTTAACTTGCCCACAGCAAGGATTTTTTTATTTTATTATTACTATTATTATTATTACTATTATTATTTTTAATGAGGCAAGAAAGCTAAAACCTTTTCTGTGCTGATAAGTTTCTAGGGTCTACCCAGCTTTTTATCCCATTTGAGTGGTCCCTGCTCCTCTCACCCATTCATTAGTGTTATACAGAGCCCACCTATTTGAATGGTAGGAAAAAAAGCCATGCTAGAAATCACTGTAGTGTTATCCCCCACTCTGATTTTTTTTCCCTTTCCATTAATACTCTAATTTGCCTTTCATTCTTTGATACTGACCAAAAAATGCTTATTATAGCTATGTATACTTTAATGTTAAAAAGTTATTTTTACTTGAAAGAAGGAATTTAGTAGTAGAATTTCTGTTCATCCAACAAGCATTTATTGATCACTTACCATGTGCCAGGCACTATTTGAGGTACTAGGAATCAGCAATGAAAAAACAAAGACAAAATCCTTGTTTTGTAGAGATAACATTATAACAGGTGAGCATCAGCAAACACAGCAATGGAGGTGATGTGAAATGGTCAGGTTTCGGGATTGGGCTACTTTGAAAGTAAGGCAGACAGGTTTTCCTAATGGGTTGAGTGTGAGAGAAAGAAGGGTCTTTAAGTTGTAACATCGAGGATGGCATTGAGTTGTAGATGATACAAGATCACCAGGCTTGGGGGGAGGAAGTAGTGTTTTAATACTTGTCAGACGTCCAGGTAGAACTATGAAGTAGATGGTAGGTAGGTTCCAGTGGGGAATACAAGTGTGGGAGGTGTGAGCATGTAGATGGTACTAAAAGTCTGGATACTAGATGAGATCAGCTAGGGAACAAATGGAGAAAAAGAAGGAATCTGAGGACTGAGCCTTTGCATATTTCAGTGCTTAGTGCTCAAAGGTAGGAGGAAGAACCAGCAAAGGAGATTGAGGAAGACTGATAATTGAAGTAAAAGGTCACCAGTGAGTATTCTCTGAAAGCAAAGCGAGAAAAACTGTTTCAGTAGGAAAGAGTGCGCACCTTTGTCCTCACTGTTAGAGTAAGTACTAAGAGGACTGACAGGTGAGTACTGGTCTGAGCAACTTGGAGGTGACCCTGACAAACACCTTTGCAAAGTGGTGGGTGGCAAAAGTTCAGTTGAAATGCGTTCAAGAGAGGGGCACCTGGGTGGCTCAGTCGTTAAGCGTCTGCCTTCAGCTGAGGTCATGATCCCAGGGTCCTGGGATCGAGCCCTGCATCGGGCTCCCTGCTCGGCGGGAAGCCTGCTTCTCCCTCTCCCACGCCCCCTGCTTGTGTTCCCTGTCTCGCTGTGTCTCTCTCTGTCACATAAATAAAAAATCTTTAAAAAAAAAAAGAAATGCATTCAAGAGAGAATAGAGAAAAGGAGTTGTAGACAGCATATATACAACAATTGATAAAATAGGAGAGTTGGGAGCAATTTTGAGAGGCAGTCCTTAAATAGCGGGTTCATCTCCAGAATTGAAGAGAGGCGTTAGAATGTAATTAAATAATCAACAGATGGTCCTACTTAAGTATTTGCTCATCGTCCGTCACAGGAATATTGAGACCGGATCGCTTTATGATTTTAGTAGCCAGTTAGGCAAGCACTTTGCTGTCTTTAGTAGAATAACAGTAGATGGGTAACCTCATTGTTCCAGATTTCACTTGGACATGGTTTGTAATCAATAGCATGGCTTTCTTCTGTAGAGGTAAATGGGGGACCTTTTTGCAATTATGAAAATACTTATTTCTAAGATAAAATTACTGGCCCTTTTTGATGAAGAATGGAGAATTATTTTCCAGAGGCAAAAAAGAAAAACAATGCTTTCCTTTTTCAAAAAAATGAGATTTTTTTTTTTTTCTATTACTTTTCTGAAATGTATAGTCTGCTATTAGATTGATTTTCTGATTTTTTTTTTTTTTTTAACTTTTCAGGCTGGAGTGAGACAGCTTTATGTACAGATTGACTTCGCGGCCATGTAACGAATGAAAAGAAATTATCCTTTTTGGGGGACCTAATATTTCCGGTACTGTACAATCCCAAATGTTGTACCTAGCTTTTTAGGACAGAAAAATTGTCACGACAATTGCCCAGCGCCAAGTAGACCAGGTAGCGTCAGCAGTTTGTGCTCTGCCAGGAAGGAGCTCATAGCTAAGGGAGCAGAACTAGGAGGAGCTCTCCTGGACTTTTGGTCGTGTCTTTTGTGCTCTTCCCTCCAAACCATTTTAATTTCTGATGTTTGTAGTTTTGTCCCAGGATGTTATTTTTTGTTTGTGTACCTTTTTTTTTTTTTTTTTCCCATTTTCAAAAATGCCCTCAGCCCTAGTGGTCATCCTAGCGAGTCCGAATTCAGATGCTGGGCTTCCAGTCATCTGCACAGTCTTCACTGAAGCTGCTGGAAACCACTGCTTTCATTTCCACAAAACTAGTGTTATTAAAAAAAAAAAAAGAAATCATTTTATATGTAATGTCACAATGGTTGACATTCTTCAGTATAATCATATGTTTGTAAAATTGTTTGTACCTTGCAAACTTATGAACCAAACCATATTGGGTTTTCAAAGTGCCTTTGTATCAGAAAATGTATTTGCCAGCATAATAATGTACCATCAAAGGTCATGCATATGGGTTTTTTTAATGGATAATTCTATAATCTGTATGAAGTAAGACTCTTAAAAGTGATGTATACAGATTGTCTTTGTGTGTACTTCCAGCCTAGGTTTAAAGATATGAAAAGTTTCCTCTTATTGCTCTATCTCATCGAAAAATAGAAGGTGTTATTTTGCTTTTTAAATCAAATTCAATTATCACATTATTCTGTGGACTGTGTTTTCAAAACTTTGCAAATGCATCTGTTATATAGACGATTGTTTTGACTTACTTAAAACATCTGCTAAATCCCATATTTCTCTGAAAGCTACTGTGTCTGTGAAAACTTCCCTATGTGTCTCCTTGCTGTTTTTATGGGTTTTATTTTTATTTTTTCTTTTTTTAGAGAGTTGAGGGAGAAGGGGCAGAGGGAGAGAGAGACTCTTAGGCGGGCTCCACGCCCAGCATGGAACCCGACACCAGGCTCAATCTCACAACCCTGTGACCGTGACCTGAGCCGAAATCAAGAGTCGGATGCTTAACCCACTGAACCACCCAGGTGCCCCTATGGATTTTATTAATGAAAGGCAATGTAGAGGGAAGGCAGAAATGGTTGTGACAATGTTACTTTGTTTTTTCATTCTTCAAATGCCAAGTCATACAATTTGTTTTCCGGTGCAAGCATTGCACAAATACAGTTGCTTTCAGAAACCTAAAAGCAGCATTTTATTGAGTTTAAACTATTGAAGATACAGATCAATTGTGATAAAACAGGTGTCTTAGAAGTTAATAAACAAGTTGATTTCTAGGTTTTTGTGTATTTGAAAAATAAAATTGTGATTTGAGAGGACAAGTGCTTGAACACTCAAATATTCTGTGTTTTTGAAGAAATATTGATCTGGATAGACATTTACCCATTGTTCTTCATTTTATCACAATGTATGTTCCCTTTTAACTTTAAAAAACTGAAAATTCTTGGGGAAAATAACTCTGCAGGATGGAAATGATTGTTTAGAATGTAGACCAATAATAAGCACTTTTTCACAGATGGGGCAGAAATCGCTGTTGATTTTGTCTACGTTTTAGAGTAGCTTTCTCCCTATTTCTGATCTACAATTTATGAACTAAAGTGTATTAGGAAAACTGGACTACTTTCTTAATGCTTTCCTAAAATGCTGCAGATTGCTATGAGCTGTTGACAGTCTCCTTTTTGCAGATTAAGCAGTATTTTCAAAACATTTTTACTTACTGCCAGGCAGTTCTAAAGCTAAGAATTCCTGCAGTAGAATGTGTTTAACTAAAACAGTTGTTGAGATGTTTTAGGAGGGAAAGTATAAAAGGAAATGTCCTGATAACATACTACTTTTTCATTATAAGTGTAAGTGACTATTTGGAAGTTTGCATCCACTCCGAGCCTGATAGAAGCCTGGGATATTCTGTGGGTTTTGGCATATTGTGGAAAATGTCAGATCTAGATGAAGGTGGGAATTTTGGATGTGTGCCTTTAAAAGCTAATGTTATATGTAATTGTACTGATTGTTCACATATGGAGACAGTATTTGCACTGGCATGGAAACTTGAGCAGTGCATTTTGAAGGTCCAGTTCTGCCTTTCCTCAGGCCCTCCATTCCAAGTAAAGTTTTTGTCAAAATTGGCATCATTTTAACTATACTCTGAATACACAAGTGCATGCATATGTGTTTTTTCCTTGATAAGGCATTGAGCATACAGATTATTAGACTGATATGGAACTCTAATTTTGCACCTATTACAAGAGATTTCCAGCTCATATCATTTGGTGGGTTGGCATTAACATTTATGCTTTAATTAAATGTCCTTAAACCTGTGTGTGCAGCAGTGGACAAATCAGTGTGAGAAAAAGCAATCTTGTTCTAACAAATATTCGGTCTCACCTGTGTTTCTGGCACAGACCTATTTATTGCTAAAGTAGATAATTTCACTGAGAAACACTACCTGATTGTTGTAATAGATTTGAGATGTCTCTATGGTTAACTCTTGGGGTGGGTGAGGGGGAGGGCAGGGCGTCTTTGAGTATAACTTTGCTAGTATTTTAAAAATCAAAATATTCCCTGGAGAACAAATTTGTTTCGCTCTGGGAAAGTTTACCTTGCTAAGTAAATTTCCCCAAACAGAAATATACCTATATTAGTTTTGTGTTTTAAAATCTAGATTGTATTACTCAAAGGGCTTACCATATGTGTGACTTTATTTTGCTGACTCCCTGTGCACTTTTGTGAAGGACAGTGTGTAGTTTATCTGTAGCTCTGTATTCCTCTTGTCGTCGCCAAGCGGTCTTCTGCAGAGGCATAAGGAAGTAGCAGCAGATGTTAGTGGCATCTACCTTTGTCTCCGGATGCTTCAGCGTTCTTCAAAGCCTCCGTGTAGACCCCAGTAACCAAAATACTGTGACTTGTGCACCTTTGTAAAGCAGCCCAATCAGTGACTCCAGATGCAATTGATCAGAGTTCTATAATGTTTTTACCTGCTATGGAAGAATCAATTCTATAGAGATTATTATGGTAGCATCCTCATATAATGCTGGGATTTAAGAACAAAAATATGTCATTGCTCAACATAGAATTTTACATCTAAGGGACTGTCCTTAAAAGCAGTCTCGTTCTACCTCTCATTTTACAGATGAGAACACTGAAGCCCAGAAATGCTGTCATTTACTCACAGTCGCAGAGATAATTAGTGGCAAAGCCAAGACTAGAGTCCAGGTCTTGTGACTCCAGGTCAAGTTCTTTCTCCTCTACTGTGCTGCCTGCCTCTCCAGTGTAATATTTGCCTTTCTGTAAATGTGATGAAAAAGCATTTGTAAATAAAGGAAAGCTGACCTCCATTTTTGGTACATTAAGGCACTTTATAAATGGAGTTTTATTGTCTTATTTTTCATAAGTAATTATGAGGTTTAGAATATTATTTCCATACTTCCATTATGAGGTTTAGAATATTCTTTATGGAAAATATAATTTTTGTACTCTTACTTTTTTACTCTTATGAAACCAGTTCCTGATTTTTAAAATATGATGACATCTGTGCTTTGGATACTTTTAACTTGTGAATTTTTCTGTTAATTGCCCAAGGCTAAATCCAATTTAAGGATTGCTTAGTTTCTTTATTTTGTTTATATTCTGTGAGCTGGTACTTTTTAGAAACCAGGCCAATTCTTACAGGTCGTATCATTTCACTCTTGATACTTTAGTTTTCACTTACTGGGGAGCTTTTTGGATTTTTAACATTTATTCTCAGAGCCACACAAAATTGGGCATTAAATTAAATATAGAACAAAACAGGTCTTTTAATTCAGTAGGGTGAAATTTTGAAGTCTTACCAGAACCCCAAATGTTAAATTGCTTACTCTCAACATAAAAGCATTACCTTGATAAAATTAAACTTTTTTTTCTGTCACCATCTTCAAAACAAATTATTTTCCAGTTCACGAGAACTTTGGCAAAAAAAAGAAAAAATTTTATTTTTTGAAGAACACTCATTAAAAGTTTTATTAATGGAAGAAGATTATTTCAAGACATGACCCACCAGAAGCCTTAGTGATCCAGATCTCTACCATCGAGGTAGACTTACATACAGTGAAAAATTATCGAAACAAGTATCTGCAGAGAAGTATAGTTATATTTAAAGGCCAAATAGATGTGAGTCTTTTTGATGAGGGCATCTTTGGTTTGTGTTTAACCATTTCCCAACTACAAATTATACGGAAAGGGTGTCTTTGTGTGGCCTTTTCCATGGTGTCACATTTGAAAGCCTCACATTTCAATAAAGGAAGAAATTTTGCATGCTTTTATGACTGACAGAGCATTTTCAAATTCCCTCCCTGGGGAAGGAATTCGTAACTGTATTTTCCAGATGAGGAAGCTGTTGTGGGAGAATTTAAATGACTTGCCTGAGGGATAGCCGGTGGTAATGCACTGACCTTAAATCCAGTGCTTTTTCTGATGACTGCTCTGTTTTATGTATATCATTCTACAGTGGTTTAAAGATCCAAGAAGTTTTAGCAGATTTGAACAGATTCTCTAATAAAATCAGTGAACAATTATGACAAAATTGATTATGGGGTTAATAGTTGTTACATATACATTGCTTAAACTCATTCCTTCATTCAGTTCTCTCACACTTATTTCCTACATTTGCCATTGAATTTAAACTGTGCAGTCTAAAAAGAATAATCAGAACTCCTTTAAGTATTTTTAAAACCTTTTTAAAAAGTTTTATTGATGCTCAGAGTAAGCTGCTTAAAAAAGGGATTGACTCAGAAGAGAGTCCTTGCCAGTGTGTTAAGTAAAGAGAAACTGAATTCATCCTGGCTAAGAGAGGTTAACATAATTGATGAAGGAATTATCTTCCAAGAAGTACAAATAATTTTTGCTGCTTGAGAGGGATCTGAGGATGTACAACATTACATTTTACAGACACCTTTTCAAGAAGAAATCTTTTTCATAATTAGTAGCAATCTATGCTTAATAAAAGTATTGAACTTTGAAGTCTTCCCATGGCTTTGAAAATTTAGTATTTGCAATTCTGATGATGTTGGAAAGTTTGTAAAAAAGAATGTCTTTGTCTCATCATCTATCCCATTATTCCCAAACTTAGTATGAATTTATATGCTCAGTAAATGTTTGGTTAACTAGTGAGTAAATATTGTAGGTCGTAGTGGATACAAAAGTAACAGTTGGGGACAGATAGAACCAGTAATTTATTATTACAGAAGACACCTCAGCTTTTCTTTGGCATTTTTGCACAAATAAGTGACTTTGTATCCACTTCGGCCATTTTTTTCTAGGAGCCCTGTGAGCTGCTTCTCGATTTTAATCCAGGAACAGTAGACAAAGAGATGCTATCCATGTTGTTGGATAGAAATTTGGCAGAACTGAGACTGTGGAAGCTGGGTCACTTGAATTTTTACATTATGTATTACCAAATGAGAAACCACATTGCCTCCTTGGTTTCTGTGGAAAATTGCCATATTCATATTACTTTAAGGATCTGTGTATAACATACCTTGTTTCATTTATCTCCAGATGTATAATTATCCAAAACTCTTTCAGTGGTATATCCTGAAGGTGCTTCTATAAAAACAAACACTACATGTATTCATTTAGTGATTTAAATATTCCTAGAATAGTTTTTTTTCTTTTTTCCCCCCTCTAAATACCAAATTTTAATGGAGCTTCTCTATATTTCTTATTTTTCATCTTTTAATTGCTGCTGCCACGGTAAAATTTCCCTTTACTAGTAAAAAAAAAAAGCTTTATTTTGAATTTTGTTTAGGTACCACATATCATGTATCAGTTAGCCTCAATGAAGATTCTGTTTTGAACTAGATGTATCCTGTCAAGAGTTTGCCAAGTAATCCCATTGCTTCCTCTAAGAGCAAAAATTCAGTGATATTTCTTCACAAGTGATATTTTGCCCCAATACTTGTGAGTTTGATCAAGAAACAGATGATCTTTTATATCGGAAATACTGTGAGTTAAAAATTGCCAAATCCCTTTTCAGTATATTCCAAGCACCCCTACAACACTTTACCTCCCTGTCTTTAATGGTTTCTAAACACATGGCCATGTTTGGATTTGGGTTTGATTCCTATATGAAGATTATGGCACCAAAACATTTCTAAACAAACGTTTGAGTACAAGGCTAGATTGGAACGTCAAATTTCAAGGACTATATTGTAATTTGATTTGAATGTGCTGAAGTGAGCAATTATGATTTGCCTAAATATAATACAACAAATCCTTCATGTATATTTCATTTTTTTTCTACTTGAAGACATTCATGTATATATTTTAACTTCAGATGTATTTAAAAATAATAAACCTTGTATCAAAATTCTTCCAATAAAATTTGTTTCAAAATCTTCACCTGAATTGTGTCTATCAGTTTGATAAACTGAAAGGAACATTGTGAACCTAACAATTACTGGAATCAATGCTAGAGGACTTAAGGAATGAAAGGGAAAGAATGGTGTTCAGGACCAGAAAACGGGAAAACTCACCAGAGGGAGGAGATGCTGGGAGATTGGAAAGGTCCTCCTTGTGGCTCTTACCCGTTATTATACCTTATAAACACATCTCACAGTATTTACTTCCAGATATTTACATTAACCCCAAATTGTTCTTTCACGTTATTCTCTATGCATGACCTCAACTTACAGGAAATAAAGACCAAAACCAACATGAGCATCTGTTATCTTTCCAGATGTTTTTTTCCCTCTAATCAGAAGCAATAAAAAAATAACTTCTCCACAAAAACCCCAGATCCCATTCATCCCACCTTCTCAAACATATTCTTCTATCAAAGCAGCCTCTTCACTATCAATCTCTGCCACACGGTAAGGGCTTTATATTCGGTGTGTCTGCTGCTGAATACCTTATATGTGGTCTGAATGTGTCCTTTCTAACCATTTCCATAACTCCTGCTAATATGGCTTCAGTCCTCTTTATTTTATAGAAGTTAATTAAAGGCCCTTAGTGCCTTACTTCTTGTCACATCCATGGCAGAACTACTAACATCTCAAAATCAACAAAGAGAAAATTATTTTTTCCCACTCAAATAGCTTCTGTCAGAATCCCTTACATAATTCTTGGAAATCTAAACATTGCCTTTGTCCCCTTCATTTCCTAAATTCCCTATTGCAAAGTCCTTCCCTTCTTCATTCCTTCGAAATCTTTTACATTCACCTTTTGCATTCCCACTGCCTTATTCCTGGATGTCATTGATGACTGCACGCAGTCACTATGTGGAACTATCTAGCTTCCCATGCCTGGCTTGAGCCACCTCCATGGCACCCCCTCCCCTAACCATCAGCACAAACAATTCTGGCCTTAGGCAGGAAGTACAAGGAATTTCTGCTGAATCAGACTTTTGCCCAGGCACTCTGAAAACATTTCCTCTATCTTGGCTTCCTGATTATCTTCTGCTGGCCCTTCTGCACACTGGACTTTGACCTGCTAGATCTAGAGCACCTGCCAGGGACTACCTGCCTTTCCTGTGTTCTCTAGAATTAGCCTCTGGCCTAAGGAACTCTACAGTGGCCCATCACCAGTCCCCTTAGAGCAGCCTCTTCTGTTTACAGTCTGGTTTAAGCAAGTGATGTATTATAATACTTCACTACCTAATCTTTATCTAGAGTTTTGTTTCCTCCCCCACAGAAGCCACCCTATGTTGTACTGACAGACTAGGTAAGCTTCTCAGTTTTCACTTGCAGTCCTCCAGCTCAGGAATCTGGAACAGCTCCATAATGCTCATCAAATACAAATTCCCCTGAACAACTTTAGAAACTCGTAATGCTTTTCCTCTCCTCCTTATCCAATCTCATTACCTACAGTATGACAATAAACTTATCATTACTCTAGACCACAGAAAGAGCAGACAGGGAGAGACCAACTGGTCCAACAGATGCAGACAGAATGACAGCAATTTAGTATTTTCCATTCTGTAAAAAGGAAGGAAGGAAATGAAAAAAACGAAAACAGCATTTCAGTGGGATTCCAGTTCATTCAAACAATCTATTAGCTCATCCAGCCCTATTTCCAGGTTTAAAAAACAAAACAAAACAACTCTACCATAAGGTAGGCTTAGCACATGCTACTAACATTTAAATGTACATTTCAACTTTATCTCCTAAATTCCCATAACCAAGAGAAGTAATAAAGGTAACAGTAAGATAATACTCAAATGCTTTGAGTCTGGCACACTTTAGGCAATCAAAATTTATTGGAAAAAATGGATGAATTTAATATAAAGTTTAATTCCTCGGAAAATGGTTCTGTATGCATTGTTAAAGTAAACTGCATTCTTTTTGTAAGACAGCCACTGCTAAAACAAAAAATACAAAAACAAAAGCATTCAAAGAGTATCTCCTGAATGTAGGCAGATAATAGTATTTTAAAAGGGTGACATTGTATAAACATGAAATTCAGTTTCACATCTAATCATACTACAGTTTCACAGCAATTAAAACCCTAACATTTGGCTTGGACTTTTGAAAATATCATACCACTTCCAAAATGATAAGTAAAATAATATCTGTCTGATAAGCCATCACTGTTTTCCCACGATAGGCATTAAGTTAGATCAAACTGTTGTTCAACTTTACAGGGGTTATCTGTCCTGTATGTGTGTCATACTACTTCCCCTTGAGCAATAATTTGTACACAGGCCATAGATTTCTACAGAACTTCAAAACAAGACAAAGTTACTACATTTGTAGTTCTATTAGTTGGAGCAAAGACTTCCCCCAAGCAATTCTGCAGTGGTGGCCAAAAACTATGGAAACCCACAAGAGCTACATACAAGAGGAGGAAATTTTTCTCTCTTTAGTGGAGCTATGGTTTAAAAAGGGTAGAACCAGCCCCTCTGCTTTTTTTCTTTCTGTCCCTCCACATGGGTGAGGATGTAGGCTCAATCATGAAGATATGAGACAGAGCAACTGTGTAGAGTAACAAGAACCCCAAGTTTATGGCCAGAGGACTGAAAAGGGGAGCCTAGGGAACCAGGAAGCAGCAGAGAGATCATGGAATGGGAGGGGCAAAGGAAAGCAACCTCATGAAGTTGTTTATGAACCCTCAAGTCACTAATGTTTGGATCTGATCCTACTCAGCATACCAAAACATCTTCAGAACTAAACTAGCCAATCAGCTAGGTCCCAGACTGTCTAGGTCCCCTACTGAGGGGCACAACCTGAAATAGATCCAAAGAAAACTGCAATCCTTGAAAACTGAACGGACACAGCCCACAGAAGGTAGATTAGTAATTACATTCTGAACCTAACCAGGTTGACTCCCTATTGGAACAAATAGATTGCCATTCTCCATAGAATCTGAACAAGACCCAGAATCTCATAATACTCACAATGTCCACACTACAATAAAAAATTATTCTATAAAGTGCCACAAAAATTTCAACTTGTGGAAGAAAAACAATCAACAGATGAGGCTGAGATGACATCAATATTGGAATTACCTGACAAAGACTTTAAAGCAGCCATTATAAAAATACTTGAACAAGCCATCAGAAATAATCTTGCAACAAATATTAAAACAGAAAATAGAAGATATAAAAAGAACAAATAGAAATTTTATATCAGCAACTAAAAAACAAACAATATAAACCCAAACCATACAGAATGGATTCAACAGAAAATGGAGCAGGGGAAAGAGTCAATGAACTTGGAGCTAGATCAATAAAGTTATCCACTCTGAATGGCAGAGAAAATAGACTGGGGGAAAAAAGAAAGAACAGATCTGAGAGACCTGGGGCATAATAAGAAATGTCTAACATTTGGTATCAGAGTCCTGGAAAGAAAGGACTCTGCATACCATGCTGAACCGGACAGTGCTGGAAAAATGTTTGAAATAATGGCTGAAAACTTCCCAACCTGGCAAATAAACCTACAGATTCAAGAGGCTATAAGCCAACTCCAAAAAGGACAAACCCCGAAATATCCACACCTAAATGCATCATAATTAATTTCAATCAAAATCTCACGAGCTTTATTATAGATATCAACTAGTCCATTCTAATATTTATATGGAAAAGCAAAAGAACTAGAATAGATAAAACAATTTTGAAAAAAGAATAAAATTAGAGGAATCAAACTACCTTTTTTAAAGATTTACCATAAACCCAAAGTAATCAAGATAGTGTGGTATCACAGAAGGGAAACATAAATCAACAAAACAGCAAAAAGATCCATACAAATATGGCCAACTGATTTTTGACAATGGTGCAAAAACAATTCAATGGAGAAAGGGTAGTCTTTTTAAAAACTAATGGTGAAAAAATAAAGATAAATAAATAAAAACTAATGGTGTTGGAGCAATTGGACATCTATATGCAAAAAAAGAACCTTGATATTAAAACTCACACTTCATACAAAAATAAACTCTAAAACGATCTAAATGTAAAATGCAAAACTATAAAAATTTTACAAGAAAACACAGGATAAAATCTACATGTCTTTCAGTTCGATGATGGGTTCTTAGACATAGTAACAAAACATAATCCACACAAGAAAAAACTCATAATCTGTATTTCATCAAAATGAAAAACTTTTGCTTTACCAAAAGACATGGTTAAGGGAATAAAAGGACAAACTATGGATTGGGAGAAAATATTTGCAAATCACATATCTATCTGACAAAGAATGTGTATCCAGAATATGCAAAGAATGCCCAAAACTTAAGCATAAGAAAACAATCCAAATTAAAAGACATGAATGAATGCTTCATTAAATAGGATATTAAAAATGATAAATAAGCATGTGAAAGATGTTAACATCATTGCACTAGGACAGTGCAAATCAAAACTATGATGACATATACCACAACATGCTTATCAGAATAGCTAAAATAAAAAATACTGCCAATATGAAATACTGGCAAAGATACAGAGCAATGGCAATTCTTTCACAATACTGGTGGGATTGCAAAATGATAGAGTTACTCTGCAAATCGTTTCAGGGGTTTCTTACAAATATGCATTTACCACATGACCCAGGAACCCAGGAACTGCATGGAGCACTGGGTGTTATACGAAAACAATGAATCATGGAACACTATATCAAAAACTAATGATGTACTGTATGGTGACTAACATAATAGAATAAAATTAAAAAAAAAAAAACTCATGTCATATAAAAACCTGAATGTGAATCTTTTAACTCTCTATATAATTGCTAAAAAGTGGATGGGTAGAGGCTTGAATATAAAGGGATAGTGGGAGGGAGTTTTTTTGGTGATGAAACTATTTGTGTCTAGATTATAGGCGTGGTTTCACTGACTGAGAATTTACTATTAAAGAGCTAGAAACTACTAAACAAATAAATGGAGTATTTAACTACCAAACACTAGGATTTCATGATAGTAGACCAAAAATAAGAGTGTTCCTTTTTCTGATGAATAATGCACACTTTTCATTTTACAATTTCATTTATTTATTTACAGAGCATGGGACTGGGGGAGGGGCAGAAGGAGAGAGAGAGAATCTTAAGCAGGCTTCATGCTCAGTGCAGAGTGGGGCTTGATCTCACGACCTGAGACCATGACCTAAGCTGAAATCAAGAATCGGACAACTGAACCACCCAGGCACCCCTACAATTTCATTTAACTTGAGGTTAAATTATACACAGAATAGTGTCATCAGAATTAGCAAATAAAGGCGCCCTGTTAAATTTCAGTTCAAATAAATAACCATCTTTAGTATAAATGTGTCCCAATTATGGAATGGGATATATATGTATATATATATAATACATATATATATAATACATATATATATAATGAATATATATATTCATTATTTATCTGTAATTCAATTTAACTGGGTACCCTATTTTATCTGGCAATCCTTATACAGAAAAATGCACAGATCCTAAATCTATATATTTGAATGAATTTTGGTAAATGTTTATATCCATACAACCAATACCCAATCAAGATAGAGAACATTTCCATTACTTTCAGGTTCCCTTTTGTCCCTTGCCAATCTTCATTCTCTCCACCACAGGCAAGGCCTGTTTAATTATTTCTGCCTATTGCTAAACTTCATATAAATGGAATTGTATAGTCCGCTTCCGTGTCTGGCTTCTTTCACTTCTTTTTTTAAATTCATGTAGGAGTCAGTGGTTCATTCCGTTTTATTGCTAAGTAATGTTCCATTGTAAAATATAGCAAAATTTTAAAATCCATTCTATTGATGGACACAATCCTTGGTTCTAGTTTGGGGCTATGAATGAATAAATATATACAGTTATAAACATTCTTGTACAATTTTTGTCAAGGTCTTCATTTCTTTTGGGTAAATGCCTAGAACTGATCTTGCTAGTTCACAGGATTTAATTTATAGGAAACTAAAACTACTTTCCAAAGTAGTTGTGCCAATTTATATTCCTACCAACAGCAGGCAAATTTCAGTTACTCCATATCCTTGCAAATGTTACCATTGTTAGTCTTTAAAATTTTCGACATTCCATTGGCTTTGTTAATTTTATTGTCCATTTTCTATTTCACTGATTTCTGCTGTGATGTTCAGTATTTCCCTCCTTCTTAATTTTTATACGCTTTTCTTTTTTTTCTAGCTAAGATGGAAACAGATCATTGATTTTATTTTTTTAAAAAGATTTTATTCGGGGCGCCTGGGTGGCTCAGTTGGTTAAGCGACTGCCTTCGGCTCAGGTCATGGTCCCAGGGTCCTGGGATCGAGTCCCACATCGGGCTCCCTGCTCGGCGGGGAGTCTGCTTCTCCCTCTCCCCCTGCTTGTGTTCCTGCTCTCGCTGTCTCTGTCTCTGTCAAATAAATGAATAAAATCTTTAAAAAATAAAAATTAAAAAAAAAAAAGATTTTATTCATTTATTTGACAGAGAGACACAGCGAGAGAAGGAATACAAGCAGGGAGAGTGGGAGAGGGAGAAGCAGGCTTCCCGTGGAAAAGGGAACCTGATGTGGGGCTCAATCCCAGGACCCTGGGATCACGACCTGAGCCAAAGGCAGACTCTTAACCACTGAGCCACCCAGGCGCCCAGATAATTGATATACATTTCTAAGCACTGCTTCATCTGCATCCTACAAATTTTCACATTTTGTTTTTGTTTTTATTCAGTTAGATGTTTTATTTCCAAATATTTAAGACTTTTCTAGACACCTTTTTGTTAGTGATTTTTAACTCCATTGTGGTTAATAGCCAAGCATATGGTCTACTTTGCTGAACGTTTCATACATGCTTGAAAATAATGTCTATTCTACCACTATTGCATGTAGTGATCTAGCAGTTATCAGTTTGGTCCAAATGCTTTTTGTTCAAATCATCAATATTTTTGTTAGTTTATCAGTTGCTAAGAGGTTCATTAAAATCCTCAACTGATTGTAGACTTGTCTGTACCTCCTTTGTCAGTTTTTGCCTTGTGTATTTTGAAGCTGGTATTCAATGAAGACACATTTAGGATTATATCTTCTTGATGAACTACCCCTTTTTTATGAAAAGTCTATCTCCAGTGTACTCCTTCTTTTAAAGTCTATTTTGTCTTATATTAATATAGCCACTTGTTTTCTTATGCTTACAGTTTGCATGTTCTATTTTTCCTCATCTTGTGTCTTTAAAGTTTAACTCTTGTAGACAACATATAGTTGGGCCTTTAAAAAAATCTAGTTTTTAATTGGAGTGTTTGATTTACATTTAAGTAATTACTAGTTGGGTTGCATTTAGGTCTACCATTTTGCTATCTGTCCTATATATTTTTTACCTATATTTCCTGCTTTTGGATAAATCTCCTTCAGTATCCAATTTTAATTCCTCTAATTTTTTTTTTTTACTTCTGCCTTATTTTTTTATAGCAGTTGCCAAGGGATTTCAATACATAACATACATAACCTTATCAGTCTATAGTTAGTATTCCACCACTTTATTTTTTTAAGATTTTATTTATTTGACAGAGAGAGAGAGCACAAGCAGGGGAAGCAGCAGGCAGAGGGAGAGGGAGAAGCAGACTTCCCGCTGAGCAGGGAGCCTGATGTGGGGCTCCATCCCAGGACTTTGGGATTGTGACCTGAGCCGAAGGGAGCCGCTTGGTAACCGACTGAGCCACCCAGGCATCCCAGTATTCTACCAGTTTAAGTAAAATGTAAGAACTGCCACTGTGTAATACCCTTTAACCCCTGTAACTTGTATTACTGTTGAAATCTAACTATACACCAGTATACCATGCTAAATTCAGTTATCTTTTAAAAACATTAAGAAAAAATTGAGTCCACGGGAGCCTGGGTGGCTCAGATGGTTAAGCGTCTGCCTTCGGCTCAGGTCATGATCTCAGGGTCCTGGGATCGAGTCCCGCATCGGGCTCTCTGCTCCTTGGGAGCCTGCTTCTCCCTCTGCCTCTCTCTCCCTCTCTCTGTCTCTCATGAATAAATAAACTCTTTAAAAAAAAAAAAGAAAAAAAGAAAAAATTGAGTCTTTTATACTCACATACTATTTCCTTCCATCTAATGTCATTTATGTTCAGCCTAAAAATCCTCCCTCAGCTTTCCTTATAGGTCTGCTAGTGACAAATTCTATTTTTATGAAGACTGCTTTATTTTGCTTTCATTTTTGAAGGACGTTTTTACTGGATATAGACTGGTAGGGTTTGGTTGGCTTTGTTTTTTAACTTCAGTACTTTATAGATCTCTTCCTGTTGTCTCATGACCTCCATTGTTTCTGAGGTGAAGCAGGCAACATTTATTGCTCCCCTGTACGTAGTGGGTTCCCTACTACCACTCATGGTGGCTTTTAAGATTTTCTCCTATCTTTGGTTCTCATCAGTTTTAACTACGATGTCTTAGGTGTTTTCTCTGTATTTATTCTGCTTAGAGTTCACTGAGCTTACTGGATCTGCGTATTTATAGTTTCAACAAACTTGGGAAAAATTTTGACCTTTACTTAACTCATCTTTTTTCTGCCCTATTTTCTCTCTCTTCTCCTTCTGGAAATCCAGTTACATATGCACTGAACTGCTGCATATCACCCCACGTGGCTTTGCGGCTCTGTGCTTTCTTTCTTCCCTCCAACCTTTTTTTATTCTTTATTCTTCAGATAGGATAATTTCTATCCATCTGCACTTCATTACAACCATTTATCCTTTTCATCTTTGAGCCTAGTTCTGCTAACTGCTTTAAAATCCCCATCTGCTAATTCCAAGATCTGGATTATGTTAGGATCTCTTTCTACTTCCCCCCTCCCCCCCCCCCGCTTTTGACCAAAGATCACGTTTTCCTGTTTCTTTCAATGTGTTATCTTATATTCTAGTCATTGTTGATATCCTAAAGAGACTCATTTTGTTATCACACCCTGGAAGTGTTATGATATGTTCCAACAGGCAGTTAAATTACTGACTACTCACCTTGATTTTATATTACATTAAAGGTTTTCTCTTTAGATTCAGTGCAAATCCTTAGCCCTGGGCATAGTCTTTTCTAATACATGGCCATTCTAGGGATTTGACAGAAAGCCTAAGATGCTTACCAAGCCTTCTAACTTGTCAGGATTCAAACTCGAAATTCTGTTTTCTCTTGCAATACAGAGCAACAAGCTCTGCTCAGATTTTTCAGCCTTCCAGCTCTGGCTTTCCACCAGGTTCATGGAGACTTCCCTGTACAAGCACAATTCAGGAGTTAGCCAAAGAGTTAAGAGATTTATATGTAGATTGGAAGGCTGGCTTCTTTCTCCTTTAGTGCCACCTTCATTTCCAGAATTTCCTCCTCAATATAGAGGTCCTCTAGCAGCCCCCAATTTCTCTGACCCCTCAAACCAGTAAGACTGCAACCTTCTCTTGAGTTCTAGCCATCCCTTACCGGACAGACTTGGGAAATGTCCTGAGGGAAAAAGCTGTATATAAGCATAAGTCTCAGCCTGCTTTTGGTCATTCCCCTCAGGGTCTTTAGACAGTTATATTTTGTCCAGCGTTTATTAATTGGGAGGGCTTATATATTACAAGCTATTCCACCATTACCAAAGGTAGAAATCTTTCCTTTTATAATAATTATTCAATGCTTGCTTTAATGCTTCAGAAGAAAACAACACAGAATTAGCATTTAAATGTCCTTGGCTCTCTCCCCTTTTGTGTAACAGACTAAAAATGGAATATTTCATATATATATGAAATATCTTTTATCTCAAATGAAATAAGTCAGGGGCCCCTAGTTGAGCGTCCGACTCTTAATTTCAGCTCAGCTCTTGATCTCAGGGTCGTTAGTTCAAGCCCTGTGTTGGGCTTCATGCTGGGCATGGAGACTACTTAAGAAAAGAAAAATGTCAAAATGATTTCTTGTTAATCACTGCTCCCCGGAAGTAGGAAAGTGTACATTCAACTTCCAATGAATTTAACGAAAGTTAAGCTATGGTTGATTAAGCCTCGGAAATAGTTAAAGTTAGACCAACTAAACTAGCATATAGCAAAGCTATTTCTGTTATGAACTACCAAAAAGTACAAGGCTCTACAGTCATGAAATATAATAAATGGAGTGCTATTTACAACTGGGAGAAAGAATGTGACTACATACATACATACAGTGCCATATCAACTGAGCTAAGTGATATGACAAATCTTGACTAACCCACTGCCTCCAAATTTAAATTTTTTAAAACTGTATTTTGTAGTAAGTTTTCCATTTGTCAACTTGGATGTGAAAGATGTTATTTAAAACCAAACAGCAACTGTACATGGCTGGCTGAACATTTATAATTCAACAATTATATAACCTCCAAAATACAGCAGAATATGAACCACATAATTAGGATGTCAGCTAAACAAGACAAGGCAATTCAGAAGGATGTCATTTTGTGGCATGTGCTCAGCTGAGCTTTAAGTAAGTAGGACTGTTGGGTGGGACTTATTCTTCCCACCTCTGCTTATATGCACTAATACCAACTGCTGTAAGGACAACTCATCTTATCGTCAGGACAGCTGACTTTTTAAGAAAGAAGAAAGTTCCACGTTGTATAAACTCATTTCATAAGTAAAAACTGCTTTTAAACAACTCGGTTTATGAATGTCTCTGCAACTTTTCAGGCTTGGTCTGCTCCATGTGTGTATATCCTGAAAAACTACTAAAATAGAAACAACTGATGATGTTATAGGGAAAAAAAACTCACTGCCACAGGAAACCAAGTATTGTTGAATCAACATCTTTCTTCTTGGTCACTTGCTTTATAATTATTAGGTAAACCAAAAGAACTGTTCATTTTACAAATATGTGTATATGCATATACGACTGAAATTAGTATCTAACAATAGAAAATGTCTAAGTTCATGAAGTTCATCAACAGGATTCTGAGCTATTTTCTGGTATGGAAAACAAACTTAGCATCTCCATCTCCAGTGGATGCATGTTGTCGCCTGTGATAATTAAGGAGTGTAATGGTCCTCCCAAGTCCACAGCACACATTTGCTGCAAAGTGCCCGCTGCAACTTTCTGGTCTTCGGCTCCAACCCTGGCTAAGCCAACACAGAGTGTCTTCTCGGTGACTGCTATTAAGAGAAGAAAAAAATACTGCCATTCAATTCAGCAAATGCATTATCCCGCCCGACATTTAAACTAACATTAGTACCAAAAGTACATTTAAAGAAGCCCCAAATATCTTAAATCTCCTGAGTCACTCATTACAGACCAATTACCTATTGATTTATCTAAAGCTTTTCTAAATTATATGAACTACCTGACATGTAAAGTGGTACTTCCTAACTTTACTCTTTCAGAATTCTTTTTTTTTTTTTTTTTTTTTAAGATTTTATTTATTTATTTGACAGAGAGAGACATAGCGAGAGAGGGAACACAAGCAGGGGGAGCAGGAGAGGGAGAAGCAGGCCTCCCGCAGAGCAGGGAGCCCGATGCGGGGCTCAATCCCAGGACCCTGGGATCATGACCTGAGCCGAAGGCAGACGCTTAACGACTGAGCCACCCAGGCGCCCCCTCTTTCAGAATTCTAAAGGCTTGCCCTTGTTTAAGTTTTCAGGACTTGATAAACAATTATGTATATCCATACTCTTTATGATTGCATAGCATTTGTCTTTAAATAGCTTCTGAGTGAACAGTGTTTACTACCTGCCTGTATTTTCAATAAGTTGCTTGAGATATGTTCACACTGACCAAGATATACTAGAAAAACAAGGGGATTATGAGATAAATACACAGATTTGATTTTTTGCTTGGCCACCTAATCAGCTATGTCAAACTTTAGTTTTTTCATTTTTAAAACAAGAATACTATCTTTCTTAAATGGTGGTTGTAAGGGATAAGATAACAGACATGAAAGAATTTAGTAAACTACAGAGCCCTGAACAAATAACAGGCATTATGACATTACTTATGCTTTTAAGTACCAACCTTCTGATGGTTTTGTTTACTTGGGAAAGCTGTCCCAATGGAACATGATCAAAATGGGGCAAATGATATTACAAGGACAAGCAGGCATGCAAGTTTAGGCCTAAGTGTACGGAATTATGAATACGGAACACCCCTGCACATTATTTGTTTCATGACTTTAACAAGGCCTACTAACGAGAAAAAATCAGCAACAGTCATTCAAGAATCTCTTCATGTATCTTTTTCCATCAAGAGATAGGTACTCAAAGGCAGTCAGCACCTTATAACAGAATATGACAGTTTCATTAAAGAACCTCTCAATAAAGATTTACTGATGACCAACACTTCATTATATACCACATACAGTCTGGTACAGAAAACATACTTAGTATCTCCATCTCCAGTGGATGCATGCTGTCTCCTGTGATAATTAAGGAGCGTAATGGTCCTCCCAAGTCCACAGTACACATTTGTGGCAAAGTGTTAAGAGTATAAGGATAAATTCTCTTTTTACCCTGAAGAAAACTATCCTCGGTCTCAGTGTTGTGAAAGAGAAAAAGCAGAATAAGTGTATTTTTTGCAGGATAGATCTCACCATACACAGATTTAGGCTAAAAAGGAAGTTCTGCATTTTACCTAAATACTTACATATTAACATATTTACATAAAATCTGATTTACAGTTAATTTGTGAAAAATCCTCACTTTCTGGAATGGTATTAATTTTCCTAGGAAGAACTCCATTATTTTTCCTTCAGTACAACTTTCAGCCTATGAAATTTAAGTTAAAATTGATTTAAAAAATGACAAGAAAGAGTACAATGCAAACACACTGACTCTTGCTTCATTGGTGGTGGCGGTGGTGGTGGGGTGGGTGTGTGTATGTGAACTTGTATCAGGTACATATCTTAATGCAGCAGTAGGGAATATGAGAACCCTTTTAGGGCCTTGAGTACCTGGTTCTTCTCCTCGTATTCGTTGATTCTGAACAATCTCCAGAAGTTGCTGGGCTGCTTGGTTTACGCTCATATACCGAGGAGGTTCATAGATCTTCCTTCCTCTGTAAGTATAAAACTAGATGCCACTGTTCTTAGCCATGAACTTACATAATACATTTTTAATGCAATTATTCCCCCAGGTATAGTCAAGTACCACAGTCCATATTCTGTCTGAAGCATTTGCACATTACCCACTTTAAGCATACTAAAGCATGAATACCATAATTTTCTAAGTTTAAGCTTTTTTCATTTTTCTACTTCAACTATCCTCTCATCTCACTGAAATGCTGGCAGAAATAAAAGCCCAACAACTTAATGATAAATGTTCAAGTCAAAGTTACTGTTATTTAAGTGATATCCTAGGCAAAAACAGTTCAAGTTAAGTGGCAATTTGTTCTAGATCCTTGCTTAATCAGGTTCTATAGTGTTCACTTTTATTACCATGTTTAAGCCACATATTCCTCTTTCCACTTATTCCTCTAAGAAAAGTAAACTAAAGCGATAAATATCTGAAAATCTTGGAGGGTTGGATGTGTTACTTCTGATGGCTTGAAGCCTACCATGTCTGCCCAATAAGCATAATAAAAATACTGCTTTTGTAGCTTACAAAACAGTTCATATATTTTACTGACTTTCAAAACAATTCTCTAAAGTCAGCACTGTCCAAGAGAAATGTAATGCAAACCACAAACATAATTTTAAATTTCCTAGTAGCCATATTAAAAAAGGTAAAAAAAAAAAAAAAGGCAAAATTAACTTTTTTTACCCAATATATCCAAAATATATTTCAACATTTACTCCTATAAAAATTATTAAAGAGACTGTTTTTGTACTAAGTTTTTAACATCTGCTATTTCATACTTGCAGCACATATTAATTCAAGTATTAAATTTTCATTAGCATACCTAATCTGCATTTAAATTCCATAAAATTCATGGTTATAAACATAGATTTACATATTAAAGTTATCCTAAATATACTTTTCCAATAACTAAGTTGAGTAGTAATAATACTCAAATTATAGGGACATCTGGGTGGCTCAGTCAGTTAAGCATCTGCCTTCAGCTCAGGTCATGGTCCCAGGGTCCTGGGATTGAGCTCCGCATCGGGCTCCCTGCTCAGCGGGGAACGTGCTTCTCCCTCTGCCTGCCACTCCCCCTGCTTGTGCTCTCTCTGACAAATAAATAAAATCTTTAAAAAATTAAATTATAAATTCAGTTCCTCAGTTACATTAGCCATATTTCAAGTGCTCATTAGTCAAATGTGGGTAATGGCTACTATTCCACATTGCCCCTATAGGCAATTATAATTCTCATTATACATATGAAAAAAACATGACTCAGAAACCGAAGTAACTTGTCTAAGGGCCAATAACCAGAGACAGACTCAGGACTCAAATCCATGTCTTCTGACTTCCAATTCATTAATTCATCCCAGAAGTATTTACAGAGTGCCTATTAGGTGCCAACCACCAGTCTCAATACCGAATCTGTGAGATCTACTGCTATTTCTGCCCTATCACACTGCTTTCTCATTTCATAGGATTAAGTGTTTAATTTTTAACGGTTAATGAAAGCTGATTTTTTAAAAAAGATTTTATTTATTTGTCAGAGAGCGAGAGAGACAGAGCACAAGCAGGGGGAGCGGCAGGCAGAGGGAGAAGCAGGCTCCTCACTGAGCAAGGTGACCGATGCGGGACTCGATTCTAGGACTCTGGGGTCATGACCTGAGCCGAAGGCAGACACTTAACAGACTGAGACACCCAGGCGTCCCTGAAAGCTGATTTTCAACAATCTTTAGAACTCATGTCGTTTAAGTAGAATTTATTGTTTAAGGAATTAAAAATAGATGTAAACATTCTCAGAATAAGAACTTACTTGATCAGATTTTCCAAAGATTGCTCCTTTACTTTGATGTCTGTAGGAAGCAAAAAACAGTTCTCTTTTAATTAACTATCCAAAACCCTGTGTGTAAACTTCAGTTGAGTCACCTAAATTTTTGGGAAACATTCTTCTCAAATCTCCCAAATGCTCATTTGAGAGCTTATGACAATCTTCCCTCACACTTGTATCTAGCCACTTTTTTATGGAAATACAGAGAAGAATGGAAGCTTGTGGTGTGCAAAGATCATTAGAAAACAAACATGAGGTTGGCCCTGAGACCATCCTGAAAAGATCCAATTTCCTCTTGGAAAAGAAGACACAGGAAAGAGTTTGATAAATATTGGCATATACACTACCTAACAGGTCATCAAAATCATTGTGTTCATTTCTACTAGCTGGTAACCACATAGACTCAACTGAGAAATCTTGTTATGTTCCTATTCTTTACCTATTTTTCAGGCAGTAGGATGTAAGCTTTAATGCATGTGACGTAATAAGAAAATTCTCACCACATTTTGAAAAGAAACCTTTACTTTCTTGCAAATGGGTAAGACAGGACGAACAACTTATAAATAAGCACTTTAGTATCATTCATACTTTCAATGAAAGGGCTTTCCCGAGCACTGACTGCCAGGGACGGGGCTACCACAGGGGCCAGAAGGCACGTAATCTCTGTTCCCCTAACGCTTGAAATGCAAGCGTAACAAATATTTGATTCTTTACACTTGTTAACCACTGATGCTCAGCCGAACAATCTGGTAAAAGGTAAGAAAGCACAGGCGCTCTACATCCTCACAGGAACTCAGTATACAACAGCAAGAGCAACAGCTGCTTCCTGTTCTACATGCTAAAAACAAACGGTTCAGCCAAAGTTTGCTTTTGCAAAAATAAATAAATACAGTGCAACTGTAGGGTCTTTCTGAAAGACTTCTACAGCTTTCCTAAGTGATTATCAAAGTTGTTCTTATAAAGGAGACTAAAAGAGTTTCCTACGAAAATATAGCAGAGGTTAATCCCTTCTAAGTATTTGTAAATGTTCTTGGAACCAGCAGTGAATGTACTTTTCAGGTTCAAAATACCAATTATTTAATATTTCTACTTGTCTAGCACATAGAAAAAATGCATATTGGTTACTGAAAATGGCCTGCAGTACAATTAAAAGTGTATGTCAACTTAAGACTTCCTTTACACGGAAGTCTAAAAAATCTATTAAGATCTTTTAAAATTCAACACATTTATTAGTTTATTCACCTTGAGCTTCTGAAATGTTGTGATAATAAAGTTTTTAGTTTAATGTTTTAACTTTTTAAATGGTATGTTCCACAGAACCTAGTTTTAAAAATGAGGAGTGTTGGGGAGAATTTTTACAGATAAATGCTTTTTAAATGAACTGCATTTAAAAATCAAGCCAGACCAGTCTTAATATTTTTCCCTTTCTACTTCTACTTGCTAGAAGATAAGCATCTCCTATTCACCTTAGGAGCACCTAGAATAATGCAAAATACCAGTAGATACTCCATAAATGTCTACTGAATAAATTTATTCATGTGGCTCTACTACCACCCACCCACCAGCCCATCTTAAAGTACCCCTTAAGTAGCAAACGTCCCAACTCCTTCATAAAACCTATGTTAACTTCCCCTCAAAAGCCCCTTGTTCTTTGAAATACCTATATAGTTATTACTATATTTTGTTAATCTCTAATTGTATCACATATATCTTGTCTTTCCAAGTACATTTTAAATTCTCTGTAGTTTCCTAACATGGTATATTCTCACTAATCCCTACAGGGTCTGGACCATAACAGGCATCCAATAAATATATACTAATTTAAATGATGAGAATTCCAGATGATTAAATGACGAGATCTATGGTTTGAGGATCTGGAATCATGATATCTTATACTTCACACGTTGTTCCTGCTTTTGTTCATGGAGCAAGGAAGATATATTGTTTAATCTTGTTTGCCTTTTCCCAGGAAAGCCAAGAAAAGGGGCAGCTCTTAGAGAATTCAAGAGCCGAAGTTCTGGTTTGTCCTTCCTGCCTCTCCATATAACAGAACTTAATTGTTCCTTAAACTTTAGTGTACTTAGCAACTAGATTTCAAAACCCTGAGGGCAGGACCCATGTCTAATACTTCCTTAGTTTCCAAAAAAACCTAACTCTACAAAGAACATAAAGTACAGCAAGATATAGTAAAAAACTGAATGACAGGCTATCTCGATTCTACCAATTGTGCCATCGATAAAACTGGGTAACACAGTGGGCAAATGATTTAATATCTCTGGGCCTCAACTTCATCTATAAAATGGGCTTCAATAAGATGATCTCCAGAGTCTCTTCAGATCTGTAATTCTGATAGACCAATACTGTAGTATTGAAAGAACTCTAGGAAGATACAGGATGGTACCTGGTAAGAATAAATGCTTACTACAGGTCTGCTGAATGGCAGTAAACTGACAACAGCATCCTGATGGATAAATGGGTAAGATACAGAATGCTAGAGAGGATCCATTAGGACATAAGAAGGGGGAGCATGCACTATGGTATGCATGAAGAAATACCCGTGCGGTGTTTGGAGCAGAAAATGCGTATCTCCCAGAGAATATGGGAAAACATGTACCGTGCAGAGTGGCTAGACTGGGTCCTTTCTTACCTCTAGCGAGTTATCTGCAGAACAAAATGAGAATATGACAACTCCATATTGTGACTTCAAGGCAATTCCCAAACCCTTACCTAGTAAGCATAATGTGTGCATGCCGTTTTGTCTGTTCTTCTTCACTTTGTCAAAGAAGCTTTCTGGTCTCCAAGTGTCTGTCCAAAAAACAATAGAAACCGTCTCTCCAAATTTATACAACTAGAAAAAATAAAAACATTAATTAACAATGGAACAATTTACTACTTACTATTTCAAAGATAACCACCAAAACAGAAAGTGAGAACCAGACGTGAGATGGGTTGGGGATCAAATCTGTCACGGAAGTAATAAATGTTCTCTTGGGTCCCTGGCAGCTGGTGTCTGTCTCTCTGGTGCCCTTCCAGTAGTGCATCCAGGGTTTCAGCATTCAGTATCGCAACGTATGTAACCAGGTCATGATTCAGCTATGTAGCTGCTAAAATGATTGACACAGAACCCAGAAGGAAACAAAGAAAGAAAGACTTCTGGGCAGTCAGAGCAGGGTTCCCTAGATTAATATTGTTATCCTCGCTTTACAGATAAGACTACCAAGGCTCAGAAAGATCAAGCTGATTTGCCTAGGGTTGCACAGCTAGTGAGTAATGAAAAAGACTCAAACCCAGGTCCAAGGAAGTGCTCCTTTCCACCTTGCCAGCTCAGTAAAATTCACACGTTGTACACTCATTGCAGCTAGTTCTCAAAACTCACCCCCTTACTTTACCCACTATTTGTTTCCTCCATTGAGAGCTCAGTAAAAAGGGCCTTTGCCCAAACCTCCTCCTTTCCCAAGTGGCCCACTCATCCCACTTGACCATCACACAACCAAGAGGCTTGCTTGGTTCCAGCTGGCTTCTAGTCTGGCTGCACAGTTCACTTAAAGTGAGCCCAACTCCAGATCTCATGGTAAGAAAATCCAGTTTTGCGTCCTGGTTCTGCAACTTGTTAGCTGTGTGACATGGCTCTTTCTAAGTCTTGATCTCCAAAACAGGAAGAGTAAAAAGATACTGTCCTTCCTACTCATAAGGTTGTGAACATGTAAAAAGTTATTCAGAAGTAATAAAGTTGTTACATAAAGATTTAATTATCCAATTTAAACAGTGCTTGAAAGAATTTATAATAGAGCTGGAAAGCTCTAGACATGGAAATCAAATCTAGTCCCCTGCCACAAACTGTGATTGGAATAGCTGTGCGACTGCAGGACGTCAATGAACTTTTCTAAGCCTGTGGAAGGGATTATCATCCTAAGGTTTCTCAAATCACTTTTAAGAAGCTGTTATAAGAGGTAAGGGGGAGAAGGGCGCCTGGGTGGCTCAGTTGGTTAAGCAACTGCCTTCGGCTCAGGTCATGATCCTGGAGTCCTGGGATCGAGTCCCACATCGGGCTCCCTGCTGAGCAGGGAGCCTGCTTCTCCCTCTGACCCTCTTCCCTCTCGTGCTCTCTATCTCTCATTCTCTCTCTCTCAAATAAATAAATAAAATCTTAAAAAAAAAAAAAGAGGTAAGGGGGAGGAAGAAAGAAACAGAAAAGCTGGGGCATTCAGGGTCCTCCATCTTTCCATCCCTAGAAAAGCTCAACTTTTCTCATTTTTTGTACACTGAGGTCCTAGAAACTATAGCCAATACTCTTAATGGTGACTTTGAGTTCCCAAGGGAAAGCTCATCATGTCCCTTTCATGGCCACAACTTCCAACTTACCTACCAATGAGCTTTACTCCCAAAGTCCACTTGAAAACTGTCTAAAAAGTCTATGGAAGCCACGCCATCCAGTGGCAGTCGAATTGTCAGATCAGTGTAGAAGGACCCATGTAACTACAAGAATTCAGTCTTGAGTCTTCTTGCCACATAAAATGTGCCTCTGTGAAAAATACATCCAACTGATGAGTTCCAATGTGTTCTAATGTGGGATTCCTGGAATATATTCACCCAAGCTACAAGGATGAGACCTAGCCTTGCTGGAGGGTTCTGCCATTGTTATTATTCTATGAGAAGTAAATTTATCTAAAAAATACTTATTATACATCATCCACTAGGTGCCAGGCATTATGCTATGCACAGGTGTGAAAGTGAGAAGCAAACCAGAGCTCTGGCCTTCACGTAGAATGTAGTCTTGCTTATATCTCACAGAGCAGGCAAAAGCTCTGGAGTCATGGCTCTGGTTCTTACTAGCTTGGTGATCATGGACAAGTAACCTTCCTGACTTTCGAGAGATATTCCCCTGCAAAATCTGTATAACTATAAACCTAATAATGTGCTTTTTTAAAAAGGATTAAATGACATAAAGTGTGTAGAGTGCCTAGTACACTGCACATAATAAAAACAATAAATGTTAGGGATTTGATGATATAATAACAATGATGTTTATAATGGTAATATGAAAATTTTCTAAAATGCTGTGTCTTGCTATTATCCAACCGCTTTCCTTACTGGACTGAGCTCAAAAATATTACCAAATATTTGAAACGACATAGTTGTTGCTGATGTTTATTGTTGTATGATTTGATTCTGAAAAGTTTAACTGTTTACATTCTAAAAAGGATTTTTGGCATCTCTGATCAGATTTTGAAACATTAGCATTACTCTATAAAAAACTACTGAGATTAAAGAAAATTACATATGCAACCATAAATAAACCCTTTAAATAGGTCTTCAATATATTAAGAGTCATGGAAATATACTCATGAAGGTAAATTCTATTTAAGAGCAAATTGAGATGCTAGTCACATATAAACACTAGCTGCAGCATGCTGTGGAAAAGCTTCTTGGAGTGGTCTAATTGGGGGGATTAAAGAAAGCCTCACATAAGCACTGCTTTCTAGGACCCTGATTTATAGACTGTAACCATTCTCATGGCTGTGCTGCAAACTTCAATGAATTCTGGAACATTATGCAAACAGTTTCACCATTTAAGATGTCAGTCCCTCAAAGAACAGAAAGATCAGTCCTTTGTGTTTCACAATCCAAGGACATACCAGTAAACCATAAAGAAACTGAAGTAAAATCATACAGTGACGAGAATGAGGCCGCAGAAGTCTAAGCACGGTCTTATAAATGTTAGCCTTTGTGCTGTGATCATTTTACCCCCAAAACATTATTGATGCAAATCTAAATTTAGAGACCACAAAAAGAGCTGTTTTCTAAGAATGCAGATAAATACAGGGTCTTTTTTGGTTTTAACCTGAAGTTATAAAGAAAGCAGTTTATCTAAATTGATAGTGGATTATGTTTTCATCTATTGAAGATAAAAACTCAAAATGACCCATTTAATTACAGATAAGGCAATATCTAAAGCAAGAAAATGCACAAAAAGACAAATATTAGGTAGTAAATAATAATTATAAAAAATGAGATATAGACTGTATTGAAAGAGTTGAGCATTAGTCCCACTTGGAAAGCACCTGAAGAGGACTTCTGAAAATAGGATATAAGCTCAATCTCAAAGGGTGGATAAAACGGGGGAAGTTAATCATGGGGAAAGAGCACGATGGTATGAACAACCTACCAGAGGTTGGGAACCCTTGGGCAATATTTAGCATGGCATTAAGCAATTATCTAGAAATGGCCATTGCCTGACTTGCTTTTAACAAGTATCTAATTCCTGAAAGCTTACCATGTGACAATTCCTGTCAATGCCAGCTCTATAATTTATCTAGAACTGACTTCTTTTACCACTACTTTGAGTCCTCATTGCCACTTGCCTGAATATTAATAACCTCTAATTCATCTCACTGCCACCAATACGTCCTTTCAGAAGTACAGATGTTTTGTAAAATCCATTTTATAATTAGGTTTTTTTTTTTTAAGATTTTATTTATTTATTTGACAGAAAGAGACACAGCAAGAGAGGGAGCACAAGGAAGGGGAGCAGGAGAGGGAGAAGCAGGCTCCCGCTGAGCAGGGAGCCCGATGTGGGGCTCGATCCCAGGACCCTGGGATCATGACCTGAGCCGAAGGCAGACGCTTAACGACTGAGCCACCCAGGCGCCCCTATAATTAGGATTTAATGCTTTTGTCATTTATATTCAAATAAAAAATAGTTTGTGATTTTTAAGTTAAAAAACATCTTGGGGGGCCTGGGTAGCTCAGTCGGTTAAGCATCTGAGTCTTGATTTTGGCTCAGGTCATGATCTCAGGGTCCTGGGATTGAGCCCTGCATCAGACTCTGTGCTCAGCAGGGAGTTTGCTTGAGGATTCTCTCCCTCTCCCTCTGCCTCTGCCCCTCCCCACCATTTGTGCACTCTTTCTAATATAAAATAAATCTTAAAAAAAAATCTTCATCACACATAGAAAAATTAGAAAATTTAACTTACTTATAAGAACTTTGTGAAGCCCTACATGTACCTTTTACATATAAACATAAATCCTAAATCAGATCAGTTAAATCTGTTAAGTAAAAGAAAGCTGACCCAGTAGAGTTGTCAAAAAATGTACCACAAAACCACATGTTCAAGAGTTACTAGTTTTCTATACAAAACACTGGTCTTACAGTTGTTTTTTTTTTTAATTCCCACATGCACTTTTCTTAACACTGATGTAACACTGATATTGCTGACACTAAGAAAGATTATGCACATGGCCACATACTAGGTACACAGATAAAGCTGAAGACAAAAGAGCCACAAAATTTATATTATCACATATGAGAGAATCCACATATGAATTAAATGAAAGAATTTTAATTTAAAGCACATAATTCTATTAGTAATAATCACGCCTCAGATAAACCTCATTGGCTATGATACTGCCACTGTGCAAAGCTTTAAAGCACATAATTCTAAAGATAAATCAGCTTGGGGTGGGGTGGAAAAGATAAGTAAATAAATAAGCAATTCAACTCAGCAAGTATTTGTCACATACTGATTTTTAGCATGGCACTGTGATAAAGTGCAATGGAAGATGTGAAGATGAGTAAACCAACAAGTTTATAATATGCCCAACACATAAACATATAAAGTAACTGAATATTGTGTACAGGATGAGGATTTGCCAGGACTGTGGGATAAAAAGAGAACTATTAGGTGGAAGAGAATGATGGTAAGGTGGCTATTAAAATATTGACTAAAAACAGTTACAGTTGAGAGGCTCCTGCGTGGCTCAGTCGGTTAAGCGTCTGACCTCAGCTCAGGTCATGCTCTCAGGGTCCTGGGATCGAGCCCCGTGGGCGCAGACCCCACTCAGCAGGGAGTCTGCTTGTCCCTCTCCCTCTGCCCCTCCCCCTGCTCATGCACTCTAATAAATAAAATCTAAAAGACAAAAAAAAAAAACCCAAAAACCAGTTACAGTGGAAATAGAAAGAAAAGCATTCTTAATACGCCCATGATCAGCAGGTGGTCAAAATAATTCTGAAGTTACTAAAAGAACAGGGAGCTTACTTAGATGAGTTCTTCTAAGGTTACGAAGCAATGTAGAGCACAGATCTCTTTATTACCTAGTTTAGTGTTCTCTGTACTAGGTTAGGTTTTATCATTTCCACATTAGTTCCTGTACAACAATGAAATCAATTCAATGCTTTTGAAAACTACCAGTAAGAACTACTACAAGGCCGGCCGCAAAGCGGTGGGCGGAGCCAAGATGGCTGAGGAGAGACTCATGACGAGAACTCCGTTTCCTGCATCTGCTGAATCTCAGAAACCCCTGCTGAAAAAAGAGGTACAGGTCTGTGATTCGACAGTCTTACACAATTCACAGCACTCACCCATGCCTCCCACCCCCCACCACTCCAGCTGCTATGAGGAATTTTTCCAGTTTCTTAACCTCAAGAGTTTCCGATTTTGGAGAAGCAGAACTGGTTGATACATCTCCACTATATCCAGAAGGATTATGAGGTATGCAAGGCTATTATCAAGGAGCAGCTTCGGAGACTCCGGGCTTATGTGAATATACTATCTATGTCCAAGCATTAATATTTCGCCTGGAAGGAAATATCCAAGAATCCCTAGAACTCTTTCAGACGTGTGCTGTTCTCAGCCCTTGGTGTGCTGATAACCTCAAGCAGGTGGCCAGATCTTTATTTCTTTTGGGAAAACATAAAGCTGCCATTGAAGTATATAATGAAGCAGCTAAACTTAACCAGAAAGATTGGGAGATCTGTCACAACTTGGGAGTCTGCTACATTTATCTGAAACAGTTCAGTAAGGCACAAGACCAGCTGCACAATGTCCTCCATCTTAACAGGCATGATTTGACTTACATAATGCTAGGGAAGATCCACTTGCTGGAGAGAGACTTGGACAAGGCCATCGAAATCTACAAGAAAGCAGTGGAGTTCTCGCCAGAAAATATGGAACTTCTTACAACTTTAGGACTACTCTACTTACAGCTCGGTATTTACCAGAAGGCATTTGAACACCTTGGAAATGCACTGACTTACGACCCTATCATCTACAAGGCCATCTTGGCAGCAGGCAGCATGATGCAGACCCATGGGGACTTTGATGTTGCCCTCACCAAATACAGAGTTGTAGCTTGTGCTGTTCCAGAAAGTCCTCCGCTCTGGAGTAACATTGGAATGTGTTTCTTCGGGAAGAAATACATGGCAGCTATCAACTGCCTGAAGCAAGCCAACTACTTGGCTCCCTTCGATTGCAAGATTCTGTGTAATTCGGGCCTTGTCCACCTGACCATGCAGCAATATGCGTTGGCTTTCCATTCCCTCAACGCAGCCATCAACCTCCGCCAAAGATGGGGGGGGCTCTACATGCTCTTGGCTGTGGCCCTGACCAATCTGGAAGATCCAGAGAACGCCAAGAGAGCCTACACAGAAGTCGCCCGCCTGGACAAAGGGTAGAGATGGCCCGGAAACTGGGAGCTGCCCGCCAGGTCGGGGAGGCACTGGTCTGGACGAAACCAGTTAAAGATGCCAAGTCAAAGCACCGGACCACTTCAACAAGCAAAGCTGCCGGTGTCCAGCAGCCTCTGGGCTCTAATCAAGCTCTGGGACAGGCGAGGTCTTCAGCAGCTGCACACAGGAAGCTCCCCTCAGGTGCTGGAGGGACATCCCAGCTCACAAAGCCACCATCTCTGCCTCTGGAGCCAGAGCCCACTGCGGAAGCACACCCAGCTGAAGCATCAGCACAAATAAGAGAAAAACAGGAGTAGGATGACCCCGGAGTCGGGGTTTCTTTGGTGAGGATGTAGCAGGTTAGGAAAGGTCATGTGACACAGGCAGCAAGGTGGCCAGTGTGTTCCCTGGGCACCAGGGGACGCATAAGTGTTATGATGATTGCAAGGAGCCTACCGTTAGCCCCGTCAGCCCAGAGATAGGAGAGAGCCCAGACAGGTCCTTTAAGAATTAAGTGCAAGGCTCATGGCTCTGTGTTTGTAGCTCCAAGAGCCAGCAGGGCACATGATGCTGTTTGCTTTTGAAATGACTTTGACCTCCTGGATGACTGACCCCTTCCTTTGTGGAAGGAAAGTCTGAGGCCGACCTCTGCTCAGGAGCCCTGTTATGGTGAAGCCTTGGCTTAGCTGAGGTGATCCTCAGGCTGTGGGGCTTGTCAGCCCCGAAGGTAAACACAGATCTTGGATTAGTAATCTGGCTCTAACAGTCTAAATTTAAGGGGAAAAAATGATGAAAAAAACCTCTATAAATCGAGGCCCAGCCTGTTGGATATTCCAGCTGCACCTGTCCAAGGGAATCCCAAACAAGTCCCTCTGTCTTGTTCTTGAGAGACATCAGAGCGTATGTACAGCCAGATCATGTCAGTAATGATAAGAAGTAGGAGTGAAGGGCTGAGCTGGTATCAGCACCAAGGATGAAAAGGAAAAAAAGAGCTTCTTAATTTTTACTTGAAACAATCAATGATACCCCTGGTCAGATGCTATCAGTACATCATCTATATGTCCTTTTGGAATAAAGATTATGTATCATCCCTTCGGGGAAAGTTGTTAGGTGTAAAAAGAAGAGATCACAATAAAACCTTTTTAAAAGAAAAAAAAAAAAAAAAAGAACTACCACAAGGCCAAAACAATGCTGTTTATCATAGTGAGTGTTGTATTATGAAAAAAGGGAAGGAAATGAGTTGTTACTTTTTAAAAAGTAATATACATTTTTTCCAAAGTAGAAATGTATTCTATAAACAGAGGAACATATGGCAATAATTAAGGTCACTCACGCAACAGAGAAAGTGGAAGCACTTCATAATGATGAGAAAATTATACAACCTTTTCCCTGAAATCAGCTACAACTGATAATGCCATTTTTATGCAGAAATCATTGCTACCTGGTTTCACTGAACTGTCTCATTTATCTGTCCTTTAAAATGCCTCAAACACAATTTTAGTCACATTTTAGTCACCACAGTTTAAAAAAAGAATCTGTTCTATTACACAAATGATAACAAGAAATGATAAATACCACACAAAGAAAATATGCTAGAATTTGTAATTTCTTCTTTATTAGGCTTGTCACCTTCAGGTCAATGTACACAGATAAGAGCTGAAGACTGAAAAAAAATATACCAAACTAGTTAGTAACTAACTTTGGTTACTTCTAGGTAGTGGAACTATATAGATGCTTGCATGTTCTCTACACTTACTGTATTTTCCCAATTTTCTATGAGTATATATGTCACTTATTATCAAGGAAAATAAAGTTATTTTTTAAAACAATTCTTCTAAAGCAGAAACAATGGTAAATGAAAGCAATTCTGATTCTGCATGACTAAGGTGCTAAATGCTTAACTTGAAGAATTCCAGAAAAGGACTTTGTTCTTCTTGCCTTTTGTGTACTGACAAAAAACCCTGATTTTTCATTTTTGGGAATGCCTAAATACAACCAACTTACCTAGCTCTTCACAAACAGATTGATTTTTCTTTGACTAGAGAAATCTTCAAAATACAAATTACACAAGTGTCAGAAATATCTGTTACTTAGGAATTTCAAAGAACGTGATTTTAAAGTATACATGTTTATAACTAATATTTAAATCGTAAAACTTCCAAAGATTTACTTAATGAAAATTTGAGTATTTAATGTATCTTGGTCAAGGTAACCTTTGCCTAAAGTTAGAAAACAGGCCAGCTTTTTGGCTTCTAATTCTAGAGGATATTAAAGTTTATCTAGTTTAGTATTCTTCATACTTTTTACTGCCGAATCTTTTTTTCCAAATAAATTCTTAAACAGCACATCAATAGGGGTAAAGGTAAAGACTGGGCTCCTTCGGGATTTATTCTTTGCTATTGGGTCTCAAGTACTTCATTTTCTGCAGAACTGCTGAAAACATCTTCATAGATCCTGATACAATATGAAAACCACTGATCTTGTCCAGCATTCCTCCCTGTCCCCATCTCATCCCCTTAACAGTTAGGAAACCTGACTATCCAGATCCAGGAAAGTTAGAGGACTCCTTAGTTAACTGCCTGAGCAAAAGTAAAACCAAGACCTTTTAAATTGCAGTTCAACTCTGAACTTTTCCCATTATTACTTTTCCTTTGCCAGTTCTACCCAATACATAGTCAGTTTTTATCCAACACACATATTCACAATCTTGTGTTAACTAATCTCTAGGAAGCCAAGGTTTTGTGGTACATATGTATGTATTCACTGGTGTGTGTGTGTAATACCATGCAGATGCTCCAAAGTGCTTCCATGACTCTCTTCTTTAACTGAACATTTCTCTCTGTTGGGGATGTATTTAACCTTATTGTTCATCTAGCAAACCTCTTGTAATTTATTTTTTAAACCACTTTACTGAGATAAATTTACATACCACAACATTCACCCATTTTAAGTGTATATTCAGTGATTTTTAGTAAATTTACCAAATTGTGCAACCACTACCATATGTAGTTTTAGAAAATTTTTATCACTCCAATCAGATCCCATATGTACATTTAGTAAGTAGTATCTGTTCTCACTCCCAGCCAACCACTAATTACTGTCTTCATAAATTTGCTTTCTCTGGACATTTCATATAAACGGAATCCTACAATATATGGTCTTCTGTGTCATGCTTCTTTCACTTACATACATATACTTAGTATCTATGCCAGGACTACTAATTCTTCACAAGACAAAAGGAGAGACTTCAGAGTCTGGAAGTAAATTAAACCTAATCATACTCTTCTACATGATCAATTCACTAAGAATAAAATTCAAACGCCTGACATTGGATTAGAGAGCCTAGTGATCCAATCCTATCTACCTATCTGACCTCAGATTGCTTTTTCCCTGCCTACTACTCTCCAATAAGCCCTTCTTTGGTTCCTTCAAGGAGCCAAGGTCATTTCCATTTTAGAGTCTTTGCATAAACCATTCCCTGTGACTAGAATATGCTAGTTTCTTCTTGGTTCATATCTAATCTTAAATAACACCACCTTAGTGAGACCTCCCCTGACAACCCAACTACAACAGTAAAGCCAACTCTCTAACATTTATCAGTGTACTTGAATTTCTTATACTTCCCACTACCTGACATTATTCTGTTGTTGGTGTTATTGCCTCTCCTTCCTACTAGAATGTAAGCTCTTTGAGAGCACGGACCTTCTCAGACAGGTTTATCAGTGTATCCAAAGGCACTTAGTAGGGAAACAATAAGGCAAACAATATTTGTTGAATAAATGGATCACTATTCCTCTTAATGATGTCTAACTTGGCAATCACTAATACACATTCCATTTAACAAGGAAAATTTTCACAGGAATATGGCGTTTGCAATAAAAAATTCTATTTTATGGCATACCTATAAAAGAATGCATATCAACTGGTTTTGTGTATTTAGAAGTGTTAGTCTATGCAACTAGTTATCTTCATTAATAGTGATAATAAGGAGTCTTTTGCTAGTTAATAAACTACAAAGTGAATGAAAAATACTCAACAGTCAATTCTGAGCTCTCTGTGCTGCTTTAGAAAACAACAATAAGAAAATTCAGAAGGGCTAACAAATTGATAAGTTAAAAAAAAAAAAAGCTGTGCCCATTTCCAGGTTAGGAATTTCAAACTACTACTCTTCAACCTAATGTAAAAATGTTGCAGGGGCGCTTGGGTGGCTCAGTTTGTTAAGCATCTGCCTTCAGCTCAAGTCATGATCTCAGGGTCCTGGGATCAAGCCCTGCATTGGGCTCAGTGGGGAGTCTGCTTCTCCCTCTCCCTCTGCTCCCCCCACCCTTGCTCATGCTCTCTCTTTCTCCCTGTCTCAAATAAATAAATAAAATCTTAAAAAAAAAAAAAAAAGTTACAAAGCATGTACTGTTCAGGTCTGTCACAGTACCCAAAACAGCACTTCTGTTCAATAACTTGATGGCTGTTTTCCTAATAACTCATGGGAAAGTGTTCACAGAGATGACAGAATGTCTTTCGAAAGTGGTGCCCACTTCCCTTTCAAAAATTGAGAAAGAGAACATGGCAAGGTAATACATTCTACATTTAGCAAGCCTATTTCTGGGAACTAAAATCTACTTTTCCAATTCTGCCATGCTAAAAGAAAGTACAGTTCTATAACTTTCTAAGAAATTTTTTATCTGTCTAGGTTGGTGGTTTTCAAAATGGGTACCTATACTAGCAGCTTCAGGATCACCTGAGAATTTGCTAGCAATGCAAATTTTTAGGCCACCACCCCGTATCTACTATTATCTGAAAATCTGAGGGGAAGGCCAGCCATTTCTTTTATAAGCCCTCTAAGTAATTCTGTTGAATACTAAAGTCTGAGAACCACTGGTGTAGATTATTGTTTTTCCCATAAATGCGGATCCAAATACTCAAGAGAAAAAGAGCAGCCATTATAAGGAAGAGAACTTTGCCAAAGTTTATGTATTATGCAGGATGTCATAAACAAATGTCAAATGTCAAAACATTTGTTTTAAAATTTAAAAGTGCCATAAATATAATGACTGTATTTTTAATGCCTTTTATCTTAGAAAAGTATATAAAAGGTATCAATAATTACCTCTTTCTCCTGGAATATAAATAACTTGGGTGGTACAAAAAGTATACCTTCACAGAGACTTCATCAAATACATAAGACAGAACCTAAAAAGGCACTTCCTGTTTTTCACACAAGTAGTAAGTCATTTTCATACCCAGATTAGAGAAAAGAACCCAGATGGGGAAACAATGCTTTGTGGCTGCCTAGAAAAATCCTATATAATAAGACTGAGAGAAAGCTAAATTAAAAAAAAAAAAAAAAATCTATGTACCATGTGGATATGATCTTAAGGGCTTATATGGAGACTGCCAATTCTCACAGTAAATTTCCTCTCAAATACCTTCATCTATTTTAAACATGAGAACAATAACACTGTACCCCTCTACCACTCTAGAGGATCAGGAGGACAGGGTCACTCTAGTTTAGTTCTTCCCAGTATGAATGATAGATATACATGTGATGAAGACAAGGATCTTTTAAAAAATGTTATGCTTAAAAAGAAGCAAAAACCTCTAAATGATAAGTTATGATAATTTAGACCAAAATATGATGGAAAGGGGCTAGGTTAACTTTCCCTACCAGAAATAAAAATAAAACCAACATGAAAAATATATATATTCCATTAGCTTAAGGTTTATTACACATCTTTGTCTATCACAAGATTAATTTATTCCTCTCTTTTTTTCCTTTTTCATGGCAACCATCAGTTCTTAAGAAGTACATTGTCTACAAAAAAGAATACTGGACTGAGAATGAAGAAACTCCATTCACTTACTCCAACCCAGAAGTGCTCAGAAGGGCTTTAAAGTATAAAGCAGACTTGAACTGGCAAGGTTTTTTAAAGTATGCATTTTATTAGAAGACAAAAGAGACAGCAAAGTTTTTTGCCAATTTAAATTAATAACTAAGAGCAAGTAACAAATACTAAAAGGTGAATCATTTATACCTTTTCTCTGATTCTTCAGAACCAAAGGCAGTTATTTCTGAGATGACTGGCCAGGATGTCAATTAAATTGAGATACTCTTCCTGGGTAATGCAGAAAATATAGAAACCTCTAAAGCTACAGACACAGCACTGGTGTCCGATGCTAATGTATCTTAGTGTTATAAATATCAATTTTAAATTCTGCATTCCAGAAGACATAGTGGGGAACACTTCATTTCATAGATTCTAGGATGCACATTTTTTTCTATTATGATGTATCTAAAATAGGAACGTGTCCAACAAGCAATTAAGTCTTAAACCAATGTTGGCCATGAGCAGTCATAGTTGTCATAGATCATATACATACGAACATTAGAACACAAATCTCAAGCTTGGAAGAAAACCCTGGAAACAGTTACGGTGCACTCTTTTAACCCCTCAGAATCAAGACTGTTGGGTTAAAATTAACCAACTTTATACAGCAATAATTACAAAGGTGGCTTAAAAGCCTAATATGACTGGCTTTTGGTTCTTTTTACAGATTCTTTTAAGAAATGCTGCATCACAATGCTGTTGATGGCACAGCAAATAACAACTGTGTAGAAAAATATGCTTCAGCAATGCAGAATAAGCTATTTGGAAGAAATGTGAAAAGGCTTTAGGAAAACTTAGCCAATTTCATTAGATTAAATTTCCCTGTTTTTGTATGCAAAAGTTGGATATAAGATTAAAATCTTTCTGTAGCTAAATTCCAGTGGTCCATTCCAATGAGAAAAAAGATGTAAGTTATAGGAAAATAGTACAGAAAATTCAGTATTAAAAAATTTCATACCCACTAATGTATATAAAATAGTAACATCTTAAAATTCATGATATAGAGCAAAATCTACCTGCAGTTTATAGTTTTCCAAAACATTTTTGCTAACTACCATTAAAAAAATACCTTCTTTGTAGTATTACCTGTAAACCACAGCAGCCTACAGCATTCATTATGGAAGCATTGTGAATAACTCGGTAAGAGATTCCTAGTTTTGTTGCTCTCAGAATAAGATCGCTGTGTGTGGTAGCCCTGTAGTGAGAAAAGGTCAAGTTGGATTAAAGTAACCAACGCAGACTTTTTTTTTTTTTTTAAGATTTTATTTATTTGACAGAGAGACACAGCGAGAGAGGGAGCACAAACAGGGGGAGCAGGAGAGGGAGAAGGAGAAGCAGGCTTCCCGCTGAGCAGGGAGCCCATGCGGGGCTCCATCCCAGGACCCTGGGATCATGGCCTGAACCGAAGGCAGACGCTTAACCAACTGAGCCACTCAGGCACCCTAACACTGACTTTTTAAGACAGTAAAGGTGTAGTATTTCATGAGTTCTAGCCAATCAAAGGGTTATGGGGGCTGCTTTTCCTCAATTTCCGGGCTTTCTGACATGAAAAGTGTTAAGTCTCCACATGCCCTTCATAATGCTGAACTGCACTTGTCACACTCCTAAAGCAGCCTTGGCAGCTACAGAGAAAGGGAAGTTTTACTTGCTCTTTTGTCCTGATAATACCTGCAAAGACATCTGTGGAATGTAAGCTCAGCAAGTGAACTCCTGAGTAGCAATTCTCAAACTTTTTGGCCTAACAGGCCCTTTAAACTCTTAAAATGACTGCTCTGAGTTCTAAATGACAGCACAGATAGACCTACTCTTTGATTTCTGCTCTATTTTGAAGGTTTCTTTTTTGTGTTTTGAAATACAAGGCAGATGGTACAGAACATTTCTGTAGCCTGTCCTTCTTTGCCTTTATATTAGGGTTCTATCTGATACAATCCTAGTTGGATTTTACATCTGTCTAGCAGTGATTTTATTTATAACTGTTTTCAGTCTGGTTACTGTATATATAATTGGTATGTGTGCATGTGTATGTGCGTGCATATCCTGCCTATTGCCTTTCCTTTTTTGAGATAAATCTAATGATTATAATTAGATAGACTGTGAGGAGAGAGAATATATGTAAAAATAAATACGGATACTGTGAAATGTAGCCCCCCATCAATTTAGAACTGCATTATTAAAGGCCTTTTTTCCCCTTGATGAAAACTCCAGGCCCTGTTGGGGAAAACAACATTAGCATGTTTGAGAAACTACATACAAACCAGCAGAACCTGTCAACTGGTCAATGCATACCAAGTAGGAAGATCAAGGGCTTTCACCCCATGAGGCAGTCAGAAACAGATTAACAAATGCCCACCAGGGAAGGCTGTTTTTAATCACACATAAAATAAAAACTAGTATGAAAAACAATCATTAATTTGATTTAGAGTAAGCTTTTAAAAAAAATAATATAAATGCCAGTTATAAAGAATGTTTTCAATATCATCTTCAATAGACTTTTACTACTTAACACTAAGATTAAGGAAAACTGAATTAGTTACTTGCTGAGTTATTTGAATAGATAAGCAGGAAGAAAACCTGCTTTAAAATTCTCTCTCTCTTTATCACAACTTCATTTAAAATGACCAGATGTGGTTGGTATACTATGGAGATTTAATGACCTGGCAAAGTGATTTGATTTTGTGATGCTGCCATAAATGTGATTAAATAAGCCCCTCAGATTTCTGCTATGAAAAACTGGTATTTTATCATCATGATTACCCAAAGTATATTGCTTCATGAAAAAGAAAAAATTGGTTTGAAACACAAGCTTAAACCATTATACTGGGCATTCCTTCTGGTCCAGGGTCATGAAAACGCTTCAGTTATGGTGACTGGAAAAGTGTGTGTGTGTGTGTGTGTATGAAATAAACTTTATTTTATAATAACATTAGTTTGCAGATATAGTACTGCCATATTCGACAATGTATGGCTTATGATCTGAAAATTCACTAATATTTGGAAGGATATGGTAAAAGTGATAGGAAGCCCTATAAATTGGTACAGTACTTTTTTTTTTTTTTAAACATTTTATTTATTTATTTGAGAGAGAAAGACAGAGAGAGCACAAGCGGGGTGGGGGAGCAGAGGGAGAGGGAGAGGGACAAACAGAGTCCCTGCTGAGCATGGAGCCTGATACAATGCGGGGCTCAATCCCAGGACCCTGAGATCATGACCTGAGCTAAAGTCAGATGCTTAACCAATTTAGTCACCCAGACACCCTGGTACAGTCCTTCTGAAAAGTAATTTGACAATACACGCTTGAAAATACCCATATTCAAAACTTTTGATTTTTTGGGTATTATAAACTGATTTTAAAGGAGGGAAAAAAATCCAAAATGTGGGGAAGGGAGAACGGAAGGAGGGGAAAAAGGATCATATACATTAATCCAAACATGGCAGCTTTACTTATATTGGAAAAATAAATGGACTAATGATAATAATGCTGACATTTATTAGGTAATTACTAGGTGCCAAGTACTGTTCAAATGCAGTTCTTGGAATGGAAACGATCAAATGACCTACATAAAAGCACAAAGACAACTGAATAAAGATATATTTTTATGTATGTGTATGCCATGAAGGAAAAGGCACACAACATTAAGGATAAAAAATTATGTGTTCAATGATTATAAAATATATATAGTTACAGAGCATATTAAAATAAGGAATGGAATAACAAAATGGAACCATCATTAAAATTTGTTTAATGATGACTCTGTCCAACTATTCTTTACGGGGACAGAAAGCTTAAGACTGTCATCTCTCACATGACCGGGTCAGATCTATTAATGTAGTATTTTTTAAAAAGTCATTTACATTCTTTATGTGATTAACGTCCACATTCCCATCAATAACTTGGACAAGAGGAAAAAGATGAGAACTACATCAACTGACTTAATTGACTTTCTTTTTTTTTTTTTTTTTTTAAAGATTTTATTTATTTATTTGAGACAGAGAGAATGAGAGACAGAGAGCATGAGAGGGAGGAGGGTCAGAGGGAGAAGCAGACTCCCCGCCAAGCAGGGAGCCCGATGTGGGACTCGATCCCGGGACTCCAGGATCATGACCTGAGCCAAAGGCAGTCGCTTAACCAACTGAGCCACCCAGGCGCCCTTAACTGACTTTCAATTACCTTCTTCAGGAATTTAAGAGTGAATGATGGTGATAGTTACACTACTTAATGCCACTGAACTGCACACTTAAAAATGGCTAATGTGGTAAATATTACGTGACATATACTATAATTTTAAAAATATGAGAATAAAGAATTTAAGTAATTTTCTTTTTAAAGTTTTTATTCAAGTAAGTGGAAAGGGGCTTAAAATTAAACAAATAACTTTTTGTTGTTGTATGTAAGGAAGAATTTTAGTGCTTTGCTGCATTCTGTATTCTCCTCCTGGTTTATCCATTTAATGCATAGAAATCATAATTCCCAGCCCAATTAAAATGTACATATTCCCTACCATCCCGTCTCCAACTACTATATCCCCAACGACTGTATCTCAATAGTAATCCAGTGAGTAAATGAAGAATAACTATAGTATAATAATTATTACACAAATCTGGATATAAGATTACACACGATTAGTTAATGACATAGAGCAAATTAATTGCCTAGGAGTTAAAAAAAAAAAAAAAAAAAGAAAAGAAAAAAGAAAAGGCACTCACTCCTGAATAAAATAGTGGAGGATTCATGGAAGAGGTAGCATCTGAACAGGGTCTTAAAGAATCTACTATTTTACTAAATAGAAACTGGGGAGGATTAGACCTAACATTGCTGTATGGTATATTTGAAAGTCATTAACGAGAGTAGATCCTAAGATTGCTCATGACAAGAAACAAACAGTTTTTTTCTTCCTTTTTTTTGTATGATGGATGTTAACTAAACTTACTGAGGTAATCATTTCACAATATATGTAAGTTAGCTGGTAAGAAAAGTCTATTTTAAGAAAAAAGTATGATCAGGGGCGCCTGGGTGGCTCAGTTGGTTAAGCGACTGCCTTTGGCTCAGGTCATGATCCTGGAGTCCCGGGATCGAGTCCCGCATCGGGCTCCCCGCTCGGCAGGGAGTCTGCTTCTCCCTCTGACCCTCCTCCCTCTCATTCTCTCTGTCTCAAATAAATAAATAAAATCTTAAAAAAAAAAAAAAAAAGTATGATCAAAGACACGGAAGATGAATACTCCAAAAACACTTATGAAATGGCAAAGTAGTACAATTGGGCTCTAGCATAGTCAAAAAGAAGAGTAGCCAAAGGAGAAAGCAGATAGATTTTGTTAAAAGATTTAGGCCATGAAAAAGTCATTTAAGGTTTTTGAGCAGGGTAGTAACATCATGGAAGCACTTTTTCAGGCCTCAATTCTTCATTTATGTGGAATTCTCCCCCCCTTCCCCCTCCCACCCCCTGCTGACCTCCTCTACAATTTCCACCTATGTTAGATGATAAAATAAGGGGTTTATAGTTTAGTAGAGGAGGTCGACATCAATCAAAGAGAAAAGAACAAATCTGACCCAGCTCAAGCACCAACTCCTCCATAAAGCCACAAATGAAAAACTCCAAACTCCATGCCTTTAAATTTACACTTAGTTCTATCCTCATCCTCGGCCCAAACTTTCAGCAGTGTATTAGAGTTAACCACTCTTTCTTCTCTAAAGTCTTCTTTTTTTCTGGGCTTCTGTGACAACACATTATCTTGGTTTTCTTCTTCCTCTGGCTCTTGACAGACCATGAAATGCAAGTTTCCTAAGGCTTTATCTTCTCTTCCCCTTGTTCTTTCCTAGTGATTTCATCCATTTCTCTGGCTTTAAACATCCTAGCTCTCCCTCTCCCCCGATAAATACTCGTAACTTCAAAAACCATATATCCAGGGTAACTCTCCCTTGAGCTCCAGCAGCAGATATCAAATTGCCTACATGACATCCCAAATTTAAAACATTTCCAGAACCAATTCGTGTCTTCCCCAATTATTTTCCCCACAAGTTTTCATCTTTTCAAGAACTGGCACCATCAATTACTCAGTTCCTAAAGCTGGAATTCTGGAAAACTTGCTTCTTTCCTTTTCCTCACCTACATACATGCTGGCATTCTTCCTTGACTTTTCCCACTTAGCCTTTTTCTCTCTTCTACCAAAGCCACCTGGTCTCCCTAAAATCCACTCATGGGAGCATTCAGAGTGATCATTTAAGAATGTCAATCAGATTGTGATTCTTTCCTGCTTAAAATCCTTCAAAGATTTACCAGAGTACTTCATCTTTTTTAAGATTTTATTTATTTGTCAGAGAGAGAGAGAGAGAGAGAGAACGTGTGCACAAGCAGAGGGAGCTGCAGGCAGGGGGAGAAGCAGGCTTCCTGCTGAGCAAGGAGCCCAATGCAGGACTCGATCTCAGGACCCTGGGATCATGACCTGAGCCAAAGGCAGATGCTTAACCGACTGAGCCACCCAGGTGTCCCTACCAGAGTACTTCAAACAAAATCCCTATCCCCTCCTAGGTCTTACATGATCTGGGTCCTGCCTACCTCTTGAACTCCTTCTCACTCCCTCCCCCCGCCCACTCACCATGCTCTTCCAGGTCCCTGAATACATTCTTGCAGTTCCCTCTGCTTACAATGCTGCTCTTCCCTTCTGCTATTCCTTTTATTTTTCAGATACCTACTTAAATCTTACCTCAACAAAAAGGATTTCCCATATAACCCCACAGAAATTAGCCTATTCCTGTTAGTCCTTTTTTTTCCCCTTACAGGCCTACCAAAATTTTAAATTTGTTATTTTCTCTTTGACTGATGTCAACCTCCTCTACTAAACTATAAACCCCGTGTTTTATCATCTAACATATATCCAGCATGTAGGAGTGTCTGTCATGAGATAGGTGTTCCAAAGATATTTGTTGAATGGATAAACGTCAGTCCAAGATATGCTTGGTCTTCTCTTGTGACCTCAGGCAAAATATTAAACAACTCTTTCCCTTAATATTTAATTGATATCTACTACACTGTGAAGGAAGCTAGGGAGATAAAAGTGTGAAGGACAGCCTACAAACCTAGAGAGTAGATATGTACATTTATAAAAAAAAAAAATACATTGTGAGGCAATGTATGAAAACGTATGAATGACGTTATTACCCTAATCAGGGTAATAAAGGACTGCATCACTGAGAATGTGGTATTTGAGTTAGGCTTCAAAAGATGGCTGGACTTCTGACAATCAGATATATAGCAAAGGGCATTATAGATGAAGAGTTTGACCAGATGTACAGAATGACAAAGCAAGATGATCAGGGAAGGGCAAACTGGTTGCCATGAGTGTGGGCTTTAGGACAAGGACAGGTAGAAGGGAAGGTTGAACAGTATTTTTCATATCTGGCCAATGGATGGACCTAGTAACTCTCATTCTGAGCTCAACTAAGATTTTCAAATTGTGGTTTCACAAATATAAATTTGACCACAACGTAGGTAATGAAGTAAGAGTCTGCATTGGGACCAGGCAAAAGGCTACTATATTAAACTAGGGAATAAAACAATATAAAAATTGGGGCTGGAAATTGAGTTAAAAATCAATCATGCCTACACAATGAAGCCTCCATAAAAGTCCTTGAACTACAGCATTTAGAGAGCATCTGGGTTGGTGAACACATCTATGTGCTGAGAGAATGGCCTACTTCAACTCCAGGACAGAAGCTCCCATGCTTGGGACTCTTCTGGATCTCTCTTCATGTACCTCTTCATCTGGTTGTTCCTCTGTATCCTTTTTTTTTTTTTTTTTAAAGATTTTATTTATTTATTTGACAGAGAGAGAGACACAGCCAGAGAGGGAACACAAGCAGGGGGAGCGGGAGAGGGAGAAGCAGGCTTCCCGCCGAGCAGGGAGCCCCACGTGGGGCTTGATCCCAGGACCCTGGGATCACGACCTGAGCCGAAGGCAGACGCTTAACGACTGAGCCACCCAGGCGCCCCTGTATCCTTTATCATATCCTTTATTATATAATAAACCAATAACTATAAGTAAAAAAAAAGTCAAAAGCAGTGCTTCTCAAACTAGTGAAAAGCTAATACTTTAAGTTCTAAATTGTCATGGAACAATAGTTTTGTAAAATTAGTGATTAGAAAAATAAAATATAAAGTAATAGAAAATATAAGCTCCAAATTTTTATTATGAGATACAGCAGAAACAAAATTACTTTTAAAAACTGCTATAAAATTTCTAAATGCTGGGCGCCTGGGTGGCTCAGTTGGTTAAGCGACTGCCTTCGGCTCAGGTCATGATCCTGGAGTCCCTGGATCGAGTCCCACATCGGGCTCCCTGCTCGGCAGGGAGTCTGCTTCTCCCTCTGACCCTCCTCCCTCTCATGCTCTCTGTCTCTCATCCTCTCTGTCTCAAATAAATAAATAAAATCTTTAAAAAAAAAAAAAATTTTCTAAATGCTTACTCTCAATTTCTGTAGTTCTCATCATGGACTAGTAAGTTTGTGGGCTGGCACCAGTCTGTAAACCCCGCACTGAGTAGTACTGGTTTATTGGACTTCGTCAGTGACTGGATGCCATGAAAGTCAAAAGTGACTCTGAGATTACTCTTTCAGGTAACTCTAAGAATTGCGATACCATCAAGTAAGGAAATTTGGAGAGTTCAGAAGATGTCACTATAAAAAATATGGGACTTTGGCCAGAATCCAGCGCAATGAGAAAATCCTACAAGAGTTCCAAGACATTTTATATATAGGATTTTTCATTACCTTTACTTTACTATTTTGTGGCTTAAAAAAAAAAAAAAAAGGAGGGGCGCCTGGGTGGCTCAGTTGGTTAAGCATCTGACTTCGGCTCAGGTCATGATCCCAGGGTTCTGGGATGGAGCCCCACATTGGGCTTTCTGCTCAGTGGGGAGCCTGCTTCTCCCTCTCCCTCTGCTTATCGCTCCCCCTGCTTATGCTCTCTCTCTCCTCTGTCAAATAAATAAATAAAATCTTAAAAAAAAAAAGGAAAATAGGTACTGCTAATTTCAAGGAAGACTTACTTTTACAGAAAACAATGTCAGAGGCTAAAACAATTTGGATATTTTAAAATATGTGATTGCACAATGTCATTTGCAACCAAGTATAATGAAACACAATCTTTGGCACACCACATTGATGTAAATTACTTTTTTTTTTTTTTGACAGACACATGCACATGTAACTCCATTCTTTTGAAAAAAATCCTTGGTGGTGATTTCATAGTGATTTAATTGTCCTTATGTTCCTTAAATCTGTGACATAAATCTTGGGTCACCAGCTGGAAACAAAGAACTCCTCTGTTTGGCTTGACATTAGAGATTGATGATACTTAACTAGACAAGTAGAAACCCATCTTTTTAGTAATGGGGAAGAACAGTGCTCCCAATGGATATAAGAAATTGAAATTTGAAGCTGGACAGATTTTAAATTCAAGGCAAGTAAAGTGACAATATTGCTAAATATGAGGTGATTAAAAAAGGAAAAAAAAAGCCTAGGACAAAGGAAGTAGAAGATGCTTGCGATCTGCCTGCAAAATAAATGGTAGGTATGACTCTTGATAATGTAATACACTTATTAATAATGACATACTAGTTAAGTCATTTGATGCCCTAAGCTACCTTCTAAAAGAATAGCAGGAGCAATGATACAAACTTTAGAACTGACAATTAATAACCAATGTAAGTGATACATATGACGACATCCTTATCAAACAGATTTTCTTCATTAATCTCAAAGATAATGAAAGTTAATGAAATTTTAGAACCTAGGTAACACAGTCCTTTATTAGGACCTGGCAAGTAAAAGGTTTTAAATATAACAGAATAATTCTTACTGATTTTTTTTTTTTAAAAAGCAAATAAATTAAAACTCAAAATACCTGCTTTGACTTACCCAAATGGATCACCAACCACAAGGAATGCAACATCACTGATATCAGCATCCTTTAAAATATTATCAGCTTCTTGTTCCACTTCTTCTCTATCAGCAAGAATCAATTTTCTTCCATAAAACTCTTCCTATAGATTTAAGTCCAATATCAAAATGAAACAGCAGGTGACCATTTCAACACATGTACACACACACACACACACCAATTTTTGTCTGGGCTGGTGCAAATCTTGGCAACCATCCAAACACAGATCATTGAATAGGACTCCTCAGTGAGCCAGCACTCTATATCATGTTGCAATTAAACTCTGTCTTTGGGGCTATCTTAATATCCCAAGAGAAGGTAGACCTCCTAACATCTGAGGCTTTCTGCATTTTAAATTTACCTCTAAATTTGAGTCTAATAGATCAGGCAGAACACCGTAGAATGAACAGAGAACACGTATGCATGAGCTTTATTTCAGAAACACAGTAATACAGAATATGTTAAATAATAATTATAAACATACATGGTAATTTGGGTTTTATTAAATTTTCCATAGGAAAACCTACAGGACCCTGGCTAAAATAAAAGGTAATTTCAATGAGAAACAATAGAAAATTAGGATTTAGTTATCTATAGAGCCAGCAAACATTCCTATATAATTGCAGGAAAGATTAATTTAAAACTGTATTTCCTAGTTCCTGCTAAAAAGGCAGAGTTGCAGAGGAAAGAAAAAAATTCTAATCATATAGGAAGTCTCCATATAAAGTGCTTTGTGAACCAATCCCCTGAAGTTCAACTCTAGCAAATAAACCCAGGAGGTTTACCTTAACTGGGGTGGCAGCATGTAAGTACAGAGAGTGAACTAGTGTGCTAATGGTCATGTGGTGGTGGTTACAAACTATTATGAAAGGTCATGAATCTTATTAACTGATTTCCTGTGGAGTAATATGTAATTCCAATATAGTAAAAGTGAATGCATAGACAAATACTATTTCTTACATGCTGAGAAGTTTGAGTTTTAAGGATTATATCAGATGTCAAACATTACAGGGACTGCTGTACTCAATAATTTATCTGTCAAGCAAGAGAGTAAATAAGCAAATGATTAAGCACTTGAAGATAAAGGCCATAGTTCCAACTCTGATAATTATTGCCTAATACTTAACTAAAATCTGTCCCTGAAATGTGAAAAAAGATCTCTTCCCTTTTTCTGCATATCTTCTCAGAGATAATGCTCCAGAAGTTCCCAATGACAATGTTTTTACAGATGAAAAATGTTTTTATTTTCACCTTTACCGTAATTTTTTCTTAATCATTAATTTGTATATAACTTACTTTAATTTCATGAGTCCAGAAAACTTATTAGTGGTAGAACATGTATATTCACATATATCTAAGAGGACAAACGTATGATTATAGAAAACTGAAGAAAATGATATTTTTTCCTGAACTAACATTTCTTAAGATCAAAAAGTCACATGTTACTAGCTTAATGCTAGCAGTAATCCTAAATCCTAGCCAATATTTTATAAATGATTTAAAAAAGAAAACCCCACTCTCCTCAAGACCTATCATGTATCACTCTATATTTATCACTTATCCTAAGAAACATTTCATTATTTAATTGAAACACACATTTATTAAAAACAAACAAACTTATCCACATATGCAGACCTGTGCACACATAGCCAAACAGTCCAGTATAACTAAATGGCTGATGCTCTTGGGGGGGGGGGGGGCGCTTAAAAAGGGGAAGAAAGAGCAAAAGCAGTAAGAAACTGGTATTACATTCTTTTTAATTTACCGACTTGGTAAATTCACTCACTTGAAGAACACTTCTTGTGCACAATCTCCACACCAAATTCTATGCTTGATGTTGGGAAACAATGGTAAATGAGACATATGTGGCCCCTGTCCTGTGGCTTATAATGTTTAGTGGGGAATTATCTACCATATCATTAAGTGCTACAAGAGCATGGAACCTAGTAAGAGTCAGGGAAGAGGGGTTAAAAAAGGCAGTGTTATTTAAAAAATAATTTTACATTTATATTATTTATTATTCAATGACTGATTAGCCAGTTTTTGTACAGTATCAGCCCTAATCTTCTCCATTCATGAAAATGAAGGCAAAACTCAAAATTCATTCCTGCTTTAGGTAGGCAGGTTTTGTAAGGGGGACAGGGTAAAAAAATCAAAATTAAAATTACTTTTGAGTATTTCTGGAAGGATACATAAGAAATTAGCAATAACTGCCTCCAGGAAGGGGAACCACGATAGAAATCTTTCAATGTATATATCATTTAGTATCTTTTGAATTTTATACCATTTAATGTATTACCTAGTAAAAAAATAAAAAAATAAAAAGTAGAGCCTAGAAGTAGGATACATAAACAAGAAAACAAAACCTAAAGAAAACCCCAACCACAGTAACATTGAAGGAAGGAACAGAGAAATAAGGGCTTACGAAAGGGACTGAAAAAAATGGAAAAATACAAGTAAAACCAAGAGAAAGTAATGTCATGAAAGCCAGTTTCAAGGAGTGATCAACTATGTCAGAAGAAGTAAAACAAGTAAGAATTGAAAACTATCCTGTGGCATTCTCAGCTACTAAGTAACTGTTCAACAAACAGAAATATTTCAGAGGAACGGAAGTCAGCTTGCAGGAGTCCGAGCTATGAGTGAAGTGGGGATAATAAATGTACGCTGCTTTTTCAAAAAGCTTTGGATAAAGAAGAGACAAAAACAATAATAACTATGGAGAAAAGAGGTTTAAAAGGGGAGAGATTTCAGAATGGACAAAATTTGAATATGGTTTCAGGTTGAGGGGAGAAGGAAGTTAATATACATCAAACATAACGAAGAAAGAATAAACGATGGGAATAAGGTTTCAGAGGAAGGGAGAGGAAGAGGTTTGGAGAAAACACACCTAGTAGAGTTGTCTTCAACAGGCTGAGAACCTCATCTAACAAGTCATTTTCTAAGACTTGGGGGAAGACAGATTCAGATTTAAGGGAAAGACAAATGGTAAGTTAATAAAGGTCACAGATGATTGCCTCATCTTTCTCAGGGGGAAGTCTGTCCCTCCACTAGCGAGCTGCAGCTGGATAGGAAGACAAGTAGAGTGAGCTGGTATCCAGATGAAGCAGATTAGGAAGAAAAGAAAGGGAAACGGATACACTGGGAGAAAACGAAAGTTATTTTCATGATGCCCAAGAACAAGTATAGCAAATTATTGTGCTTATCTCCTCCATGGTTTTGCTCACAATTATTTTTTTCTTCAGTAAGGAATACTCTTTCTCTTACCTTTACCAAATCTTATCTATAGTAACTATCTCTTTCTCTTCCCTTTACCAAGTCTTATCTATAATAACAATATTTATAATACATTTACATTAGGGACACCTGGGTGTCGGTTAAGTGGCTGCCTTCGGCCCGGGTCATGATCCCAGGGTCCTGCGATCGAGTCCCACATTGGGCTCCTTGCTCAGCAGGGAGCCCGCTTCTCCCTCTCTCCCTCTGCTTGTGCTCTCTCTGTCAAATAAATACAATCGTTAAAAATATATATATATGTATATATATATATAATACATTACATTAGATCACTCTGGAGTCAGGTGTAGTTCTAAGAACTTATGCATATGAATTCATTTGATCTTCATCACAATCTATGAGATACTCTCTATTTTTATCCCTGTTTAAGAGATAAGAAAAAGAACACAAAGTTAAGTGACTGCCCAAAGTCACAACCAACAAGTGATTGATTGGTTGACCGCAAAACTTTACATGTACTACAGATGATGCATAGGGGTGCCTGGCTGGCTCAAACGGTAGAGCATGCGACTCTTGATCTCAGGGTTGCAGGGCCTGTGAGTTCAAGCCCCACGTTGGGCATGGAGCGTACTTAAAAAACCAAGAAGACCAAAAAAAAACCAAATGAGGCACAGACAGGCAGAGCTTAGTGATCTCTGCTTTCTACAGGATAACTAGAGCCCCAAAGTTAGCCCCCTTTGGCCAAAACAGCTTCCTCTATTTACCCTCCAGAGCTGTATAAATATTACCATTTTCTATTTAGACCATGAAAACAAAAGAAACAAAACAAAAAGATTGGGATGCATTATTTTAAGAGAGAGCTCAAATTCCATCTATTCCATAGTATTCTCTGGCCACCACAACCTGAAGTGATCTTCTTATATGTATTTCAACTGGAATTAATAACTAGTAATTATTTAATATTTGAGACAGCTTCTACTATTTAATTCATGAAAACAACATTGGCTTAAATAAGATCTAAGTTCTTCCCAGCAATATAATTTTATAGTTTCTTCCTGCCACTGTTGCCATGAATTGTTACTTAAATCTTCCATTATTAAGTTTTCCTGAGTATAACACAGATGAATCATGAACCACTTGAGAACAAAGATCATAGCTTATACCTCTTTGTATAAGGCAGTACAGGTGTATTACACCAAAACGGCACATAAAATCATAATTTATTCACAGAAAGTGTCTAAAAAAAAAATTCAAAGTGTAATACTAAAACTCTTTGCTGGTTTCACTGTCTCTATTTTAATTAACTTTTGAATAATACAGCACATATAAATAATACTAGTTTTCAATGTAAGCACAAATAAATTCCATAATTTTTTTTTGAAGATTTTTTTTTTTTTAGATTTTATTTATTTATTTGACAGAGAGAGACACAGTGAGAGAGCGAACACAAGCAGGAGTGGGAGAGGGAGAAGCAGCCCTCCCGCTGAGCAGGGAGCCCGATGCAGGGCTCGATCCCAGGACCCTGGGATCATGACCTGAGCCGAAGGCAGACGCTTAACAACTGAGCTACCCAGGCGCCCCTGAAGATTTATTTATTTGAGGGTGCCTGGGTGGCTCTGTCAGTTAAGCATCTGCCTTGGGCTTGGGTCATGATCCCAGGGTCCTGAGATTGAGTCCCACATCATCAGGCTCCCTGCTCAGCGGGGAGTCTGCTCCTCCTCCTCTCTCTGCCCCTCCCCTGGCTGTGCTCTCTCTCTCTCTCAGATAAATAAAATCTTAAAAAAAATAAAATAAAAAAAGATTTATTAGAGAGAGAGATAGCATGGGTGGGTGGGGGGGCAGTGGGAGAGAATCTTCAAGCAGACTCCCCATGGAGTGTGAAAAATGACTGGGGCTCCATCTCAGGACCTATGAGATCACGACCTGAGCTAAAACAAAGAGTCTGATGCTTAACCGACTGAGCCACCCAGGTGCCCCAAATTCCAGATTTCTTTAGCAACATCCATGTGTGCCATTTATAAAATACTATTTTGTGTGATTATTGATAAAAACAAGCACATATTCACTGAGGAAAACAGATTTTTCCAATCTTTTTTCTCTATATACAATTATCTAGTTATTGAGACCAGACTGTATATATAGGTGTGAGCACATGTCAACAATTTTTAAAAATCAATTTGTTTATAAAAAAAGAAAAGAGAAATGAAAGGAAATAGAAAGGAAGTCACTGAAGAGAAAGTGGCTCTGAGATTTTACTAGGCAATATAAGGCATGAATTTATTTATTTATACCTTACTTTATTCCAGAAAAGAGTCATTAAAGGTGGCTGATGTTGCACACCAATTTGCTCAGGGAAAAACATGAACTAAGGACCTGGAGGAGGTCATGAAGAGCAGACCAATGGAACCTGTGATACACAAAGCATTTTGTTTGAATCCTACCTTCTCTGTGGACATTCTCTGAAATCATTATTTTGTAAAGCTATTATCTATCCCTGAGTATTAAGACAGACACTGCATGGTATAAATGTTAAGACTGGTGCTTCTCAACTCTGTCTTGGCTCATATCACTTACTATCTGTATGACCTTGGGCAAGTTTCTCTGTGCCTGTAAAATGTGAATAGTAATTGTAGAGTAATACTCCTGTTCTACATGTAAAACACTTAGCACAGTGCATAGTAAGTATTCTATAAATATTAGCACTTATTATTGTGGAGGAACAGATATTCCAGCACCTTAACAAAGTACACAAAATTTACCTGTAGGTGAGGCTGGGCCCAGCCGCAACAATACGTTTTTGAAAAAAAAAAAACTTGTAAAAATTATAGCAACCAATACATCATCTTAATAAAATCCTACATAACCCTCCAATTGGTTACTATCTCCTTTTTCACAAATGAAGCTACTAAGGTTTAAAGAAATCTGGAAATGTGTCCATTAACAAGTACCATTTCTCAACATTTTTCCTACAGGCACTACATTAAGAACCTATGAGGTAGGCATTATTATCCCCATTTCACAAAGTATAAAACTAAAGTTAAAGGACTTGTCCAAGGTGACATGGTAACATGAAACAGAGAAGGCGTAAAGACAGGTCCAACTTTCCTCTATGCCATGCCCTGACATCTTATCCTATAAAAACGCTGATTTGTTATTTGTCTCTACTCTCTTAGACAAATTTAAATTCATTCTAGTTTTCCTTGAGGAGGAATATTTATTATCTTGAGCTGAAATACTTTGATTCCAACCCAACAAATCAGAGTCAACAAATCCAAGCTGGCCATTAGCCACAACTTCCACATTAGTGCATAGCCAATTCAAGTAGCAGTCTTTAATTCCTTAAGCTTTTAAAGTAACTCTGAGACCAGAATTCTCTGGGCTGTGAATATGAGAGAACGGAAGACCTGAAATTCTCTAGGTCACCTTTTTGTTCAGAAGCCTTGGTAGACCAGGTAATTCTAAAATCCTCTCCCTTCTCCTGTAACATGTCCATCACTCTCTACATCTTAATTTACATTCTAGTTGGAGTCTGACAAAGAACCTGAACTACTTAACCCTTCCTCCAAAATGTAGAGCCCTTAACAAGAGCAAGCTAAATGTATGATACATTAACAAACCCTAAGGTTATTAAGTTCCAGGCTCACTCAATATACACAAGAGTATGTGTATTATTAGTCTTACTGGCAATCTTTTTAAAGTTAAGACCTCTCTGGATAGGATACTGACAGAAAGGTAATTACCATTCCCTATGGAAACACTTCAAAGGAAGAAGCTTTCAGCTTGGTTTCTGAATATATAACCAAATCATCAAGGCTATGTCGGTACCTCATTAGCACTCAACTCAGAAAAAATTTGAGTAGCTCATGAAATAAGGGATTTTGATAACTATCCCCAGGAGTGTAAAATAACTTTTCTATTTACTGGAGAAAGCCACAGAATTAGACGTGTAAAGTAAGACAAAGCACCCTTTCATTTTCCAAGTCACTTGGTTGTTGTATTATTCCCATTCTGGTGATCCAAAATGAGCAGGGGATGCGTTTTAAAGGATTTAAACAAGCAGACCTGAAAATGGGGTTCAGCTTAGTATACTGAAAATCAGCTGTTAGACAGTTTTCTTCCCAGGGACTGAAGAACCTTAAGCACCTACCAGGACTTCCTTCCCTACAGTCAGGATTGAGGTATAGGCTTCTAGATACACTCGACTGCAGCGTCTTACAACTTCCAGGCCCTTGACTGTGATGTCCTTGGCATCGCCCAGGCCCAAGCCGACCAGGTAAAGCATTTCAAAGTCCAGGGGGAGGGAGACTGCAGGACGAAGCGAACAAGAAAAACACGTGTCAACTACACCGAAGATACGTAAAATCTAGCGACGAACATGAAAATGAAAACCAAGATAGCACAAGCAGGGACGGCAAGTCACAAACGAGGCCTGAGAACCTTACTTCACGCCTCTTAAATAAGGATTGGACTGAGTGTTCTTAAACAACCCTACCCCGCTTTTCCTCGTTACACCAAACCAAGAGCAGTCAATTACCCTCTGAAAACTGTAGTTGGGTCCCCAAGTTGCTAACTGAAGCCTTTCCGAAAAAGCGGGTACCGAAAGGGCGGATTCACGCGGAGCGAATACGCACGCCGCCGCCCTCACCTACGGTGCCGCAAAACGCTGGTGCCTTTACTGCACTTTACGACTAGCTGGAGGAGCGGGCGAGCACTGAGGGTGGGGTTGGGGAGAACGGGACCTGAAGTGACCCGCCGGCTGCTGGGGCGGGGTGGGGAGAGGTCAGCTGGCTAGGGGAGTCCATCCACAGCCCTCCAGCATGCCTTCTGGGAAAGGACGAGGAGTACCCGCGATCCCCTTAGCCCGTGGCTTTACATATCCCCATCCTAGGACAGGGTAAGTGCAGGAACTCTTCGCCCGGGAGGAGCTGGACCCGAGGTTGGGCCGCGCAGCCTGACGCCTTGCGCCTTGACTCCAGTCACACGAACGGGAGGAGGGTGGCAGGGGCTTTTCTAATTTGCCCGGGGTTGCCCGAGCGCAGGTATTTCCACCCTCGCTTTTGCATTCTGCTGCAGTTTAACCAGCTGCCTCCCTGGTGAGGTGTCAGGTTAGCAAATCTGGCCATCATGATGATTCTGATTTCCCAGCGGGGCGATGCTGCTTGGGTCCCAACCCCAAGACGTCATTTGGGAGTGCCCCAAGGGGTGTGACTGGGATATGCCTCAGTCATCCTCAATGTCGGGAAGCCCAGACAGCCCTTTCCCCCCTCTCCCCCACAATGATCCCGTGCCTAGAAAAGTGACCTTTAAGAGTGCTCAGGAATTTCAAACTTCAATTGCTTCCACAGGGGGAATTCCTATAAAGTGGTTGGTTAGATATAGTTCTGATATCGGAATGGTTTGTTTTGACTGTAAATGCTCTTGGTAAGGTCCCTAGTGACCTCATCCAAATTAAAAAGACAATTTCCATTGTTTATCTTAGTAGGCAGTGTTGATTATTCAGAATTTTCCTGCTGCTTTTAAGACAATGCCTTGAGTCTTTTTTGCCCAACACCTGTTTCTTATGCCTTAATTTTATGTTTTTTCTTAGGTTCCATCTACCCTTTGCACTTCTCATTCAATACACTCTTCATGACTGATTCTATCTAGTATCATTACATCCATACATTCTTCATACCATAAACAAAATTAACTCAAAATGGATCATAGATGTAAATGGAAAACAAAAAACTATAAAATTTCCTAGACAGAAAATACATGTGATTTTACTTAGGTAAAGATTTCTCAGGTGCAACATCAAAAGCATGATGTAGGAAAGAAAAAAATTGAGAAATTGAAGTTCAACGAGATAAAACATATGCTCTTCAAAAGACATTGTTGAAGCCACACACGGGGAGAAAATATTTGCAAAGCATATATTTGATAAAGGACTTGTATCAAGAATACATAAATAACTCTCAAAAGGCAAAAATAAGAAAACAGTTTTTTAAATAGGCAAAGAATTTGAATAAGAATCTCACAGAGAATAAGATAAATAAATCCCCAAAGAAGATACACTAATATCAAAGAAGCTTTGAAAAGATGCTAAACATCATTAGACATTAGGGAAATAAAGATTAAAACCACAATGAGATACTAGTACTTACCTATTAGAATGGCTGAAATTGAAAGCAATAACAAAATAATACCGGGAATATTCACTCATAATTTTGGCTATCTCTAGTATTTTGCTGACTCAAATTTTAGCCTCCCATTTCAGACCTCCCCTTCAGCCTTCTATATTTAACTTCCTGCTGGAAATTACCTAGATAACCCAGAGGCATATCACATTCACATCAAAAGCTGAATCCATCATCTTCCCTTTCAACTTGGCTTTTCCTTCTATATTACCTACTTTGGATGGAAGGCATTATCATCTTTAGCCAGACTCTTGGAAGTTACCCCGCATCCAATCTGATGTATCTGCCTTTCTTAATAGAAACTATACCTACTATCACAGACTTTTAGGTCCTCATGTCACTCCCACAGCTGGTCACCATGTCTCCCTCACATTTATATTTCTTTCAGGGGCTGGAGAGACCTCGCTAAGATGCAGTCTGAAAATGTCAATTCCTTTTTTTTTTATATTATTATGTTATGTTAATCACCATACATTACATCATCTGTTTTTGATGTAGTGTTCCATGAGTCATTGTTTGCATATAACACCCCGTGCTCCATTCAGTACGTGCCCTCTTTAATACCCATCACCAGGCTAACCCATCCCTCCACCCCCTCCCCTCTAGAACCCTCAGTTTGTTTCTCAGAGTCCATAGTCTCTCATGGTTCGTCTCCCCCTCCGATTTCCCCCCCTTCATTTTTCCCTTCCTGCTATATTCTTCTTCTTTTTTTTTTTTTTTTAACATATAATGTATTATTTGTTTCAGAGGTACAGGTCTGTAATTCAACAGTCTTACACAATTCACAGCACTCACCATAGCACGTACACTCCCCAATGCCTATCACCCAGCCACCCCATCCCTCCCACCCCCCACCACTCCAGCAACCCTCAGTTTGTTTCCTGAAATTAAGAATTCCTCATATCAGTGAGGTCATATGATACATGTCTTTCTCTGTTTGACTTATTTCGCTCAGTATAATACCCTCCAGTTCCATCCACGTTGTTGCAAATGGCAAGATTTCATTCCTTTTGATGGCTGCATAATATTCCATTGTATATATATACCACATCTTCTTTATCCATTCATCGGTTGATGGACATCTTGGCTCTTTCCATAGTTTGGCTATTGTGGACATTGCTGCTATAAACATTGGGGTGCACGTACCCCTTCAGATCCCTACATTTGTATCTTTGGGGTAAATACCCAGTAGTCAATTGCTGGGTTGTATGGTAGCTCTATTTTCAACTTTTTGAGGAACCTCCATACTGTTTTCCAGAGTGGCTGCACCAGCTTGCATTCCCACCAACAGTGTAGGAGGGTTCCCCTTTCTCTGCATCCCTGCCAACATCTGTCATTTCCTGACTTGTTAATTTTAGCCATTCTGACTGGTGTGAGGTGATATCTCATTGAGGTTTTGATTTGGACTTCCCTGGTGCCGAGCGATGTTGAGCACTTGTTCATGTGTCTGTTGGCCATTTGGATGTCTTCTTTGGAAAAATGTCTGTTCATGTCTTCTGCCCATTTCTTGATTGGATCATTTGTTTTTGGGTGTTGAGTTTGATAAGTTCTTTGTAGATTTTGGATACTATCCCTTTATCTGATATGTCATTTGCAAGTATCTTCTCCTGTTCTGTCTGTTGTCTTTTGGTTTTGTTGACTGTTTCTTTTGCTGTGCAAAAGCTTTTTATCTCGATGAAGTCCCAATAGTTCATTTTTGCCCTTGCTTCCCTTGCCTTTGGCAATGTTTCTAGGAAGAAGTTGCTGAGGCTGAGGTCGAAGAGGTTGCTGCCTGTGTTCTCCTCTAGGATTTTGATGGACTCCTGTCTCACATTTAGTTCTTTCAACCATTTTGAGTCTATTTTTGTGTGTGGTGTAAGGAAATGGTCCAGTTTCATTCTTCTGCTTGTGGCTGTCCAATTTTCCCAACACCATTTGTTGAAAAGGCTGTCTTTTTTCCATTGGACATTTTTTCCTGCTTCGTCAAAGATTAGTTGACCATAGAGTTGAAGGTCCATTTCTGGACTCTTTATTCTGTTCCATTGACCGATGTGACTGTTTTTGTGCCAGTACCATACTGTCTTGATGATGACAGCTTTGTAATAGAGCTTGAAGTCCGGAATTGTGATGCCACCAGCTTTGCTTTTCTTTTTCAGTATTCCTCTGGCTATTCGGGGTCTTTTCTGGTTCCATACAAATTTTAGGATTATTTGTTCCATTTCTTTGATGTCATTCCCTTCTAAAAATCCTTTTGAGGCCAAGGGAAAGTCCAGGCTCTTTAACATATCCCACAGGATCATTCCTGGAGTGACCTCTCTCTAGCCTCATGTCTCTCCACTCCATACCATGAGCTTCTTTAGCAGTACTCTTCTGTGCCCACAACATTCTCCTTTGTGTCTCTATGACTTTAGTCAGGCTGCCATCTCAGCATAGAATACTCTCTCCCATTATCTCCTATCTAGATCACTGTTACTCATTCTTTAAGACTTAAGTTTAGGGGGCGTCTGGGTGGCTCAGTCAGTTAAGCATCTGATTTTGGCTCAGATCATGATCTTGGGGTCCTGAGATCGAGCCCCATGTTGGGCTCTGCGCTTAGTCGGGAGGCTGCTTCTCCCTTTCCCTCTCCCTCTGCCCCTACCCCTGCCCCCACCCTGCTCATGCATGCAAGCATGCTCTCTCTCAAATAAAATCTTAAAAAAAAAAAAAAAGACTAAGTTTAGGAAGCCTTTCCAGAGATCCATATGCTAGGTTAGGTATCTCCTTTTAATTATAGTACTACTCTGTGCATATACTTATCAGTCAACTTAAGTGTTTTGTAATTGTCTGTTTATATATCTTCCTTACCAAACCTTCAGTTTCATACAGTTAGGTCCTATATCTTATATTCTCATCCCTAAGGTTTAGCACAGTGTCTGGCACATAGTATTCAGTAAATGTTTGTTAAATAAATCATTATGTATACACTGGTAGCTCAGCAATTTCTTTGAGTTATGATGTATTTTTCTATCTTTATGAAATGCAGGGTGTGGTGTGTTTTAGATGACTACCAAAAGTCATTGATGGAATGTCAAACAAAAACATGCCTTGTTCAAGCCACTTCAGAAAGTTAATTATGTTAAAAGATTTATGACACAGTTCACATATACCTCATATACACCCTGTTGAGTAGGTAAATTTTCCAGCATACTGGTCATTTTTTATGTGTTTTTGTCAGATTTGTTTTGAGTAATTCCAGGTAGATTTACAGTGAAAGGACAGTGCCAAAGGAGTAATTAATTGAAAAGAAGGTGTAATTTATCTTCTTTCAGGAAGTCTATATTGAAAATGAAGTTATTCTGGGTAGGTAAGGTAACATTCTTTTTAGACACAGAAGCAATTTCAGTTTTTACTCTTCAGAATTCAGTCAAAGGAACTACTTTCCCTATAGAGTTCTTAAATCTTTCTACCTGCCTTCATTTCTCAATAGAAGTGTAAATTTGGGGGACTTTTCTGGAGATAGATAAAGGTGTTGTGGAAATCTTTTTCTCCCGCAACTCAATAAATATAATCAGCAACGTCTTGCATAGTCTTTTTTTGTGGAATTATTCTTTGTGATTTGGACATTTCTCCCATCCCATTTAAAACAGTTTCAAATATGATTGCATTTTTTCCAATCATTTATTATTAAAAATTTCAAACACCTAGAAAAGTTGAAACAGTTTTACAGTAAACATCCATATAGTCACCTCTTAAGTTCTTTTTTTTTTTTTTTTAAAGATTTTATTTATTTATTTGACACACAGAGAGAAAGCACAAGTAGGCAGAGAGGGAGGCAGAGAGAGAGGCAGAAGCAGGCTCTCCACTGAGCAGGGAGCCCGATGCGGGACTCGATCCTGGGACTCCAGGATCATGACCTGAGCCGAAGGCAGTCGCTTAACCAACTGAGCCACCCAGGCGCCCGTCACCTCTTAAGTTCTATAGTTGTTAACATTGTGCTGTGTTTGCTTTATCACATGTTTATCCATTCACCCAGCCATCAACCCATCTTATTTTTTGATGCATTTCCAAGAGAGTTGCAGACATAAGTAGACATATTGAGTGCATTTTGCATGAAAGATAAACCCCTCATCTAGGTAACAGATTAACAAAACATAGCTAAGTATATAGCTGATTAAATGATATCATTTCTTCACCTAATTTAGGCAGAGCTTGGAGAATTTCTCTTTAAAACAGTTTCAGTTTTTAATCAATATGGTAGCATTATTTTGATGATAATGAAAGCAGTTAGTCAGAATACATATTTAAAATGTCATAGCAAATTTGAATCTCACATCTAACAGAAAAGAGGGGGATGGTTATAAAGAAATGTGATTCTAGAGCCAAAAAAAAAAAAAAAAAAGATGAAGTGAAAGCCTTTTTATTTTAAAGAATAACAAGGATAAATGAGGCCTAAAGAGTTTTCTTCTTTATATTCCTGCTTGCAGGTAGGAGAGTACCAAATTATCCCTGAGGGTGAACATTTATGCTTTTCCTGAAAGATCTTTAAGCTGTTTTCATAACCTTTGTCAGTAACTCATTTTTAGTACCCACACTGTCAGAAATTCTTCCTTATATCTAATCTGTGACCTTCAGGCAGTAGTCATAAAATGTGAAAGATGTAGATAGTCATAAGAAGTTAATACTGATGGCTTTTCCATTCCATTGTCATAAACACATCATATAGTAGTTATATTTTAAAGTGAAAACAGTTGAGATACTGCATTACATTATGAACAAATTGTAATTAACTTACATCTAAAAGAAGTCATCCTTCAATTTTCCTATTTGAGTTCATTGTTTGTCTATTGAAAAGAAGACATCAGGGCTACTGGGTAAACTCCATCTGACCTCATTGTGAATAGAGAATATTATTTTACTCTGAAGCTGGCCTTTTAACCTGCATGTTCCCAGAGATTGTCTCATTGTTAGAGGAAATCTTGATTAATATTCTTAGAGCTTAGGGACCCCAAATTGATTGATAGTCATTATTTTATATCAGTTCACAAATAGTGAAAATTAAAGATAGCATTGCTTTGGGAGAAGTTATATTTGTTGATTCCTTCCTCCAAAGTCTGTTGATAAAAAGGTAGAATTGGGGGTGCATAGTTTCACTCTTCCTATGTTTAAACAATTACACAGTGCCCTTTTAAGATCTATTCAGGGAAGCA